TCAGTCTTTGAGGTGTTAGCTCATACAACAACGGTCAAACGTACGGAGTAGTAAGCGCGACCAAAGTTTGCTTTCCTTCGGTCCTTCACTACCCGCCAGGAGCACACGCGACTGCAATCGGGGTTCCCACAATAAAAGGGGTCGGAAGGCGGAGATTCCAATATCATTATCGATGAGGATGTAAAGATAAGAAAGAAAACGAACAAGCGTAGGGAGATACACCCTGGCGGGCCTGTCAGAGAGAACAAAAGGTGGCGCGGGAGGAGGACACAGAGCCTGTACGGCGCTGCAGCTATAAGTAACTCGACGGGCTGTGCGAGCTTCGAAGTTCAACATGATCTGATACATTAGAAGACATCTATATAGACGGAGGATGTGACGATCGGATGGCAGACCGGACGCCACAAATGTTGCACACCCGATTAGGCATTGAGTGGAGTGGCGCGATGGAGTGGAGAGTGGAGGATGCGTGGAGAGTCGGAAAGCTGACTTTTTTGTGAGTATCGGCGCTCACCCTTTGCGAGCTGGTTCAAAGTCCGCCGTGCCGCGTCTCGCTTACTCCCGTTGCCGAGCTGCCGAGTGGCTGCAGGCCCGTCACTTGTGAGCACGCAAAACAAAATGCTGCGATGATGTGCATATTTACATACAAGATGGCTACACATAAAATCATCTAAAGTATGTTTCTTTCATTTGGTTGCGACAGAATTCTTTAATTTCAGCGTGAACGAGCTACACGACAGACCTTACCCTCATATCAAATCACTCGAGGAGAGCGCAAGAATTCCGTCGCAACCAAATGACGTTAATTGATGTAAAATAATATTCCAGATTTTATGAGATTTACTGGGGCGGCGTATCCTGAGTACTGTCCCTGGCCCTATGTTCGGACAATTCCGACAAGAAAAAATCTAGCTCCCGCATTTCGAGTCCTCTCGAGATGAAACTCAGCAGAACATATGCTCTCTACATTAGCTACATGTCCATACAAATTTATGCGAGAAATAATGCGAGGAAGGTAGTTGTTTGACGAGCGGGATCAATGTTCGGACAGCCGCGCCCGCCAAAGTGTCCGAACCGACCCCCTCCCCGTTCGACATCCCGCTGCCACAACTGCATCCAAACGACTGCGGATATCGTCTGTAGACCATTTAACATGATTTATGGGCCTTTGAACTGGGCGAAACAGTGCGGTATTGGGCGAGTTCTCGGACTGTCCGAACATCGCTGATAGTAAAACACGCGATGGTCTCGCACATAGGTGCCACCCAGCCAACTCGGTGAGTTTTCCGGTGGCCCGCGTCGAAATGACATGCGGCTTGCCCGGCAGCTTTCAAAGTCCGACAATTTGCAATGGACATCGCGCTTGGTGGGAACGCCGGTACTCACAATCCCACGAATAGCTCCGCCATCTTCCTGTCACATCCCTTGGGCCGCAGATCCTCTTACGCAGGTTTTTATTCGCCTTTGCACCATCCACATCCACAGGATGATCGCTGCTTCTGTGCTTCCTCGATGCTTTCTTCGGCTCGGACATAACTTCCCGAGGCGCAGATATTCGATGTCTACGATCCCTCCTTGGCTACGAGACAATTTCTCTCTGTGGCCCACCTTTCTAAACGAAGTGGAGCAGGTAGTTCTTTTGAGGGCTGCTCTACGGAAGCTCGACGACAATGAAAGCAGGACTATGCGTCGTCGGCGCCGGGACTATCTAGCTGCACATCAGGAAACAGCCCCACGATTGCCCAGTCTAGGCACTCCGATCACCAAAGTATTCCTTCCCGATGAGTACTACCAATTTGAGGAAGTGAGAGGGTTTGCCTCCCACATTACCGCGCTCTTCTACTGATATAAGACTATGTTACAAGGGGCACTTCGACGGGGTCATTAAAAGATACCGTGAAATACATGTCTCATCGTGGGGCGTGAATCAGCCAGAACCGCCTCTCGTGTCTGTGCTTGATCGTCTACATGGGCTTCATCCAAGCGGGAGTGCCACTCAAACCCATGTCCTTCACCTGGCATCTGACGGCGAAATCCTGCCCCATATCGATAATACAGAGGCCAGTGGCTCCTGGATCATGGGCGTTAGCTTAGGCGACGAACGGATCCTTCGCGTGGCGCCAGATGAGAAATACACTGCAACTGAGCCTTTCGAAATTGCATTACCGTCAGGTAGTGTGTATCTACAGAAGTCTGTAAAACCTACTGCTCTGCGAGATCACGACACTGACTTATTGAACTTAGAGATTCTGTGCGATATCGTAGCAAACATTCTATTTTGCCTGCTACAAACCGAAACCAAGATGGGACGAATACTCAACGATTGAGCGTAATGATCCGAGTGAGTTACGGGGTCTACCATTACTAGTAGATGTTCTGACTTTATCAGGATACAATTCCCGTGAAATCATAATGCGTCTAAAAAGGAGATGGCCTGACTATCTAGAAAGTGAGTGCAGTATTTCACCACTTCTACGCGCGAATACATAGATGAAGTATCTCGCTGATCAGCCAGTTCATCGCCAGATTCACTGCTACAGGAGTCATCGTGCTTAATGACCAGAAGTGTGCATAGAGACCGACAAGATATAGGTACTTGGGATGCCTAACACTGATTCAGCGTCACTTTGGATTCGAAGATTATTATTGTCTTACCTGGCGCACACGATTTCTTGCAATGCCGATAGGACTTCACTGTCACCGACGGTAAATTTGTCCAAGAAAGCCGATGAACCTTGATGGTCAGAGAATCCACCGGTGGCTGTATGAGTTCATGGAACCGAATTCCAGTTCAGAGCAAAAGGGCAAGACTCACGGATGGGTCCGCGGGGTTGAACACGATGAATCTGCCTGTACGCAACGACAACTAGTTCAGCTCGTTGTCGAATTTCGAAGTGTAGTGATGGCCGATGGCCTACCTCAATTCTCGATCATGCGAACTTGAGTCACATTTCACCAGAGACAGATCCCATAAGCCCACGATGAGAGTGGTCACCCGTATGTTTGTGGGTTGGAGCATCCTGGCTAGGCTACGAGCAGTCGCGAGGCGAGCCTGTTCGAGGGCCGAACTAAAGGGATGTGTATCGTCTATCTGATGATCAGTTTCTGGATGTGTTCCTGAGTAGGGCAGACCGTACCTTGACCACAGCAGGACAGTACCAGAATCCGACCTGACGATTCAGTGAGCATCTTCTTGTAGTCTTCAGCCATGATGATCGGTTCTGCGATGGCCCGAAAGCTGGCTCCACATACGGCCTCGCATTTACCTACGGGTACCGAATGAGCCAGAAGGAAATCTGCTGATTGCTGTGTGGCGCCTGGTGTGCCACACAGTATGAGCGATACTAGATGGAGGTCGTATTCGGAGCAGAAAGCCTGGATGGTTTCACGGACCCGGTTCCGCTGCGAAGCTGACCAAACATCCAATGACATGGGCGCCACGACTCCCCATGGTATCGTACGCGATCGTTCTTTGCGGTTATGCCAGATGTAGAGAAGCTGAAAACGACGTCAGAATCTGGTGGTGATAGGAGGATAAGACCGCTTACCGCGGCAACATCTGAAATGCCTTCGTCCTCCTGCCTCATTTCATTCGGGAAGAGGGCAAAGACGGTGTACCCCAATTCTGAGAATCGCAATGCTGCACTTCTACCCAGCCCTGAAGAACCATGCAAGGTCAGTAAAAGGAATGTCGAATCCAGCTGAAGGGGCGGTGGAGACAATGGCACCTTGATGAGCACCGAGTATGAGTATAGCACTTTCATGAGGCGGGTAGACGCCGCATGGTTGTACACGCAGCGCACCGCAACCTGTAGCGAAAATCCATGAAGTCACAGAATCCAGCCTGTCGCATAGAACCTTCATTGACTTGAGTGAAATACGGACGGTCCAGGTGAGGAGACGAGCGGAGAGTGTAGTGCAGCCGGCTAGAAGATCTCGCCACATGAGAGCCAGGATCCAGTTGATCTGTACCGGATATAGTAATGGCGAAGAACAGACAGTGCGAGCGAAGATACGCCTGAGTTTGCGTAGGAACATAGGGACAAATGTAGTTTTCGTTAATAAGGATCCGAGCTAGAATGACATACCTTTATATGACTTGAAAAATGAAGCGATTCCAAAGTGCTACAAGTCACGGATGTCTCAAATGGGTAAAAATCTTACTACTAGAAGCGGAGTGGGGAGCTCCTGTAACGAGCTTCAGACGGACAGGAGAGGACTCTGCTTTTGTTGCTTCAGTCGGCTGAGCACCCGAAAGAAGAGGCCTCAGAGGATGGTATGGGGAGTCCGGCAGCCAATCAGAATATGTCTCGGCTTCCACGATGCGGTGAACCACGGCGTCACTGTGCTCGGGTTCTGGCCCACGAACTCGTATACAAAAGAGAAAGAAAACAAGCCAAGCAAATCAACCATTTCAAGGCCCTGGACAGTGGATTGTCAGAACGTTGACTTGCGCTTTGACGGGATTTACAGAAGGTTGTGCCAGGAACTGGGATCAAAAGCGCTAGCGCGTAAAATTAAAGGTAGAGAAGCGGCTCGCAAAGCGCTGAGTTATTTGGCCGGATTGCCACTTTTGATTGTCGAGGGCGCTTTGAATAACCGGTTTATGAAGATCACGTAACGCTCATCTCTTGTCGGAGTCACGGGCGAGCAAGAAAACAGCTGAAGACCGTCATCGATCTACGAATCGCTCGATCGGGAGATGTGCCTCAGCCGACCTCACCTTAGTTCTCAAGCACGATACGGTCTCGATGTTTAGATACTGGGCACGAGAAATCGAAGCTGAACTGTCAATTCATAGTAAGTCGCGCTCAGGAGATTAAGCCCGGAAACCACCTTTCGATTAGCCAGAAGTGGCGTACAACTGCCTGACAACAAATAGATACCCGTCTGCCTAATGCCTAGACCATGCTCGACATAGCTCTATGCGCACAATGAAGGTGTACAGCGCGAGGGGGCGCAAGGCCACTCAACGCTAACTCGACACTTGACGTCATCCATTTCAGGCGAGGCGCGTCGCGTCGCGTCATGCCATCCTGAGAGACTAGAATGTTATTTTCAGAGACACACGGACGACAAGACAGAAACAGACCATACAAGAGTAAGATAGGCAAGCCGAAAAGCTGTTGACGATCCTCAATCAATACGATGCACAATGTCCGGAAAGTTCGTGATGATTCGAGGCGCAAAGTGGCGAGCGTTCGCAGTCCGCAGGCACGATGAATGGGCGTTCACCGAGCGGGGCTGAGCACGTCGATTCTAGGAGAGTTTGAGTTCGTGTACCAAAGCAAGCGGGATGGAAATAGACTTACGGTAGCGTCACTGTCTTCCCGCTTCCATCTATCTGAACAACAGCGACCTGTGTACCCTGTCCACGAATGTCAGTACACCTCGTGTGGCGGTGCGTCTCAATAAGTAGAATGGACGAACATCAGCTTGTACATTGGTACCCTTTACGACGCCCTTGACGGCGGTCCCATTCGCATCCCAAAAAAAGACACGACTGCCATTCTGCTCGAGCAAAGTCAATGACGTGCACATTGCCGAGCGAAAATTTTAGTTACTCACGGGGTAAGCGTTCATAGCCGAAATAGAAGGGCTTTGGTGAGTGGAATGGTTTGTGGGTGTGGATGTGCTCTCTTCTGTCAGTCCGAGTGTTGAGAGGTGAGGAACTTGACAACTGACGACGGACGAGCAGAGTCTTTATACCTGGCAAATTATTCCGACCCGAGGAGCTCTCGTTGAGTAAAGAGATCGAGTTCACGTCACACTCATAGAACCCCAAGTGAGCATCAGCAGGAAATTATAGAAGGACTGCATGGAGAGGGACGTCCAGATCTGTAGCGCCGAACTGGGGATGTTTTCATATCGTTCGATACACAGATCGCTCTCCGGAGTACAGCTCTACGGTAGCGAATGGTCCTGCGAGGGAGAGACCAGGCGATAATCGGCAGAATTAGGATGCGCAGGTCAGACTTTCCACGATTGCGAGGTGAAATATCGGGTCCGGTCTACAGAAGTCGAGACCTTTACAACGTGTGTGGGGAAGGAACCCAGCGAAAGTGATGGTATGTGAGGCCGAACTTGTCGAGTGGTCCCCTCCGGGAGGGCGTGATACTTCGCGAATTGGAAAAGCTGAGACAAGTTACCGGGTGTGTTTTTCGAGGATCGAAGGTATTAATCACGGCAGGCACGACGAAGGGGCGCAAACGTAATGAAGCAGTAAAGGGTAAACGTATGGTCCCTCGAGAGGCTGGTCCTAGAGAAAATACAAACGCACGCAGACACCACGCGTGCTAATTCCCGTCTGCATCGCACTCTGCGGGGACGGACTTCCACGCATGCTTTGAACGACGCGCGAGCTTGAGTGATATATCCGAGGACGTATCAGTTCGAGGAAGGCCTTCCCATGCGAGTTTGGAGAGCAGAACGGCGTGCAGATCAACACAGGCGAAACCGAAGTGCAGCGTTTTCACGCGCGGATGAGTTGAAGATGGGCCGAGGACGTCCAACACTGCTCTTCTTCCCACGATGAACGATGCAGCGGCTCGCCACGTGGCCACCGTCCTGGATCAAATGGCTTCCGCTTCGTCCGCCACGCTCGTTTGTTCAACCTACACCAGCATGCCACCCACTCAAGCTGCGCCTCCACCGTCTACGAAACCAGCTCCAGCGCGCCATGATATGTCTGTGATCCTCGTCACAGGCTCTTATGACCATGAAATACGCTTCTGGGAAGCTTGGAGTGGCATCTGTTCCAGAACAATCGCTCGCTCCGGCGAGATTGGTGTAAGGCCCAGTCTCCTCTGAACCTTTCCATCTCATATATACTTCCTAATCACCGTCTCTGGTCGCCGAACAGCAAGTTAATCGTCTAGCTATCTCCCCCGAGCAAGTTACTTCGGTATACTTACATCCTCCGCAAGCCAGTTGACCCCATTGCCCCTATTGCCTTTAGCAAACGCCTCTTAGCTGCAGCGATCCACAAGAAGGTCAACATATATGAGATCGCGAGTTCTTCCTCTACCCCAGTTCGTCGATCACCTCTTTCTACATCGGCTCACCGCACAATGCTGAACCCATACCGTAGCTGATCACATTTGATGGACACACCATGAATGTCACCTCCGTGTGCTTCCATAGTCAGGGCAAATGGCTTGTGACCGGTAGTGAGGATGGTACTATCAAAATATGGGATCTGCGGTTCGTCGATTACTGTATGGAAAACATGGCTAGCCATCTGACAAACTGATTAGGAGCACGCACCTTCATCGTAACTATAATAACGAAGCGCCCGGTTCGTCACCGTTCGCACATCGCCTCCCTCCGATACGAAGTCGAAATATCATCTTATCTATAAATGCTAGTGAATGATGTATGTGTGCATCCCAATCAAGGCGAGCTGATCTCCTGTGATCAAGCAGGCAGGATAAAGCAGTGGGACCTATCCGAAAATATCTGCACTCATGAACTGGTATGTCCAATTCTGCGTTTGTACATTGATTGATCGAACAGTTCTCTTACGACCTGGTTGACTTGGCTCTGGAACAGACTCCTGCCGGAGATGTTCCTATTCGCTCAGTGACACTGGCTTCGGATGGCACATGCTTGGTCGCAGGCAATAACAAGGTGGGGCTGACGAGATTGGCCTATTAGCTGTTGCTGAAAGAACCACATAGGGCAAATGCTATGTTTGGAAAATCAATGAAGAGAGCTCACAACTCCCTCGATTCCAAGCAGTCACGAAGTTTCAGGCGCACGCCAAGTACCTCACGAGATGTCTTCTTAGCCCAGACGTGAAGTACGTACCTCTGAGGTTCGATAGTTTCCACCTTCGCATGTTTTACTCTGGGTAGATTCCTTGCCACATGCTCGGCGGATACTACCGTCAAGATCTGGTCGATCTCCTCCAACTACGACTTCAAACTCGAAAAAGTCTTACAGGGACACCAAAGGTGGGTATGGGACTGCGCCTTCAGTGCCGATTCCGCATATCTTGTCACCGGTGAGCTCCTTGTCGATCATAAATCAACGTGGACTTCGCACTGACTTCGATGTTAGCTTCTTCGGATCACACTGCTCGACTGTGGGAGATGGCATCGGGAGACACGGTCAGACAATATAACGGGCACCACAAAGGTCTGGCCACATCCCTCATCTGTGCCTTACAATTATTGACTGAAAGTATGGATAGCGGCCGTATGTTGCGCTTTGCACGATGGCGCAGGCTAACCAGGCAGAGTGTCACGTTCTTTTGGTGCTCTCCCTGGCAGATGGTTGTACGTCGTTGATCACAATACACAGCCCTGATCATACCGCTCCTATGTGTGCTGATCTTGCGAGTCTGCGGAGCCTCCCTCAAATTTCGATCCGGGGCCTGCTTTCAGTTCCGAGGGGCGCATCCTGGTTCTTTTCGTCAAGTTCGGTGGAATACGAAGCATGTTCTCCAGGCGCCTCGAGATGAGGACCATGTTTCGTCCCCAACGAAGCTGCTTATTCTTGTCCGGGATAATGCATGCCCAGCCACAGTCTGATATTGGCCGTATCTGGGTTTTCGATACCTGATTAGCTCTACAAATGGACCGGACCTTGAACCCTATGACGCTGGCGAAAGCTCTGGGGCAGAGGTAACGACAGACGTCAAGCCAACGGCAGGCCCATAGGCTAGGTCCTTGGAGAGACGTTGTTCACTCGCATACGGCATGAGACATAGCTTCGGGTTTGTATACTTAGAACGTGTGTTCAAGATGGAAGGACGTAAGAAGACGTCTATGGCGTCGATTAATACGGAGTCACCGATGCTGAAGAAAAATCCTACCGCGGTAGAATGTTGTCCGCCCCAGTACTTAGACTCGCAGCCCTCATGTACTGCTCCCGTCTGACGTGCACGTTGAAGTCGTGGATCAGTGGAAAGAGGAGACGAGCAACGGCATAGTCTGATATGCATGTTGTGAGGCTAGACGTTCATGCAATGTGGAGGTTCGACTTTTCCGACAGGGAGAGTACCACGAAGGCGGAGCTCCTGTTCTGTGGCGATTAAGAGCGTCAAGGGACATAAACGTGGACGGAGAACTCTGCACGAAATTCCCATCTAATTGACTGGCAGATAACATGAACGTTCGGAGGCATAGATATCGGTTCGTGGTGTGGCCCCGAGGTGACAGTATCGGAGGGTGGCGGAAGGAGCTCAGCCCACGGCGAGCGCAAACATTAACGGGGCTACGACGATTGGCTGGACGGATGCGGGACGGGAATCCGGGGCTCCGGAGCGCGCGGCGCCAGGCTGGAGCTCGACGCTGCTGCTCCAGCTCTGACCTGACTCCGCCGACAAAGGTGGCAATTTTCATCTATCGACGGTGACGGGCCTGCTCTTTCTTTTACCTCCATCGTCCTCGCCAGCGAACAGCCCATCTCGTACACAATCTTCGTCGAAAACAGCTGCCTATTCTATGGCCCCTTCCCTCAATGATCTCCAACCTGATTGTTCTCTTCCTCTAGTCGAGGACATCGCTACCCAGTCCTCTCTCGACAGCTTCAACTCTGTCCAGCGCGATCCTGAGTCCTGGGCCGGTGCTCTTCCTGCTAGTCAAGGCCTCTATTCGAATGAGCTCGAGAAGGACTCTTGCGGTGTAGGCTTTATCTGTCACATCAAAGGTGCTCAGAGCCACAAAATCGTTTCCGATGCGAGACAGCTGCTCTGCGCGATGACCCACAGAGGGGCCACCGGTGCTGATAGTCGAGATGGAGATGGTGCAGGCGTCATGACCGGCATTCCTCACCAGTTCTTCAAGCGTGAGGCCGAGCGCGACCTTGGTCTCACTCTCCCCGAGCCCGGGGAATATGCTGTCGGCAATATCTTCTTCAAGCCCAACGATCCCATCCAACTTCAAAAGCAACAAGCTATCTTCTCTCGCGCTGCCAGTGATCTCGGTCTTCGAGTGCTCGGATGGCGTGAAGTTCCGACTGATGGCTCTATTCTCGGACCCGCGGCCAGTAGCAAGGAACCCGTTATCCTTCAACCTTTTGTCGTTCTTCGCTCCCACTACGGCGACGGCAATCAGAGTCAAGGTGGTGCGTTTGATGCCAAACGCCTTGAACGACAGCTCTATGTGCTTCGTAAGCACGCTACGCACAGCATGTTTGTGGATCTCGTTAATGTGCTTTTGTACGAATGTAACTCACCCTTCTATACTCTTGATCGTTCAAAGTACACTTGCCAAGGGCTTCTACATTTGCTCTCTGTCATCGAAGAACATCGTTTACAAGGGCCAGCTTTCGCCGCCTCAAGTTTACAACTACTATCATGATCTCAACCACGCCATGTACTACTCCCACTTCACTCTCGTCCATTCGCGCTTCTCGACGAACACTTTCCCCAGTTGGGACCGTGCACAGCCCATGCGGTGGGCCGCTCACAACGGTTTGTTGCGATCTCTAGTATTCGTAGTTTTCAATGATTAATATTATTCCAATCCTCAGGCGAAATCAACACGGTTCGCGGCAACAAGAACTGGATGCGTGCTCGTGAGGGCGTACTCACTTCCACCAACTTCGGCGAGGATCTCGACCTTCTATACCCCATCATCGAGGCTGGCGGTTCCGACTCTGCTGCCTTCGATAACGTTCTTGAGTTGCTGGTTGTGAATGGCGTGTTGACCTTACCCGAGGCGGTTATGATGCTTATTCCCGAGGCGTGGCAGGGTAATGAGCAGATGGAACCCGAGAAGAGGGCGTTCTACAACTGGGCTGCTTGTCTGCAGGAGCCTTGGGATGGGCCCGCTCTGTTCGCCTTCTCAGATGGGCGTTTCTGCGGAGCCAATCTTGATCGTAATGGCCTTCGCCCGTGCCGTTTCGTCGTCACGAACGAGGATATCATGGTTTGCGCCTCTGAGGTCGGAGCAGTCTTCATACCACCGGAGAAGGTCGTTCAGAAGGGTCGTCTGAAGCCTGGACGTATGCTACTCGTCGACACGATGGAGGGCCGAATTGTAGACGATAAGGAGTTGAAGCGGAATACGGCCAGGAAGCAGAACTTCGCATCTTGGATCGAGTCGAACATGCTCCTCGTTCCTAACATTGTCAAGCGCGTCATGCGTAGCCAGTCCATCGAGGCCCATCCTGACGACACATCTTTAAGCACCGACCCTCGACTTCTCGCTTTCGGGTTCACCGTTGAGCAGCTGAACCTCCTCTTCCTGCCTATGGTGACTGAGGGGAAAGAGGCACTCGGTTCCATGGGTAACGACGCTCCTCTGGCCGCCATGGCCACCCAACCTCGCATCATCTATGACTACTTCCGCCAATTATTCGCGCAGGTCACCAACCCGCCCATCGATCCGATTCGAGAGAGTATCGTCATGTCACTCGAGTCGTACGTGGGCCCGGAAGGCAATTTGCTCGAAATGCGCCCCGAGCAGTGCCATCGTATTCTTCTTCCTTCACCTATCATCACCATCGAGGAGATGAACGCCATGAAGAAAATCGAGTTCGCCTATTCTACTTGGGTCTCGCGTACCATCGATATCACGTTCCCGAAAGAAGAGGGCCTGCCGGGTTACAAGCTCGCTCTCGACCGCGTCTGCGCTGAGGCCACTGCCGCCATTGACGATGGGATCAAGGTCATCGTCCTCTCAGATCGAGCCATAGGTCCCTCGCGCGTTCCCCTTTCTGCGCTCGCCGCCTGCGGTGGCGTTCATCACCATCTTACCATGCAGAAGAAGCGCGCGAAAGTCGCCCTCATGGTCGAAACCGCTGAGGCTCGCGATGTTCATCATCTTTGTGTACTGGTTGGCTACGGTGCCGACGCTATCTGCCCTTGGCTTATCATGGAGACGGTTCACAAGGTTGCTCGGGAGGGACTGTGAGTCTTATGTTCATAATCGTTAGCCTCGTATTATATACTTATAGTGTGATACCGTTGTAGTTCCAAGGACAACAAGAGCGTCGAACAGCTCATGTCGAACTATCGCAAGTCAATCGACAACGGTATTTTGAAGGTCATGTCGAAGATGGGTATCTCAACTCTCCAGTCCTACAAGGGCGCCCAGATTTTCGAAGCACTTGGTCTTCACACCGAAGTCATCGACCGCTGCTTCATTGGGACCGCCAGTCGCATCGAGGGTGCTACTTTTGACCTTCTTGCCATGGACGCCTTCGAGCTCCACGAGCGAGGGTGGCCCTCTCGCGAAACCATCGTGCCGCCGGGCATGCCCGAATCCGGCGAATACCATTGGCGCGATGGTGGCGAGCCACACATCAACGACCCGACAGGAATCGCCAATCTACAGGACGCCGTGCACGAGAGAAACCAGAAGTCTTACGACGCATATGCCCAGAACGCAAATAACCAGGCGAAGGGTGTTCAGCTACGTGGCCTTCTCGATTTCCGCTTCGAGAACGCCGTCCCTATCCCCATCGACCAGGTCGAACCCTGGAACGAGATCGTCAGACGCTTCGTTACCGGTGCCATGTCCTACGGATCTATCTCGATGGAAGCCCATTCTACCCTCGCCATCGCTATGAACCGTCTCGGTGGGAAGTCTAACACCGGAGAAGGTGGAGAAGACGCGGAGAGATCCTCAGTCCTCACGAACGGAGACACCATGCGATCGGCTATCAAGCAAGTCGCCTCTGGTCGATTCGGTGTCACCTCCAACTACCTTGCCGATTCCGACGAGTTGCAAATCAAGATGGCTCAGGGCGCGAAACCTGGAGAGGGCGGTGAACTTCCTGGCCATAAGGTTTCTCTCTCCATCGCACGCACCCGTCATTCCACCGCTGGCGTGGGTCTCATCTCTCCTCCCCCGCACCACGACATCTACTCCATTGAGGATCTGAAGCAACTCATCTATGACCTTAAATGCTCCAATCCTCGCGCTCGCGTTTCTGTGAAGCTCGTCTCGGAGGTGGGTGTTGGCATCGTCGCCAGTGGTGTGGCAAAGGCGAAGGCGGATCATATCCTCATTTCTGGCCACGATGGTGGCACCGGTGCTTCTCGGTGGACAGGTATCAAGAACGCCGGTCTTCCCTGGGAACTTGGTTTGGCCGAGACGCATCAGACGCTCGTTTTGAATGATCTGCGTGGACGTGTGACTGTCCAAACAGACGGTCAGATTCGTACCGGACGCGATATCGCCGTTGCGTGTCTTCTCGGTGCGGAAGAGTGGGGTTTCGCCACCACGCCCCTCATCGCTATGGGTTGTATCATGATGAGGAAATGTCACCGTAAGAGTTTTTTTTCTTCTTTCCCATCGACCCTCAGATCTGATTCGCATCGCTATTTTTTTCACAGTCAATACGTGCCCTGTCGGTATCGCCACGCAGGACCCTCAACTTCGTGCGAAGTTCGCTGGCCAGCCCGAGCACGTTATCAACTTCTTCTACTACCTCGCGGAAGAACTTCGTGGTTACATGGCGAAGTTGGGTTTCCGTACGATCAACGAGATGGTTGGAAGGGCCGACATGCTCAAGGTCGACGAGAAACTGCGTACTCCGAAGACCGCTCATCTCGACCTATCAGCTATTCTCAAGCCTGCCTGGCAAATGCGTCCCGGTGCACCGACCTACCGTGTTCGGCAACAGGACCACAAGCTCTACATCCGTCTCGACAACAAGTTCATCGACGAATCCGAGCCCGCTCTCACCAAGGGTCTTCCCGTCCACATCGAGTGCGATGTCACCAACACCGATCGTGCCCTGGGGACTACTTTGTCGTACCGGGTGTCGAAGCTCTATGGCGAAGAAGGTCTACCACGCGACACCATTCATATCAGCATGAAGGGATCCGCAGGTCAATCATGCGGCGCCTTCCTCGCTCCTGGAATCACCATCGAACTCGAGGGTGACGCCAACGACTATGTCGGAAAAGGTCTTTCAGGAGGTCGCTTAGTAGTATACCCTCCCCACCAGTCTACGTTCAAGGCCGAGGAGAACGTCATCATCGGAAACGTCTGCCTGTATGGAGCGACCTCCGGCGAGGCCTTCATCCGCGGTATCGCCGCCGAGCGGTTCGCCGTGCGTAATTCTGGAGCGAACGCGGTCGTCGAAGGAACAGGAGACCACGGCTGCGAGTACATGACGGGAGGTCGTGTCGTCGTTCTCGGTACTACCGGCCGAAACTTCGCCGCAGGAATGAGCGGTGGTATCGCCTATGTCCTGGACACGGCGCACACATTCGCCTCGAAGGTGAATATGGAGATGGTCGAACTCGGAAAGGTCACGGAGCCTCGAGAGATCGCGGAGCTTCGTAGTCTCATCGAAGATCATCGCCACTACACTGGGTCTGAGGTCGCTGACCGGGTCCTTCGTGACTTCCACCATCTCCTGCCTCTGTTCGTTCGTGTTATGCCAGGTGACTACAAACGCGTCTTGGAGGAGCAGGCTGCGAAGGCGAAGGAGGATCGACTCCGTCACAGCGTCATCGATCTCGTGCCGTCTCGCACCGCCAGCCAGGTCGACTTGGCGTCGGAGGGCTTGGAGGACATCCTCCTTCCGAAGGAGCCTCAGTCTCATGTTACTTCCGTGCACGCAACTTCCAAACGCCACGAACCGTCTGTTGTCGATCTCGAGGATTCCATGGTGGATGACGCCTCTACCAAACAACGCTTGCACAAGCTGGACAAGACCCGAGGCTTCATGAAGTACAAACGACTCGGCGAGGCTTACCGCCCTCCTCGTAAACGTACGAAGGACTGGAAGGAAATCTCCACCCGTTTGACGGAGAGCGAGCTCAAGTACCAGTCTGCTCGTTGCATGGACTGCGGTGTTCCTTTCTGTCAGTCTGATTCGGGTTGCCCTATCTCTAACGTTATACCGAAATGGAACGACCTCGTCTTCAAGGGTCAGTGGCAAGATGCGCTGAACCGCTTGCTCTTGACGAACAACTTCCCGGAGTTCACCGGTAGGGTGTGCCCTGCGCCCTGTGAGGGTGCATGCGTCCTCGGTATCAATGAGCAGCCAGTGGGGATCAAGAGTATTGAATGCGCCATTATCGACAAGGTTCGTTTTTTTTCTTCGCCACTTTTTACGTGCGTACCTCTAACCGAACGATTTGTCTCACCTAGGGCTTCGAAATGGGGTGGATGAGCCCCAACCCTCCCTCCTTCAGCACTGGGAAGAGGGTAGCAATCGTCGGATCGGGTCCGTCTGGTCTCGCATGCGCAGACCAATTGAACAAAGCAGGCCACAAAGTCACTGTGTACGACCGCAATGATCGCATGGGAGGTCTCCTCATGTACGGCATCCCGAAGTACGTCCTTTCTTCCCGGATCCTATTGCATCCTTTGCGACCGCTCAAAAAATTTCTGCTTTCCACAGCATGAAACTTGACAAAGCTGTTGTCCAACGTCGTCTGGATCTCATGGCTGCCGAAGGAGTGGTTCGTTATTTTAAGGTTCATAGCTTGCATATGGTCGATCTGCTAATACCTCCTCTTGGGTTTATTCTTCGTGGATAGACGTTCGTTCCTAACACGCACGTTGGTGTTGACGTTGACGTTGAGGACATTCGGGCTGAGCATGACGCAGTCGTTATCTGCACTGGTGCGACATGGCCTCGCGACCTGAGAATTCCTGGACGCGATGCGGATGGTATCCACTTCGCCATGGAGTTCTTACAGGTACGTTCTGTTTTTCATTTCGCTTTGCTCTCATCGATTCGCAGTTCTGTCACTTCTCCCGGGAATCGATTGGGCTGAATGAAAACTCTCTACTTTATTTATTTTTAGCTGAACACTGCATCGCTTCTTGACTCTGGACTGGATGACGGAAGATACATCAACGCGAAGGGCAAGGATGTCATCGTCATTGGTGGTGGTGACACTGGAAATGATTGTATCGGTACTTCCATGCGTCACGGAGCTAAGTCGGTCACCAACTTCGAGTTGCTTCCAAAACCGCCTGTGTCACGCGGCAGGGATAATCCATGGCCACAGTGGCCGAGGTAAGCGTATTTTACCCACCCCTTGTGGGACATCTACTTAAATCAGTGCTTTCCCTTCGTCTCTAATGTGTAGAATCTTCCGCACGGATTATGGCCATACTGAAGTCGCAGCTCATTTCGGAAACGGTAAGCCGTTTCGCATTCCCGTCGATCCTGTGCGGACAATATACTCATCTCGCCCTATTTTAGACCCTCGTGAATACTGCATTTCCACGAAGGAGTTCGTCCTTGAGGACGGCAAGCTCAAGGGCTTGAATACCGGTACATACCGTTCACTCTTCAGCCCGTGAACTCGCACTGACACGTAACTTTCCCTTGCTTCTGTTAGTCCGTGTCGAATGGACCAAGGACAGCGGTGGCCGGTGGAAGATGGAGGAAGTTCCAGGTTCCGAGAAATTCTTCCCCGCGCAACTTGTCTTCCTCGCCCTCGGTTTCTTGGGTCCGCAGGCCGAGGTTATCAAGGCCCTAGGTATCAAGCAAGACGCTAGGTCAAACATCGAAACGCCACACAAGAGTTACTCAACCAATATTGATGGCGTTTTCGCCGCCGGCGATTGTCGTCGCGGACAGTCGCTTATTGTCTGGGGTATCAAGTGAGTTACCGGCGGCCTTTGTCTCCCGTAAACTGGCGTTGAATATGTCTCGTTTTTGCAGTGAGGGTCGTGGCGCCGCCGCTCAGGTCGATGCATGGCTCATGTCCAATACCAGACTTCCGGTTGCTGGCGGCATCAAGACGAGGGTGAGTGGAAACTATCTTCCGTCACCACTTTTACAAAGCACTGACAGGCTTCCTGTGCTCTTTAGTCCTTCGTTCCTCCTCCTAGCAAGCTCTCCGGTGTTGTGCAAGCCTGAAAGCTTCCTATGCTTTCGGCAACGAAACTATCTGTATCAATATTCCGCGTACAAATTGTTTGGGTTTTAGGTTGGTTTTGCTGCTGTTGTTGCCACTGGCTAATGTTGTATCGTGATATGTTGTTTGTATCTCGACGTCTTTGGGATTATGGAATTGTGACGATGAAAGAAACAGGCATAGGAAGAAAACCAGGTTTCCATCCTTGTATTCATACGATAACGTCGCTCCCCATACTCGCATTTCTCCATTGTGTTCACTACGAATCTATCTCTCTTCTTACTTCTCTCTCCTTATTGCTTCTCTCCGCGATGTATCTCATGCATATAGTAATGACATTCAACTGTTCTTTGACAAATCAGAGTGTCTGCGTGTTTGCATCACACACTTTATGAAGTACGAAGTATGGTAAAAAATGTGCGTAGTAAGCTTAAAGAAGAGTGTCGGACATTTCGGAAATAAGTTTTCAACTAGATACAGTCTACATCTGTGGGGGGCCAACGAATAAAACGCAACAACATCCGGCAGAAAACGAATGCATCCCGCTCACTCCTGATAGATTCGAACGCCACCCTTGCCCCAGCTCTGCATCACCGCCTGTCCAGAATTTGTAGGTTGCGTGAATGCCACTTCACCTTCTCTCGGATCGAGCTTGCAACCGTGCACGAACGTAGCGACAGCAGCATCTAGTAGGCTTGTAGCGATACCTAGTCTGCGGTGTGCCGAAGGGACAAAGAGACGGGGGATGCCCATCGGGGTAGGAAGAGGGGTTGGATGACAGAATAGACCTGTAGAGGTGTCGATTGCGACTAGGGTTGCTGTGGGTGGTGGAACCGTTGCGTCGTTTGATGTGGTCTCGGGGACCGTTGATGACGACGAAGACGACGGAGTAGTATTCGATGGGGGAGAAATGGCCATTGCGGTGGAGATGTGTTGGGCGATCACGCAGCCTACGATCTTTTCGCGCGCGACAGAAGATGGGGAAGGAAGAAGGAATAGATAAAGTTTGCAGTCGCGGAGTGTTGACGGAGATAGGGGCGGCGAAGACAGTGTAAGGCGAATAGTCTCGAGCAATGTGGCAAGCTGCAGCATGAAAGGCACATGTCAAAACGATGCAGTGTAGTATGTTACGAAGGGAAAAATATACCTTGGAGCCAATCTTTCCTCCAACATCAGCCTTCACGGCCACGATCCTCCCCTTTGCACCGTTCTTGAGCTTAACGGAGGAAGCAACCTCTGTCGCCCCGGCTTTCGTGAATTCCTTCTCCTCATCCCTTCCCCACTCCATCCCACGCTGCACTCGTGTGCAATGCGACTTGTGGAGAGCTTCATCGTCCGGGGCTCCCTTCGTGTAGGTCAGATCGCAGAGTTCGCAGGTACGAAGGACGGAGGTGTCAAGGCTGAAATGGAGCTGAGTGAGCGCATTGCGGTTCTTCTTTTTCTTCTCTGACTGTTTGCTCTTGACGGGATTTGCTTTGGCCTTGGTCTTAGCAGAGACCTTGGGCTTGGCTACCGACTTTGAGTTGTATGGAAAGTATACTGAGATTGGAGATGATAGAGTGTATCGCGCCCGCTTAGGAGGTGGTGTATTTGGTGCTGACGGGTGGTCTGTGAGAGGTCTCTTGCGTGGGGGTGTGCTTGGTTGGGAAGACGGTGGTGGAGATGAAGAAAGTCGAGACGGAGATGATGAAGGCTGCAAAGATCTGTTAGATCGCGAGCTGTAAGTACGGCGGACGGCCATGGTTGTAGGGAGCAAGTGGGATGAAGGAAGGATGTCGCGGAATGGCGGAAGCTGCTTTTATAAGCCGCCGGAAAGGGCAATCAACGCGGACTCGACGCGACGCGACGTTTGGCGCTGTTGACAGCTATTGACGCGCTGCATTGGGTCACGTGCCAGAGTGTCTGGCGCTCAGTTGCGGCGCAACTGGGCGCTTAATTCCTCGCCACCTTGAGGGCTGCATCCTCAGCGCTCAGGCCTCACTTACCAACAGTCTGCGGACTCGTCTTTTCACACCATCTCCAACTAACAGACCACATAATGTCCGAGCACCGTTCAGTTCTTGCCAAGGCACAATTTGGACTGCTGTGTTGCCAGATAGCCGCTAATGCGTGCGTCACGAGTTCTTTCTCTCGCCACATCAGTTTGACATACGAACTAGCTTATCGATGTCTCCTCTACAGTCTCTTCGCAGGAGGCATCTATGTCTTTCCTATTCTGGCACCAGCTCTTGCAGAACATCTCAAACTCACCCAGCCACAGCTTACCTCCATTGTGCTTGCGTATGTAAACGATGTGCCCGTCTCACCGGGGACCTCCGGCTGATGGACTTCATGGTCACATTCAAGTGGCATGATAGGACAATATCCCTTCGCCGCGGTAGTTGGCAAGATAACTGATCGCTACGGCCCATGGGCCTGCTCTCTTGGAGCAGCTGTTCTCTTTACGCTTGGTTTCGGGCTGTTTGCCTTCGAAGTCTCCACTGTACCGGAGAATATCAGAACGGCGTCTCCATCGTCTGCCCGCCGACTTACAGTATTTTTTCTGCTAAATGGCCTTGGGACCGTCTTCTCGTGAGCGTAGGCTCTATCTGGCCGCACAGATCAATCCTGAATTTTTTTCTCAACCAAACAGCTATTTTTCGTCTCTGTTTGCCGCCTCAGAAGCGTTTCCGACGCACCCTGGCTTCGCGTCCGGATTTAGCATGTGCATTTTTGGCCTTTCCCCACTGTTCCTCTCCCTCATCGCCTCCACCTTCTTCACAAATGCCCATTCTGGTCTCAATGTTACCAACTTTCTCACCTTCCTGGCCGTAATAACCGGCTTGGTTTACGTCCTAGGCGCTTTTATCCTTCGCGCGCTCCCACCCAACACTTCCGACCCTCTACCCACTCCATCCGAGCCTGTTGTGCCCTCTACCTCCCATGAAGACCCAGAGCCTTCAGATTCGGCTGATGAGCGTGCACCTCTACTCCCTAACAAGACAACGGACGACCCGGCTGAACCTCATTCCAAGAAACTGGATGCTCAAGACGGCTCAGCCTTCACTCTCGTCAAAGACCCCCATTTCTGGCTTCTGGCCGTCTTCTCTCTCCTCATCTTGGGCGCCGTAAGTCACTCCTCGCTTCCCTTCACAGTCAATGAATCGTACCACGCGATCTAACGGCACATTTGATCTTGATGCATGCAACAGTGTGAGATGGTGATCTCTAATATTGGAACCATCGTATTATCTCTTCCTCCTTCTTCGCCCTCTATTGAAAACGTAACGGCGGTCGACAAGTCTACCGACGCCGCGACGTCTAATCAGGTCCGGTTCCTCTCCGTTGCCAACACGGTGTCCAGACTTCTGTCTGGACCCCTAGCAGACTTCACATCGCCCGTGTTATCCTACCTTCCCAGTGGCGTAGCTTCAGTGCCGCGAAAGCACTTCATTAGCCGTGTGGCGTTTCTTACAGGGGCGAGCCTCCTACTGATCATCTCGTTCACCTTACTCGAGACGATCATTAGGACTAGAGAGGGACTTTGGGTGCTCAGGTAACTTTCAGGCTCTTTCACAATCATGAAGGTTTCCGTCGGACATTGCCGCAAACCTCATGAATTTTGGAACTTTTTATCGCTGATCATCGGTTCATTCGTTTCCAGCATCGGGGTTGGGACAGCATACGGCATCGTGTTCACCGTTCTGTAAGTCACGCAGCACCTCGTACACCCTCTCCCTAACAAAGACTTCATTTCTCACCCACGTTTTCTCATATATTTATTTCTGACGTCCCCTCATACGCTACCATAAAAACTCTCCCAAAACCGGATATCGTCTCTTGACCTCGCCATACACCGGCCATTCTGTACTATTGACAATTTTGGAACAGACCGAGCATACTCTCCTCCATCTGGGGTCCCGCGAATGTCGGACGTAATTTTGGGTTGATATCGTACGCTCCCTTCTTCGGGACCACGTTCTTCTCGTACCTCTATGCCTTCGTGTCAGCGTCTCACAGACTCCAGGGAGACGGAGAAGGAGAAGGAAACGGGAGTGGTGGAAGTAGCGGCGAAGGCGATGGGGTGTGTGTAGGCGTCGACTGCTGGAGGCTGACGTTTTGGATCTGTGTGGGCGCTGCGTTGGTCTCGTTTTTGCAGAGCCTCGTATTATGGAGGCGTTGGAAAGGCCGTGTATAATTTAAGAAATCCCTCAAGCGTTCTCCGATTTCCCTTGTCGGGCAGTTTTTCTACACACTAGTGAGATGACTAGGTAGAATTCCAGAAATATCGTACAGGTATTCATTCTTGTCTTCAGCAGCAATGCACTATTACTATAGTTGGCATTTGTCTTTGAAAACGCAGCGATGTTCACGAGGGAGCTCTTGTCATAATTAATATCTTTGCCTCGAATAGCATTCCAGTCTACAATTATGCTTTCGACACATTCCTATAATCAGTAATTGCGTAGCGCCGGTTTGTGCTCCGCACGCAACAGCCTGCGGCAGCTCGAACTTTCTTTTGAATTTACACAATTTTGTCCTCCAAGATGAACTTCCTCAGGTTCTTGAACATAAGAAGAAGCGCTCGGCAAAGCGACGGCAGGCTAAATGATGTAATTCTGCCGACATGAGGCCGGCCACGCTAGAGGGGAGCGTTGAGATGTGTGAGACGCTCTTTCAATCCGACTCCTCGACGTCCCAGCACTTCGAATTCCTGCGGCTTAGTGGTATTCTTGCGGACTATACTACCTCTAACGCCACAATCAATCTCCGAGGCTTCTTGCCCTCCTCCCTCGCCTTTTCGGAAGTGGGCTCTCTCAGTATAGCCAACCCAACCAACTCCATTCTAGACTGTGTCTCCGCCGCGTCATCCCGTTACTGCCCTTAGTTTGCCCTGGCCCTGTTCTGGCTCTAGCTCGTCCAGTATCCTTGACCACTATTCTGAGCAAGAAGAACCTTCATCGGTCTCTATTGACTTGCCGTAATAGTTGGCCCATAATCCCAGCCTCGCCGATTTCAAGTTCTTCTGCAACACGCCCCCTCGAGGTCTCCCACCAGGGCGCACTGCATATCCGATCGAGACGAAGGGTGAGATATATACCTCTATTTCAAGCGCTTCTGTCCCCCTCCACCCACAAAGGTCACTCTCATCCCTCTCGTTTGGCTCTTACATAAACTTTACTCCCCACATCTCACATCTCACATCTGCGCTTTGCGCATCTCACGATGAGGGGCTCTTATTTTGAGCCAGTCATCGGCAGTCATTTCCTACTCCTCGCGATCAGGCTCAAGCTCACGCAAATTTTGCCAGGCTCACTCTGCCCGATCCCCGATTCCACTGAAGCCTGAGCTCGAAGTTCTTCTCAGACCCGAGTCGAGAGAGGCCCTATCCCTATCCTCGTTCTAGTCTATTCTCATCCTCGACTTCGCAAGTTCGAATTCGCACTTGACTTTGCACCAGTGCCCATACCACATACCGCACACACAAAACAACAACTAAATAAGGAGCGAGAACGATGTCAGCTCCGAAGCGCGATCCGACAGTAACTCTTCAACAGAGAGCATGTGCGTTGCTCCTTCATGGTTCGGCGGCCGCTGTTATGGCCTACGGCTGGTTCAGCATGCATGGGACACCGCTGGATGATTGGATTAATAGCCAGAAAGGGGGGCATTTTCAGTTTTTGACGATTCAAGGGTGAGTTTGAGTCTGAATCAGGTCACGGACATCTGTTCCATGGGTTTAGGCCGCAATTGCTTTTTTGGAAGCGCGAGAAATGAACTCGAGTTCTTAGTGATCCTTGAGTGGCGCAGACTCTATACAAGTGGAGCTGACCGATAGTTTCTGTTTTGCCTGGATAGGTTGATGGTGGCATGGGCTACTACCGTGATTAGTATTGGATGTGACCTTGTTCCTTCCTTTACCGGTACGTCTAATTTGCGTTCGATTCGAGCCCATTGGACGAGTAAGCTAACATTTGGCGCCACACCAGCTTTGAAGACGGTCAAACGAACATTGTTCATGATAGCAATGCCCGTACGCTGCATCCTATCCTCTAACATCCACCTCCGAGACTGACGAGATATTTCTCGTCCACCGCTCGATGATATTCCATAGCTCTCTATCGTGATCTCCACAATTTACTGGTCACTCTACCTCTTCGCCCCCGGCCTCATCCTCCAAACCGTCCCCTCCGAAGGCGAACCCTCCTCGTCCGACTTCACCCCCGAGCCCTTCCGCCTGCGGCTGTCTACCGACCTCGCTCTGCACGCCATTCCCGCGATATCGATGTTCGCAGATTTCAAGCTGTTTGAGCAGAAATACAGTGCGAGGGACGCTAGGCTCGGCGCTCCGTTGATGGCGCTCGGGGCGGCGCTGTGGTACGGGTGTTGGGTGGAATGGTTGGCTACGTATAACGGGATCTGTGAGTCCTCGTTTATCACCATGACTCCTTTTGAGCCTGTGTCTATCTAGAAAACGAAGGGATACGCGGATGAGACTAATTTGTGTTGTGTTATCTTTTTGGTAGTCCCATATCCGTTCTTGACCGAGAACCCATTCCCAATCCGTGTGGCCATCTACGCTGGAGCGACGTCTATCGCCCTCGTCTCTTTCTGGGTTATCAATGCGCTTCATACTCGTCCGTGGTTGGGTTCTTCAAGTCCATACCCACTGCAGGCGAATGGCGCCAAGGCCAAGTCGACTTGAGCATTCGGTGCTCCTGCCGTAGAGTTCTAACGTACACGACGCCCTGGTGTAGGTAGTGGGGAGGAATACGATATGTGTCCTAGGTGGTAGGACTTATGGCAAAATCTGGATCAAGACTTGTGTGTCATCCGGGGGAGAGGTTGTGTATTATAATTAGAAGTATTAGGGCATATATGTAGCGATGTAAACTCAACCCGTCGGCCAATCAGGAAGCGAGCTCTCGCGGTGGCTCCAACGTTTTGAACCGCTACATATATACCCTAATGGTAGGATGTGCATAATTTATCGGACGAACGATACCATGGACCCCGACATATTATTGCCATTTATTTAATTTCTAACTCCATACAGAAATTCAGAACTGCATGCAGTCCACCCGAAACTATGTGTCGGGTGGCGAGCTTTCGTGAGGCACACGGTGACATGCAACTCTCGAGCGTTCAACCCCTGTTCACTCAGACGTCCTCGTTGACCTTTCCATGACTTGGAACTACTAGAAAGCCGCCGTGATCAGGTATTTCCCTACTTACAATAAGGTCAAGCCATCCATGTGAGCAATCAACGTTTCAACGCTCCAAACCGAGTCCAATGACGGTAGTACCAACATGATTGTGATGCCTACAGTCCACCCTCCCCTTCCCAAGTCCCCATCCCTAACATGCCCACCACCCAACACCCCTATATCACCAAACTACAACAAACAACAATGACTCTCTCTACGTAGACTCGTTCAAATGTACATGATAGACGATAAAGAAAGAAAAAAGTGTTCTTCAGAAAACTAATATGTATGTAGGTACGAAGGCGAAAGGAGAAAGTGCAAGGGGGGTGTTCCATTTACATTTTTGAGATGAAGCTCTGACTCTGATGTGTGCAGAAAGGACGGAAGGAAGATGATACAGTGGAATAATCTTTTTTGTGAAGTCGAGGTATGAGGGGGAGATGTGGAATGGGACTGTGAAAGTGAAGTATGTCCGGGAGGTATAGGTATAGTACAACAGAGGATCTAAAAGTGACGGTGCAAAGAAACAGATGATGACGTGGACGACTGCCATCGTGTGGAAAGAAAAGAGAAAGAGAAAGGAATAAGAAACCGAGGACGATGAGGTGCTGCACCGCGCTAGAGCCAACGCGTATGCGATGGCCCAGTTGAACACGCAACGCGTAAAAAAATCTGAGAAGAGGACGAGGCTGGCATGAAGGTGGGTGCACAGCGACACCCCCGGCATCCGTATCCCTCCTTCACTCGCCCGTCGCACTTACTCAAAAGCCAACGCCGCGACCTCACCCTCCGCGCCATTATTCGCACCATCCGCGTATATCAGCTTCCTGCTCCGTTCCAAACTTCCAGAGAGGATAGTCCCGGCTCCGGTGATAGCGACCATGACGATGACCCACAGATATCCGCCACAGATATTAGAGTCGAGGGAGAAGGCGAAGACTGAACTATCGGATTTAAACGATACAGATGTCAGCAAATTGGGATTATGGATGTAAACGGTAGTGAAGAAGGATCAAAGGCTGAGATGGGATAAAGAGGTATGCATACCTGGCAAGAGCGGGGGCGAACGCTCTGGCGAAACACATCGAGAACTGGACGATACCGTTCGTCACTCCGAGACATCCCTTGGGTGCACCTTGCTTGACGAGAATCATGCTAATTCTAAGCCCCAAAAAAATCGAACAAAAAAGACAAGTCAGTACCCAGTAAGACCAGTGAAGGACCTTCAAATCCAAGGGGTTCACGGGCGTGGAGTAAGTTAGCAAAGGCGGAAGATGACATACGAATACGCAAGACACGCAGCCCTCGTGAAGGCCAGCACCGCCGCGACGCCACACCACACCAACGCCTGCACCTTCTTATCCACCGCCTCGAACCCAAGCAAGAGCAGTTCGTTCGCGTCGACCTCCTCTACGGCTTGCGCGAGGCCCGCACGAGCGATAAGGTTGACGAAAGGCATGGCGAGGAAGCCCCAGGGCCAGAGCCTCATGCAGGTGTTGTAGACACGGATGAGGTCGCAGCGAGCGAGGATGATGGGCGTGATGAAGATTTGGAGGAGGATAGCGACGAAGCCGGAGACGGCGAGGCTGTAGCCGATTTGGTCTGCCTGAATATACGCGAAAAGTATGGAGGAAGTGTTAGTCGGTAAGTGGACAGTGTCTGTATGAGGAGAGTAGGGCGTGTGAACGTACAGTGAATGCGAGACCACCGAGTTGGATAGGGGTATAGCAGAAAAGGACAAAAGTTACATCGAATGCGGTGGATGCGAATGCGAGGAAAAGACCAGAGGTGCTCATAACGCGGATGGTGGGAATTGACAATAACGTCCTGACACATGGAGGTTCAGCCTTCGAGCAATCAGCAGTGGTAGTAGCCGGCGAAGCAGGTGTCTCCTCGAAGAGCGACGGGGACTTTTCAGACTTTTGGCGCTTGCTCGGTAAGGTCTATAGTGAATGGCGTTAAGTTAGCGACGATACTTTTCGAACAAATCGAAGAACAGAAGAGCGGGGATCAAAGTCGGGACCGCAAACTCACCTCTTGGAGAAAGAGATAACCAAATACCACACCTGTTACAGAGACGGTGGCCGCGACAAAGCCAGGAAGGAAATAAGGATACATGCGGAGGAACTCGTTATTCGCCAAGCTGGGAAACTTGGCGGCAGGGTTCGAGAGTGCGCCACCCAACAACGGTCTAGAAACACGAACAAGCTTAACCTCGAGATCAGACGCAGAAGAACAAGGTAGATTCGGCGAACCCGATGATAGCGCCAGCGGGCCAAGTGAGGCCATATATCGGGAAGGCGATGGCTTGATTCGTCGAGTCAGTCAGCTCTCCCAAGACGGAGGAGATGACGGCGGCATTGCCGGAGGCGAGTCCAGCTGCGGTCGAGTGTGGTAAGTCAGGCCGTCTCGATTCCGGGCGGAGCATCGTAGGAGGGACTGACCAAGGCAACGGGCAAGAATCACGCCTGCGAGACTTTTTGACAGGCCAAAGAAGAGAGAGGCGATGGACATCCCCAAGATGCCCGCTGCCATACGGGATGAGCGGATGAGCGAATGGGCGTGCTGAACATGGCGACAATTGAAAACTAACCCAGGATGACGGGCTTGCGCCCAATGACATCTAAAAAAAAATGAGCATATGAATGAAGCATGGAACGGGCGAAGGTGCGTACCGGAGAGACGAGCCCACTGGTAGATTGAACAGAGTTGGGCCACAGCGAAAGCGCTTTCAACTACACCACTATAGAAACCAATGCGAGACGGGTCGTCCGTGACGTGCATTCCCGCAAGCATTTGATTGACATAGGGAAAGATATGAGTGAAATTGATGGGTTCGGCAGTGCGCACAAGACAGAGGCACGCGAGCTGAGCGTAAGGAAGCGGCGTAGGAGTTTTAGGGGTATTTTTGGTCGACTGAGATTCGAGAGAAGGAGTCTGTTCGTGGTTCAAAAGAGTGGAAGTTTCGTCATGAGAGTGCGTGTTGCAGGTTGGCTGCGAGACATGACTCGGGTCTGTATAATTGTTCGTTGACATAGACATAGATACGGCGGAGAAAGGTAGACTGGGGAGGAGAGGGTGAGCGGACAGCGTTGCAGCAGCGGCTAGAAGGGTTCGAATAGCATGTGTGCCGTTTATATGGGCGAACGGAAATTGAACGAGATCAATATGATAAGTTACCGATGGGAATACAGTTACTTCCGTTACGTCCGCTCGAGAGATTTGTACGTCTCGAATGGCGGCTACAGAAGGAGTTCGATTTACAAGCTTTAGCATCAACGCTCATGCACGCTCAGAGCACGAGCTGCTCCGGTCGCTGAGGCTAGGTCAAGTTGGCCGAATTGCAGCCTGCATTTCTCTCTAAGGAGGACGTTGAACGGCAAAACTTTCATCAATGCACAGCTCGACGATTGAGAGGACGAGACCCAGTGTCTAACCATCAGTGAGGGCGATATGGACGTAAACGAAGAGAGGCGTAGAAAGTCGGTTGAGAACGTCTAAAGACAAAGAGAACGATTCGATGGGCCACACCGGACCGGTGCCACGAGGAACAGGGACCGGCTCGCCCGGGCGTCGTCCAACGGAACGTTGACCACGACGACGACAGTGATCTCAACGACTTGTACGCTACCTGCTCTACTACACTCACGCTCTCCACGACATCATGCACACCGCCGCACACGACAATCTTGTTCTTGCTGCCCCGCGCCCAGTGCGCATCGCCACGTTCTCTCACATGCACACCAGTCCCATCCGTCAGCACATCCGTCTCGCCTCTGTCCCCGTCCCAGACAACAACAGCTCTGAGGAGCAAGGCCGCATCTCCGCATCTCCTCGCGCTGTATCTCCACGGTATGCTGCTCTCTGACTAAATAATGAACTCATATCTGACCCCTGTGACTAGGCCCAGTCTCTCGTCAGAAGCTCTCGAGGAATTTCTGTCTATCCTCCGCTTCCCTCCCCAGTCCCCTACCCTCCGTGCCCGCCGTCACCCTAGCCACAACCTGGCCTTTGCTCACGACCGCTCTCATTCTCTCTCTGCGAAGCCTCTTGAACGCCTCGAAAATATCCCCATACTATCTCCCGCCTTCGGTGAGGATGCCCGTTCTCCTGGTAAACAGATCGGGGCGCGCATCACTAGCCCCTCCCTCCGCCCTCCTCGTGAAGAGGATGAGGAGAACCGGGTGACACCTCCCCCTTCATTCCGCGTATGGGCGAACGGCCCACTTGGTACGTATTTTTTGTCATTTATGCTTTCATTCAATGACTCTTATCTCGTCTCCATCTTACGACTTTTCAGCATCACCTGTCTCCCGCCTTCAAACTCGCAACCCCTTCCAGCGCGACCCATCCTTCGAGAACAAAGGCCCCGGTCTTCTCCTTTTCCCTACCTTGCCGTCTACCTCGCCTGCGCCGCCTGTGTTCCAGTCGGTCAATATCTCTCCGTCTCTAGTCCCTCTTCCGTCTCCGACTCCAAGCGAGTTTGACGTCGACTCACCTTTCTGAGTCCATCACTCCTGTGATACCCATGCCAACTAGCCATGTCCCCATCATTCTCGAATCAGATATTTATCATTAGCTATACCCCGTCATTGCCAGCGAGCTGACGGCCACTGTACGCTTCCGCGTCTTGTACATATCACTACCATTCTATCGTGTCCTATCTCGTCGTCCTTGTTCCTTGTTCGTATCGCTGTCAACAAATGTCCTATCTCTCCATGTTATATCCTCACAGCCATATTTAGCGTAAACCTTTTTTGATGCTCTCCCACATTTTCCCTGTCCTCCTTTTCTCCCTTTCAGGCCGCGATCGCTGTCTTGATCGTCCTTTCGGATTCTGGTGTGCTACCCTGTCTATTTACCCCTAACTATATACTCGCGACCATAGTAATACTCATACACTCCCCTCGGGCTGCTACTTTTTTGGACTACTTATGACGTTTTGTTCCCCTCTCATTCGTATTTCTCTTCCTGCGTTGAGCTCATCCTGTCGCCGTCGTTCTTCCTAGCGTCATTTGTTCTCGCTTCGTATCCGTTCTGTCCGATCCTTATTCGTTGACTGACTGATTGTCTACTTACTATCTCTCTCGCTCGGCGTACTCTAGTTTTGTTTTTATATACATACAACCCTGGATCCTGTGTATCTTTTGATTTTCTTCTTCTTCAACCTTGAACGATTATGATAGCAATGTTACCTTTCTTTTTTCTGGAGTTTGTAGGGGCTGCATCAATATTGTCGTTGTAAGTTTAGACGTCAGAGGTGCCACGTCAGCTTCGCGCCACACAGAGCTCGGCTCATGATCAGGATTTCCCACGCCACCGATACTGTAGTCGGACTTGAACTGCATGGCGCAGGTGAAGTGGACTAAGTGCAGAAGTACTTGCAACGGCAAGAATGTTGGTGTTCGGGTTGTAAAAGCGTCGGAAAAGAAAAATTGTAGATAAGGAGTAGGTCCATCTCAAATACTAGTGTAAGTAACATGCCCCCTGCCTCAAAAACCCACCCTATCCAATCTAGCGGTGACATCCCATACCATAGAGCCAAGACTAAACCACCATCCCTCCTCTGCAGTAAGTCCAAAGCAGAGTCTGACCTTCGCCTCAGAGCTTGGACCTCGGCCCACCCTCGTCCGGATCGGGAAGAGCGTACAGCGCGGTGAGCTCCTTCGCGTACTTATTGAACGCGTCCTTTCGGCGGAGCTTGAGCGTCGGCGTGAGCGTGTTCTCCTCGATCGTGAACGGGTCCATGCTGAGATGGATCCGTTTTGGGATCTCGAAGCTGTTTTAGAGATGAAAGGAGAGTAAGCAAACATACCGAACTTAAGTCGAACGTCCATTGTCCACATTCAAGGGGGAGAAAACTCACCCCTTCAACCCGTTCTTCTTCCCCTCCCTCAACAAATCTGCCAACACGGCCTTCACGACCCTCTCATCGGCACACAACGCCCTCATCGCCTCCACGTCCTTCTCACTCAACCTCGTCCCCGAGATCTTACCCGCGAGCTGCGCGAACGTGATAGGATCGAGGACGACGACGGCGAGGAGGTACGATTTGAGGCCGTCGCCGTGGACGAAGAATTGTTGGACGAGGGGGTGCGTGGAGTAGATGTTCTCGATCTTTTCGAGCGCTACGTATTCGCCTTGTGCGAGCTTCATTATGTTCTATTTGGGTTTTGAGTGTTATGAGGTGAGGACAGAGTCGGAGGAAGATGCATGATTGAAGTGATAGAAACGGACCTTCACGCGGTCGATGATTTTGACACGACCACAATCATCGATCATGGCCACATCGCCCGTATGTACCCATCCCTCCTCATCGACCGTCTCCTTCGTGTTCTTGTCATCTAACCACCACAAAATAATATCGTGTCACATCAGAACGTTTCTTCACAACATAGAGAGGAGAGTGGTCAAGAAAAAACGCACCTTTATAATACTCCCTGAACGAATTCTCGCCCCTACAACACAGCTCGCCGCGCGCGAACGGCTTGTCCTCCGAGGTGTATCCCATAGCAGGCACGTCGAGGAGCTTGACCTCGACGGTGACGGCCGGAGGGCCGGTCGTCCCGCTTGAGGATGGGTCATTATGAATCATGTGCGTGCAGACAGCGGCATTTTCGGTCATTCCGTATCTATTCAAAGTGATTGTTCAGAAAACGTCAGAGTGAGACAATTTGGGGAGAAAAGGATGATATTCGCTGACCCTGCGAGAGAATAACGGGTGAGATGAGTGGTTTAGACTGGATTGCGTGTATTGTATTGTACTGACCTTCTAAAACGTCGCACGCAAATGCGATCTTTAGGAAATCCATAACCTCAGGACTGATCGGCGCCGAGCCACTTGTGAGCAGCTTAATCCTACCACCCAGGACGGCTTGAATCTATAACACCAATTGAACCAGTCAAACCACAATTCTCCCAACCACCGCAGTTCAAGTACTCCAGAGGAAGAAGAAAAGTGCGACCTACCTTCCTAAACACAAGCTTATCCCAGAGTGCATGTGTCGGATCTCCCGTCGTATGCAGCCTCTCCAGTTTCGTCGCCACAGCCTTCCTGAATAACGCGCCCTTCAACCCTGGCACGTCACCCGCTGCCATAGCAGACTGATACACGCGATTGAGAATTCGAGGGACGGAGGGGAAGTAGTTGGGGCGGAGGATTTGCGCGTCTTCGAGGAGGCGGAGGGGATCACCTGTGAAGTATCCGATACAACCGCCAGTGGCGACGACACAGAGCTCATTATTTCGCTAGAAGGATGTTTTCAGTATCTGAATGGCTAAACGGAGTGTGAAGAGACAGCGAGCTAGGACTGACCTCGTAGATGTGAGCTAGCGGGAGGTAGGAGAGAAGGCAGCCACGTTCTGTGATTGTCCAGCCGTAAAGATTGGCTTGTACGCCCATGGCGAGCTGAGAGTGAGTAAGGAGGACGCCTAAATAGACCTTGTTTTGAGCAAGTGTGTAGTTTATGCCTTGGTTGTGATTTCTTACCCTTGGGATTGCTCGTAGTACCCTATGCTCTCCAGGTCAGTCTTTGTGGGAAGTGGCATGAGTGTGGCACCTACGGAGGTATAGCAGATGGACGCTAGCTGATCCTTCGTAGCAGGAATCGGCTCGACAAGATTTGCCTTTCCGTCCTCTTCCACTAGGTAAACCACACCAGAACAAATAACATTCACCGTTCAAGTGATCTGCCAAGATTTCGAAATATCGGCGCGACTCACATTCGTGCAATTCCTTGATCTGAACGTTCTGTGTCTCTCCCCACGAGACCAAGACTTGCTTCTGTTCCGGTAAAAGCTCGTCGATGGCGACTATCATCTTGACTTGAGGTGTCCGGCTTGCTAGCTTGAGCAAGTCAGGAATGTGGTTCGCAGTGGCGAATATAATCGTCAAATGTGCGTGGTTGATGCTGTATGGAATACGATTGTCTGTTTTAGCTACTATGTGAGGGATTGGTGGGAGCATGGACGGATCACGTACATGTACTCTGTTATACACGGAGTTTGTGGTTATGATAGTGTCATTTAGTATCTGCACCTTGACATAGGAAACAAAAAGGAACGCACCGACTGCATCCTTGCCCAGCGTATCATACAAGCTCACCCCAACTTTCTGGTACGCATTCAACGCCCACTCCACAAACTGCCATTCTGTTCCAGCCATCCACAGCCACAAACCGATATTTCAACAAAACACCCCAACGACACAACAGTACCACCAACACACCCACATACGAAACCTAGACGCACCTGGTCGATTCTGACTCCAAATCCCTACCGTGTCATACTCTCCTCCGCCCAAGACTCCGTTTTTGAACAAATGATGCAAGGCGCTCCCAATCTGCCGTCTCCGGATATCAGAGTCCGCGTATGTGTTCCAGACAAAGTGATCTGCGTATTTGAGCGGGTTGGTGGATATAACGGGACGATGGCCGAGACATGTGAGGTCTCTTGACCGCGCAAGTCCAACTTCGAAGATTTCGGTGAGGGTGGTGAGTACGTTTGGAGTCTTGGAGTCGACGAGACCGTAGAGACCTGGAGAGATTGCAACAAACGCCCAACGAGGTATGTAGTTCAGTAAGAGCAGAAGGGTATTTGGAAAGATTGTATTTCACCGTTCCGGTAGTGGCCTGTATTGGTCAACCAACGTTAGCACGGTTATCTCGCATGTGCCACTACCACGCACCAGTCTGTCCGGGTTTCTTCGTGCCAGGTACCTCAACTGCCTGCCTCTTATAATCAATCGTCTCCGGCAAGAGAACAGTCTTATCCACAGAGGAGCTCATCTCAGGCAACCTTTACCTTCAGTCGTAGTATCGAACGGGATGAAATAATAAGGATGCTTTCTGTCCGTGTGGATCAAAGGCAACTGTGGCGCGTCTGATAGCAGTGAGGAGTGATGCGGCTCAGCCTGGGACTCTGGGGCAAAGTCGAACGATAGAAGATGATGGTGGTTACTTGGGGGTGTATTTGTCCGGTAGCCTGGGTTCTTGTGCAGGAGGATGATTATGATTATAAGGAACCCACTTGGTCGGGTGCAAACGAGGGCCGGTGCGAGTGACCAAGCTGGGCATTGTCGCTGCCAGGGCAAGACGCGTTTCGCGTTGGGCATTCGTTTTTCACGTGTGTCTGCATTGATGGGCCTGTGGCCCGGAGGCAGAGACGGCAACAGTGAACGTATGAGGGCACGCGGAATGACAAGAGCGATACAACCTGGCCAGCAGGGCAAACTACTCCTTTCGCAGCGGAACCAAGGCATCTGCTGAACTCAGCACGTGTCCTGGAGGAGTGGTAATGTCTCAACGATCCAACTTGTACTGGTCAGGTGAAACATGTTCGGGAAGAATATATAGCGAGCAGTCAAACATTATACAGAGATACGGCTACGGAATGACAACAGCCTAAGCAAAGAGGTGAACAGAAAGGATGAAAGTCATTACGAGCATGAGGATATGAAACAAGACTGTGGCATCGAATGGATTACAGCGGGAAGAAAGAAGACGGGGAATGTGGGGTAACTTCAAGATTTAGATACAGCATCATCGAATATCGAAAGTCGCAGATACGTGATACAACCAGCAACCTGGTCCATTGTTTGGTCATACAGAGAGATCAGGGGGCATTGAGAACGACCTGCGGATATGGAAGTCAGGAGTCGGTATGCACTGCGCTCGAATGACGCTTAGTTGAATCATACCTTCATGAAGTCTTCGTAATTCACTGTTATCCAGCCGTTGCGGTCCGTGTCCATTCTGTAGGCCGGAGTCAGCCAATTGTACGAAAATTTCATCAAGGACGAACACGCACCGTTGAAACGCCTCCGTCAGAGTCTTTACCGCCACACACGCTCTCACGAAACGGTCAAATGTTATACCAGGAGGAGGTCCGTACCCGGACGAAGGACCGACAGCTAGCGCTCAGTGTCAGCCACGGGTCTGAATGGAAGACAGACGCCACACAAAGGAGCGTACCATATTTCTGCTCGATAAGCGTCAAGATGCTGGGCGATAGGTTATATCCGAAGCTGCGTAATGCCTCGGCAAGCTCATAGCCATCGATAGAGCCTGAACGGTCGCGGTCAAAGTGCTTGAAGACGCCTTGCCAGTCGCTGATGTACTTCCAAAGACCCGCGAATTCTATGTTGGGAAAATGCTGTTGGTCAGATGCTCGGAAACGATGCTGGGCGCCGAGGACGCATACCGTTGAAGCCAATTGTCCCACTACGGTCGGTGTCCTAAATGGGGTGAGACGCCAGATGAGTACGTGTACCCTTGGGAATAGAGGGGACGGACGACTGACGAATATGTTCATGAGCATCTTTACTGTGTCCAAATCGAACTCTGTTTGGCAATATTAGTTCACATCGCCATCGTGCAGACCCAGATCTTCTGGAGAAACAATCGAGACATAACACTTACTTGACCAGTTTCCTGAATATCCCACGAGGCGATTGTTCAGTCAGACAATGAGTCGATAACAAAGTAGATGGACAGCACGCACCGTTCACCAAAGCAGATTGCAGCTCATTCACACTGATTGCCCCAGACCGGTCAGCATCGACAGCAGTGAACCACTGCCAGAGCTGAGGGTCAGCGCCAGCTGGTGGCCCAGCCTGATATCCATATCCATTCGACTGCTGACCATAAATCGGCGGCGCAGGACTCGCTCGATAATGTGAGTGTTGGCTGCTCATCGACTGTCTGTGCCCGCTCGCCGAGACGTAGTTCGGGTTAGAATAATATGCCATGGAGTACGATGTGGTCGATGATGTCGAAGATAACGATGTCGACGATGGAGGTACAAAAGAGAGATGATCCGTTTGAGCGCCGCGAGAGAGTCGATGTCGTTTTGAGTCGGGGAGCCTTTGCGCAGGTACTGGACAGCCATTTTGGCGCCAAGGATAAGGATAGATCAGAGTCAGCGCATGACGTTGCTCTCGGAACGGGTATTTATACCGCGCGCCTAATTGCCCCCGGCTTTCGCCTTCCCCGCACCGGGTGGCATCCGAGCCCTGTGTTTAGCTCCAAGCTACGGAGAAGGATCAACTACTCTGTACTTTATTCACTTGCTTTACCAGCCGTAAAGCTAGCCACTAAGTGAACCTGGACCTTTTCAGTCGCTTTGCAACGCTTTGAGCATACAATCCACCACAAAGCACCTCCGCATTTGGAGAGCTACGGGGCAATGGAGAACGTGAACTTGAACACCGCCATAAAGGCAGTGATTTTTGACGTATGTATAGCATCTTCGTCTATCAAACGGAACACGTTAGCTTTAGACGAGCCTTTCATACCTCGCACAACAAGACGACTAATCGACTCGGGGTTTATCACCTTAGATAGGTGGAGTTGTCCTCAAGAGCCCTCTCATCGCCATCGGCCAGTACGAGAAGGAACACGGAATACCCGACAACTACATAAACTGCTCCATGTACGTATCGGCCGCAGTACGAACTGCGTCGGAATAGAATAAAAGCTTCTCCATCGCTAGAAGGACGGTAACTCATGCCACACGTTCTGCATCCCTCACAGCACAGCTCGCGCGCCACACGGTGCATGGCAGAAATTCGAGCGTGGCGAGATGCCCCTCTTCCCGTTCTACGAAGCCTTCGGAACTGACCTTTCTGACACCATTAACGGCAATAAATGGTACATGGCGTACTGTCGTCGAAGATCCATAGGTGAATCACCTTTCAATGTCCATCCTTCCCATCCTCCCCCACATCCATGCCTAGCAGGACAGCTCGGAAGTCGCACCTTCTAGTCATTTCAGCAATTTTTTCTGTATTCCAGCCGTCAGCGATCTGGATTCGAAAGGTGGGCATCGCTTGACTTACCTCCAACCATTACTCGATAAACCGCAGATTGTCCAACATTGCCGAAGAGCTTGAATATTGATGGACGCGAGGTAAGTCAAACGAGTCAAAATCCCCCACCTCCTCGCCACGGCTTTAAGCAAATACCGTGGCGGTCGGTTGCTCCTTACGGCTGAGATCGACGAAGATTGACTGACTGGCTGACTGACTGGTATGCTTGACCGGCTATCGGTTATCGGTCCCCGTGGACGAAAAAGCTCTTCGGGAAGATGATGCGAGAGAGCACCACCTACGATGAATGTGTACTGGAAGCCATTCGTCGAATCAGAGGTACGTACATACCTGACTCACACAATGGACCGGGGTTCTCTTCGCTCCTACTGTATGATACTCCGTCGACCGCTAGACAGAGACTGATCGATACATCACCAATGTCTACATCGTCGGTGACATTTCATCTATGTGTGGGGTCGATTCATGGCCCTCTATAGAGACAGGAAAATACCGCATCATCGCTCTCACGAACAATTTCTCGAAGACAGACACCTCTATATTGGGAGATCATCCACCACCAGGGAAATATGGTGGGATCAAGGTCACACTGGAGTCAGAGCTCAAGTTTTTGGGATGGACGAATGGGGCGGTGCCCCCGGGTCTCCGAGCCCTATTTGACGACTTTGTAGACTCCAGTGAGATTGGCATGCGGTACGTCCATGGTAATCGACCCTATCATGAGATCCTCGGAGGACTGCTGTGGGGCGCGCTCAGGTACTGACTAGGAGGTGACATTGTATGGTTTAGAAAACCGGAGACGAGATTCTACGCGTACTGTCTGGAGCGAAATAAGATAGCAGCCCACGAGGCCGTGTTTTTGGACGACCTGGGACAGTACGTCGACGGCCCAAACGCCGAACCTTAACATCCGTATCTCCTCATTTGGCTCAACGCATGCAACATTGATGACAATGATAGGAATCTGAAAGCCGCAAAGGACATGGGCATGAAAACCATCCGTAAGTGCCCATGCCAAACGTCTATCCATTCGTGCAACAACGACACGTAAAGCCGTCATCGCTCACTGACACTCCAAAAACGGATTCTCTTTCTTCGTGACCGGACCAACGGACAAAAACGTAACGAATGAAAAACGAAAACGAACAAAGACGTGCCGATTGGAGGATCATTGAACGCGATTAAGGAGTTGGAGCAGGTTCTAGATTTGGACCTCACGAACGGATTCGACCCAAGTCGACAGTCGACATCGAAGTTGTAGATGATGAGACCATGCTTGATGTATAATCCTCGACGGATGATTAGGTTCGAGGAGGGCTGATATCCAGGGGTTGGGCGATCGGACGGCAAAGACGGCAGGATGTGATGGAAGCCTAGATTATATTATGCCATCTAAGTACCTCGAACCTAAAAATCTAGTTTGTAGGTATTGCATGACAGGGAGCATCATAGGATGCTTAGAAGGGCTTGTCACAGGCAGGAGTTTTGTCCTGGTAGTAGCTACCGAGCTGGAAAGGGGGCAGAGTCAAAGTGAAGGGTAAAAAGCCGGTGTCAGGTGGCGTGTTCGGAAGGAGATGGGGAAGGGGGCGACGCACAACTGGAATCTTGACCAGAAAAGTGTTCTTCACTTTCGGCGTTGTTGATAGGAACTGAAACGGGAACAGAAGTGTGAACAAAGGCGTCAGTGAGAGCAACTCGCGTACTTGAAAATGTAGAAAGGACGCACGAAGACAGCGGCGGTTCCAAGACCGACACCCCAAACGCCCAGGCTACTCGTCCATCGCTTGGCCGTCTTCAGTGGAACGCGTCAGCCAGGCACTACGACTACTAGGATACACAGAGCAAAACGTACGCCCAAAGTGAAAGCACCGATTCGTTGAGTGCTGGGAGTAGGCGTGAATACGATGCGGGACATGCTTAGCTCGTTGTGAATTGTTGCAAAGAAGTCGGTTGAGGACGGAACGGAGCCGCCAGAATGGCATCGGGCGGAGTTTCAATTGAATTGTTGTTTTCGCCACATTTTCGTACTCTACTACAGACGCTCATAACTCCTAGAACTTACCACAATTATCTCCACCTTCTGGACCACTAAAGTCTAATCTTCCGAACAACTCCTTCCATTTGATTCTGTTGTCCCTGTTCTTGCAAAAAGCTTGAAGCATGGCGAATCCAAGGCAGCGTCGTAAGACTCGCTCCTCTTCATACAAGCCTGTGAAACATTCCAGTCGGGCAAAGACGCTACTCAAAAAACAACCACGTATGTCTTACTCGAACGATTGCAATCATGTTGATGTTCTGATAGTTCTTTCTCAGCAATCCGTGGTCCAAAAGTTCTTCAGGACGCTTGGGATTCCAAGAAGACAGTCCGACAAAAGTAAGTACTGCTCCCTCTCAATATACTAAACTTTTTCCATGCGTGGATCACGTAGCTGAGTTGGAACTTCGTGTCATCGATCCAATGCTTCCTTTCAGTTATACTGCACTTGGTCTTGCAGCATCGTTCAAACCACAGGCATCCGGAGGAGTAGAAGGTGCGAAGACACGAAAAGGGCTTAATGAAGGCCATGATATCACGACTCCAGAGGAGCCATCTACTTCAACACGGAAAGACACGAAGAAGGGTGTCCCCAAGGGTCATGCTCGCATTATACGTGACTCGGATGGGAACGTCGTGGGAATAGAGGAGGCAGAAGCAGAGGACGAAGAGATGGAGGAGTCGGACTCTGATCAATTAATTGAGGACAAGGCGTCGAGGTTAGATCTAGATACAATGGAGTGGGTTACGATGGGTCGTGAGGCAGGAAAAGAATTGTCTGAAACGACTGTTGTACAAGGTGAGTCTTTCGACCGAATCGGGGTGCTGTCGAGGTCAGATACGGAACATTTCGCTAATCATACGATCTTGCGCTCTGTTTTCTGATGGAACGACGTGGTGGCACCTCCGTATGCAACTCATATTTAGCCTTGGAGGAGACAGTCTCGTCGTTACCCCGGCCGAATCCGCGGTCTGCGTCGTCGAGTGAGAGGACGTACCTTGAGCGGCTGGTTTCAAAGTACGGGCAAGACGTCGACGCCATGGCACGAGATCGCAAACTCAATCCGACTCAGTTTACGGCTGGCCAGTTGGGCAGGGCGATACGGAAGTCCGGGGGGTTTGCAAAGTTCGGTGTCGTTTCATAACTTGTGATATTCGATGTTCAAGGGATTCGGATATGTCAGGGTACTGCAGTCTTCCCCGCATCGATGCTGTGGTTCCGGCGACGTGGTAAGCTCACTGTCACGTTCTGTTGATAAGTGCAAGAAAGCTGTCTTGTGGACGGCGTTTTCTGACCATTATTCTGATGACAGATGCGCGGCATTACCGGTTACTCACTCGAGAAGGCACTCGTCGTAGCTCGTGGTGTGCAAGGTGGAGCGAGAACATGCATCGTACCGTTCTTGGTTCGACGGACTGTACGTGACATGATGTACATGGATAGGTAGCGACATATCCTCATCTTGTCTGACCGTCTATCGGTCAATCGCAAAGACTAATAGGCTCTTCCTTGGGATTCATGCACGACCAATCGAAACATGCACTTCGACGCTGATGATGTCTTACGCGGTGGGCATGCAAGGGCACTTCTGCAACGTCTGTCGCCGCCACCACATGTTCCTTGTAACTTACTGGGAAAGGCCAAGACTAGAAGACCAGTATAGGCCGCATTGTGACCTACAAATGATCGCCATATTCTGGACATGAGAGCGGGGGCTGTGGCCGTTTGGTAAGAGGGAACAGATCGTCCAGAGGGGGAAAGCAAACAACCTTTTGCAACGCCAGACCGTTACCCGACCGCTCGGCGCTGTGTTGCGCCTATGGCGGATCTGGTCGAGAGCACCGTCTTCTTCGAGTAAGCTGATTGCCTTGATGGCCAGTCGCTGCTGAGCGTGACATGAAGCATTCTTTTGCGGCCGTGACTTATATTGCCCACCTCTTCTTCCTCTCTGCTCACTTCTCCATCCCGTCCTTTCAACAATATGCCTCCCTCTCCAACCACAAAATCTTCCTCTTCCTCAGATGGCCCTTACCCATCTGCCCCACATCGACGGTCTTCAGGTCAATCGCGACGCGTCTCAGGCACGGAGTCTTCCCCTGTCCATCGATCCTCTCCACGGACTTCAGGACAGCCCAAGGGCGGCAGAGTCCAGTTTTCTGCGTGTGGTGGTACGTTCTTGGATGCATATTCTTTACCTAGCGAACACTAACGATCTACGTAGCTTGTCGCATGCGCAGGTACTGTCGTGGATCCTTTCTTCATCCTCTGCCCGTACTTACTTGAATTGCAGAGTCCGGTGTGACCTCAAAGATCTGCCCGTGTCTAAAAATGGCCACCAGTCTCAGTGTTCTAACTGCAAGGAAAGAGACTTGAAGTGCATGTACGTTGTTCTCGCCGTTCATGTTGCTCGCCTTTCTTACTGTCCACACCATCTCGACAGTGATGAGTTTGCCGAAGTCAAAGCTGTCAAGCTCCTCCGCCGTGGTCGCAGGCTCCAACAAGTCGAGTAAGCCGCCTGGATCACATCATTTCTCACGTTTCTATGAAAGCTAAAAAAAGACGCCACTCAGAGCTATATTCGGTAAAAACGCCGAGGACGACAATGATCTATTTCAGCCTCCGTCAACCTCGCCCGATGCCATCCCCAAACTTACGACACAGTTCTTTTCGTCAGAATTTTTCCGTATCTTCTGCATTCAATGTACGCCGATTTGGTCTTGCTGTGCATGTGTCCCTCTCCGTCATCTGATTCGCGCTTTGCCAGACCCTATCATTATCCCCGCTGAGTTCTGTCAGCGATATATTGAATTTATCAATGGAAGGTCTGGCTCCCTTACGATCGGCGGCCAACTCGTTGCCATCCTCCTTGTCGTATGGGCAGCCAGCTTCGGCGTTGACGAGTACGGTGTGGACAACACCCAGCACGGAGACCGTCCCAATCTTCGCGAACGTAAGCAAAACATCAACGAGATGGTCAGCGAGCTATTGGTGCTGTTTGACATCCACGGAGTGATGCGCAAACCCAGCTGGGATGGCGTTCGTGCACTCCTTCTGCTGCTTCCTCTAACGGAGGGTAAGTCTCTCATTTGAATTGTGAGGCGCCAGTGACGTAAACTCACTCACCGTCTCTGGTCTGATGTAGATGTCCAAAATCTAACGGAACGAATGGTTAGTCTACGTGCTCCTCGGCCGCGATCCCTGTCTCATACGTTTACTCTATCAGGTCATGCATGAGACCGCCATGAGCCAGGTGTCGGCTTTGATACGTATGACTTCGGTCCCGCATGCAATCACCGGTCGCGGAAAAGACGTCGACATTCTCTTCCAAGCACGGATATTTTGGCATGCGTATACCACAGAGGGTATCGCTAACGGCCTATATGGTGGCCGCTTAGTTCTGTAAGTTCTCTAGTGCTATACGACTAATAACCCCGTTGAACTTCGTTGTACAGTACCGAGGACGATCTCGCTTCGTTCCAGAAAACGTTACCTTCCCTGGACATCGGTAACTTGACGCAGCCCTCCGTCTCCCTTGGTGTACATTACCGTCTGGCGTCGATTCCTCTCAAGCTCGCATCGGCCTGCCGTAATCTACATCAGTGCCTGACTGGACCAGAAGCCCAGCGCCGGCACAGCATCGACGAGGGCAGAATCCGCAATCTGTGGGACACCCTGGAACAATGCTCCAAGGATTTGGACGAGTTACGCCATCTGGCCAATCTGGGGATGGTCAAGGAAGAGGATGTCACGCAGTATGCCGATGCATGGCAGGCGAGTGCCTCCTCTCAATTTAATAACGCTATAGATTAACTTAGATCGGACAACTATTCAGATACGCATCTTTGAGTGCTGTAAGTTAATGCAACCATTCCTAGGCTCCTGTGCTGATTAGCGGTCTCGTTTCTACAGACTACAACATTCGTGATACTCTTAAGCAACGTGCATTCTCCGATACCAACAGGGACTTTGAAACCAGTGTCTTGGGATCGTCGCTCACTTCGGACATCACTTTGCGTCTGTTTCAAGTGGCGACGAATCGCTGTCACCAATCGCTCAAGTCCATCATGCACATCATTCGCGGCCAGATCGACAAACCGTTCTTCGACTATATGGCCCCCCTTGTCCGCGACGGAACTTTCTTCGCCGGCCATCTTCTCGCTAAGGAGGTAGGAGCCACAGAGGACGTCGGACTCTGCATCAGAGCCCTTGGCCGGATGCGATGGGCATTTTCCAAACGTGAGGAAAAGGAGGCGACTTTGGAAATGGTCCACAAAGCACGAGCGACGGGAACGTCCCAACATGCGCAGGTTTCCTCGAACACTTTGACAGGCAGCTCATTCGACGCTTTCTTCAAATCGTTCGGACAGTCTTACGCTGGTGACTCTCATCGGGCGTTGCCTCCCCCCATTTCGATTCCTGGCTCTGCTTCTGGTCGTGTGGGCGACAGCTCCAGTGCCCCTAGCACCGCTAGCACCGACTACAGTAACTGGACTTCTCCTCCCATCTCCTCCGCCTCTTCCGTTCGCTCCATTCATGACGATATCCTATCCTCATCTTCTCTCACTGGTTCCAGTTCGCCCTCGGACTTTCTCACTCCCACCCGTTCACCGCAGTTCCTTTCCGGGCCAGGGCTGTCTCCCGCGACCTTCCACCACCACATCACTCCCCGGTCGTCGAACGAGTCGCTTGCTTCACCGCACAGTGCGGTGTCCTCTTCAGGCACTCATTTTCCGCTCACAAAAGTCACCGAGATGTCGTTCACGCCTCGCGTCGGTTCTTCCGCCCATGGATCTTCAGGAATATCATTCAACCCCCCGCCACCCAGTGTTTCGCCCACCACGTTGGCCCAAAATCCCTTACAGGACTCGATGCGCAATTATCAGATGGACACAATATCTCCATCAGCTTACTTCGATCTACGCGGAGTTTCGTTCCCATCCCCAACGCCCAATGGACTCATCGCCTCTGATAGTTCGGAGGATCAACACTTTGCAAGCTTCTTCTCGTAAATCCGCTTCGTATCTCTTCCTCTTTTCGTATCTCTCCTCCCTTTCACGAATCGCTCCGTCTTGCTCTCGCTCTCTGGACTGCTTTCCTCGTTCACGTGAACAATGCATCGGCAACATATCTTGCTTTCGTCTTTCTTGCATAAGTTATTCTTCAGTTCGTAATTCACTATGGTTCTTCGTCTAATCGCATTGTTAGTCTCTCGCAACAAGTAATCGCTGTGCTCTCCATTTGTTTTCCTTTGCCCGCGTTCACGGAGAGGAGACCGTTGTTTGCTTTCTTGTGGATCTCGTGGCTCTTGCATTCTGCATCGTGTTGTTCTGTTATATTTCTACAAACCCTTTCCATAGCTCGGACTTATAGTAGCGGTCGTGGCGGACTATTCGATCTGAAGAAATACGTACCATACGAATGTAAAGCTCACTGTAATCAACCATATCCATCTTGCACCTTCTTTCTCTCAACTCAAATCTCTTCGTGCTCATGAATAATTGACAGCAGCCACTGACAGCTCAAAGTTGATACAGGGCCAGTATGATCCACCATTCATAATTTCCGATCCCCAAGCTACGTTCGCGGAGATGAAGCTGACTCCAAGCGGATCGCTCTTAGCCTGAGTGCGATGGAGTTGTGCGAATTTTGTGCGGGGAAGTGGACTGGGACGGGAGGTTGGCGGTGTGGCGCCGAGACTTGGCGTGGAGATGTCGTCATCTGCTCAGGCTGTGCCACTTGGAAGTGCGACCTTCCCCGCGCTGCCTGCGGACGAGCCTACACGAGACGCTCACGGCTCATTCCTCATTTCTTCTGCCCTCTGAAACGCATCTTTCGTTCTCACCACCACCATCGTCTCCTCGACCCAACAGTCCCAATCGAAATCCCATTTGACTCGTATATTTGCTGTTGACAGTACCCTCAGTTGTACTATATGGATTTCATATGTATGTTCCGATTCCTACTTTCTGCGTTGCTTAGCAGACGGCTAACATTCTGCGTATGCAGTCTGTTTGCCTATCCTTTGTAGGTATCTTACTTCTGCATCGGTAGCGACCGTTTTAGGTTAATTATTTATTAAATTTTCTTGTTGTACACAGTCGGGTGCCCCACGAAGATCAAGCCCGACGGTGATCAGACCCCTAGGGTATGCCCTAGGTGCCACAATGGTGCGTCTTTGTCTATTTACTCACCGCCATCCACAGTTTCTAACCTCACTCTTGATGCTACGTTCAATTGTGCGGCCTTAGTCTCAGTCATCCGAGCAAAGAGCAGGACCTGGTTCGAGCTCTGCTTCATCCCTCTCATCCCCATGACCTCGAAACACATCTGGGTCTGCTCCATCTGTCAGTGGTCTGTACCTTTGCAGCAAGGGTACGTTCTCTTCATATTACTCGGCAAATTTTGAATGCCCCCTCGAGTGTGAGGTTCTGACGGTGTCGTTATGATAGGTGGGAGCCCCAGTTACCAGGAGGAGGCGGATATTACCATCAGCAACCACAACAGCCAAATTATCAGCCTGCATACTTCCATAACCAGCCCCCGCCGCCCAAGTAACATGTCAAACTTGTTGACGTTCCCGGCATTTTTTCGCTTTCACTTTCTGCACTCGATGTTGTTGTTCCATCTTCGTCTTCGTATGCTTGTATTTTCTATGCTTCACCCAATTCCTACCGGACCCTTGTATTACGACTGTAACATAACTTGATTCACCCAGGCGTGGAAGAGATTTGCATGAATAATTGATGAACCTTTCTTTTTCGTTGATGCCCAGAACGAAAGCTTTATGACCAGAGGTCAGGAGAACCTCCTTGGCAGGCGGAAAACGATGCCCGAGCACTCACTATCCTCAACCTGCAAGCCTTTCAGACTGAGCGGTAGAATCGACTTTCCGGAGACAATAGAAGGAACTATATTGAGTAGGAATACGCATAACCTGTGGGCCACAACCCAGAATATATGGAAGAGAGCGACTACCTTGACCGACCGACGCGCAGAGGTGGAAACAATGGACACACGGGAGCTATATAAGGAGGCAAGAAAGAAAAGTCCTACAAGGTGAGAGAAGGAGGTATGTATGTGAAAACAACAAAAAGGAATAGCGGCGGCGGCAGAGCATCAAGAAGCGCGGCTCGCGACCTTGTAACATATGCGACGTGCTGTCTACGTCTGAAGATCCCTCTTCGTCCAGCCCAGGCGTTTAACAGCATCCGCTTGCTTGTTGCTGCTGCACGGTCTGGCCGGGCGTGATGGTGGAAGACTTGCCCGTCCCCGAGGGTGTTGAGGTGGATCCCATCCTGCGTAGTTTATCAGTTCGGCATTCTGATACACAGCAAAAAGATGACGCCGTACCTGTCCTTGATCTGCTTCGCCATGGTCAAGAACGCCTGCTCGACGTTAGTAGCGTTCTTCGCCGAGGTCTCCAAAAAGGGAATGGTCAATTGGTCGGCGAATTCCTGTGTGATTTAGAGACAATGAGTCATTGCTGTTGCGCGTCGAAAAAGAGGGTGCACGTACCTTCGCAACGCTATACTCGACAACCTTCTTGCTCGTAAGATCTGACTTGTTCCCGACAAGCAGCTTGTTCACTCCCTCCGATGCGTAACGGTCAATCTCTTGCAGCCATTGCTTGACATTCGTGAAGGTGTCTGAGGAGCAGGGTCGGCCCGTGACATAAGCGGATATTAGCCAAAACAAGAGAACGGACCATTATCCGTGACGTCGTAAACAACGATGATTCCGTGTGCACCGCGGTAGTAGGAGGAGGTGATGGTGCGGAAGCGCTCTTGCCCTGGGAGCAGATATCAGTTATGTGGAGCCGGAACCGAGTGGATATAATCTGTCGTACCTGCGGTATCCCACTGTACGAGCACGAACGAAGGTCAGCAATCACTTCAAGGAAATGTGGAAACAAAGGCTCTGGCAAGCATTGAGGGGTGATAGGAGGGTCGTGGTAGCGCCGTGGCGCCCGAGCCACGCCAGGCCTTCGTGCGGCAACACGAGGTGAAGACTAGCAACCGCCACCTGGAGCCTCGCTCAAAGGTTCAAGACGACTCACAATCTGGAGCTTGACGGTCTTCCCCTCGAGTTCGATTGTGCGAATCTTGAAGTCAACGCCAATGGTACTGATGTAGCTCTCGGTGTAGGTGTCGTCGGCGAAACGCAGCAACAGACAAGACTTGGGGCGACGTCAGCGGAGTCCAAAGAAAGAGAAAGGAAAGGGCACACCTTGCCGACACCAGAGTCACCGATGAGGAGGAGCTTGAAGAGGTAGTCGTATTCGCTGGTGTGCATGATGTGGACGAAGTTGGAGGGGGATGGCAGGTTCTGTTCAAGCGCGGCTTGACCAGGGCAGCGACGAGGCTGTCCTAGGCGTCACGCGTGACGCAATTCTGTTACATGTCCTCGTTCCTCCAAACATCCCCAGCTTTGCTCTTTCAGCGGTCTTCATCGTGCACTGGCAGGTGCGGTGGTAAAGCACCCAATGTATCTCCTTTCAATGAATTCTCAGTGTATGGTAGACCAGCTCAGGATTTAGAGACCGTGTAGGCTCGACGAGGGACCCGAAACATATACCCTGGTCGAGCAATGCGAACTGGCCCAGCAGGCCCAAGCGCAAGGACGAGGCTTACACGCTATCACGACCCACATACCCTCAGTATCTCTTTCTCGTGAGATTTTACCCCGGCGACTTACAAATGGTGCTCTGGAAAGGCCGCTTCTCTGCGGTGCTCGCTGTCTTCGTCGCTCTCGGTCTTTGTGGCGTCGCGGTTGGGACCACTTCAGTCGCCCTGCAGCCTGTCCTAACGCCTATCCCTGATCGCCCTTCACACTCCCGTCGCTTGTCCAGCGACGTCCAATTTAATAACCGCCGCGCGTCAGTAAATTCCCATCACTGTTCTTGCCCCGTTCAGTTGCTGATGTGATCTACGTTCTGCGTTCTTACAGTGCGTATGTTGCGTCCATAAAGTAAATCCGGACTTTCCGACCGGTCGTTCAAACGGGGCTGACTTCTGTTTCAGAGTTGGAGACCAAAACCTAAACGTTCTGTTCGATACCGGCTCCTCTGACCTATGGACAGCCTCTTCGAACTGCTCGACCGCTTCGTGTTCAGGCTCGGGCGTTCCCAAATACACCGCATCTCCATCACTCCAAGTTTCGTCAGGATCCTTCGATCTGGGTTACATGGTCGGCTCGGTGTCAGGAAGTATCGCGTCGGAGACGGTTACTCTAGGGTCGTACCAAATTGTGGCCCAGACATTTGGTAAGGTCGCCACATGTTCTCGTCCGCTTTGAAGGTCGCTGATGGTCGTTATTGCTGATAGGGCTGGTAAAGGATGTGCAAGACATGGACCTATCGCAGCTAGGCAACAGCGGTGTACTTGGACTTGCGTTCCCTGCTGCTGCTTCCGTCGCCGTAACTGCAGGGCAGCCTATCTTGGAGAACTTATTCTCATACTTTGACGACGATCAGCGCTACTTCGCCTTCCGACTCGGAAGAGCTGCAGACGACTCCTCATTTACCATCGGACACCTTGACGAAGATATAGCTAATTCAACTGAGAGTATCGTCTATACCCCTGTCTACTCTCAAAGAATGCCGGATTACGACTATTGGAAGCTACCTCTACACTCAATCACGCTCAATTCGACACTCAACCTGACCTCGGACGCTCATCTCTCGAAGTCCAAGATCTCTGGTTCGCCTACGCCCATCGCCGTTCTCGATACCGGGACGACTTTTATTCTTGGCCCGAAGGATGACGTTCGGCTGTTCTGGACTACCGTCGGGGGTGCTAGGCAGAACGATGCTGGGAACTGGGAAGTCCAGTGTAATAGAGCTGTGTCAGTCGGTTTTGTACTTGGGGATGATAAGACTGGTAGTGTGAAAGAGTACCTGGTGGATCCGATGGATATCAATCAGCAGACCACCAACGCCGGTGGCTGGTGTACGGGCGGAATACAAGGTTCAGACTTCGTAAGCCTTTCATTGAATTCATTGGAAGGATCGCTTGTTTATCCTTTTTCTCTTTCAGGTAAACTCAGGCGATTGGATCTTAGGGGTCGCTTTCCTTCGCGTAGGTCGCTCTTCCCGCACTGATCCTCTGCTCGAGGGCTGTAACTTACACAGGTGTCTTGCAGAACGTCTACGCCATCCACCATGGTGCCACATCGTCTGATCCACCGCGCATCGGCCTTCTCAACACTACAGACTCTTCCGCATCACTCGAGCACTTCCGTGAAGTGCGCGGCGACGACACGAACCCCGCCCTCGACCCTTCAGCTGAAGTCGAGCCTCGGTACGATGGCAATCGCGCACATCTCAATGGGTTGGCTATTCTGGGCATCGTGATCACTGGGAGCTTCGTGTTAGGTGTGGTGATATACTGGATTGTACAACATTGTGTACCGTGGCTGTTTTTCTAGTCGTAAAAGTCTATGTAATATCCTCTTCAGTACGGCAAGCGCTTCGATACCGAGCTTCTATTTGTGCGAGCAAACCAAAAAGGTGTAGCGTGGGTCTTGCGGTGAGGATGTGATGTGGTGGCTGTCGGGCCGCAGAGAAAATGTGGCGGCGGTGCGATAAACCTGTCATCGTTGTATGGCGGCTTCTGCGTGAGAACGGATCGCGGTGAGGTTCGGTGGATGATAAGTAGCCCCTGTGAATCACCGTCGACTCCCTTCCATCTTCTCGCCCTTCATCACCAGTCCCATCTCGCGTATATCGACTTTACTGATATGTCGCAAACGTATCGCCCGGTAGGGACCAAGGGGCTGAAAGTCCGAGTAAAAACCAATGCCTTCGCTGTGGAAATGGATCTTACTAGGGTGAGATCAGACACACCGAAGGAGTACTTCCACTTCGATGGTACAGTCGAGCTTCATTGCATTTTTTATCCATTTGCTCTCTCTCTGATAGCTCATTGACATATCTTACGGTATCTAGTCGGTGCGTGAGATGTCAGGCTGCATCATCTATGTCAATGTTTATTGACATACTCTCTCTGGGCTGCATCGATTCTCAGTCATAGGTAAGAAAGGCATGCCTGCGCCCGACAACGGAAAATCTCCTCTCAACGCTCGTCGTCTGTACGAAATCATCGACAAATTCCACACAACCTACCCCCAAATCTTCCATGGTCGTCGGGCCGCGTACGATGGTCGGAGGAATCTATACTCTCCGTACGACATCCTGGAAGGGCAACCACTAAGGATGGTAAGTCAAAATCTCACTGACCTCAGCTTTGACATCTTCAGTGAATGGCTGACTGTAAAATGTGTATGTCTAGTTCGAAGTGATGATGGGTAGGAGAATAAGGCCGGACAAGCCTAATGCGGGTATCTACAACATCCGTATTGAGCGAGTCGCCAAAGTCGACCTCATGTGCGTGTACTCTGTTCTGACCAGAATCTGAGCAGATCCTCTGATACACTGTGAGATTCATAGGACCCTCAATGCTGTCATTCAAGGACAAGGTGGGCCTTCGGCCCAGACGGCAATAAACCTTGTGCAAGCGATGATTCGCCAGGCGCCGATGCAGTTCGTCCACAGAATCTTTGACATAACTGATTTGTTCTCCCGCTGACTCCCAGTTTATACATTGACTATTAGTGCCACGCAGACCTATAACACCCGCTCCATCTTCCACAATCAAGACACACAGCCGCTTGGAAATACCGGGCTAGAGCTCTGGCGAGGATACTTCCAGTAAGTCCGTCTGCATATTAGGATGCTCATTGTACACTGATTCCGCAAAATTCTCACAGATCCGTCCGTCCATCCCTCGGGCGCATGATCATGTATATTTCTTTCTCTTGTATATTCAGTCTGACACACCCTGACACACATTTTCCAGTAATGTCGACATGTCGACTGCTGTCGTTTACAGAAATATCAATATCATCGACTTTGCTATGCAATACCTTGGATTCAGAGATGTTGGTCAGCTCGTGATGATGCATCCCGGTTCAAAGGAGTGGAAACTCCTCAAGTCGGTTCTGAAGGGTGTCCGTGTCATCACCACCGTACCACCGACGGATCGTCAGAAGGCTCCTCGACCTATCAAAGATCTTATCCCACAGGCTGGCCTCTACGAGTTCAAAATTGGAAACGAATCCTGGACTGTCCAGGTATGTTCTCAGATCTCAGACTGTAGAATTATTCTGTTGTTGCATTTGTCAGACTCATCACACGACTTTAAGCAACACTACCAAAAAGCCCACGGGTATTCCATGCGTTTCCCAAAAGGGTGGGGCATAGGATTTGCGGGTGATGCCGTTGTCCCACCCGAGGTGTGCGTCATTATACCTGGTACGAGCTTGCTGTCATATCCGACGACATTGATGTTGACTTGTTTCTGGACTCAAGGCCAGTTGTACCGAAAAAAGGTCCCCCCTGCGAACATGAAAACTGTGTTGGACTTCTCTGCTAAGAACCCCAGCGACCGGCTTCAAATTATTGAGCAAGGCGTTAACGGTTCAGTGAGTGTCCCTTCTTTGAGTAAGGATTATTCGTAACTATACTCATTGATCTATTTCTTCCCTTTAGTTCCTTAATTACCATCAAAGTGATTCCTTGGGATTAGCTGGGATTAAAGTCGGCACGAGCGCCATGGAGATCAAAGGGAGGATGCTGGATGCACCGCAGGTCGTGTACGCCAACGGTGTTCTGGCTAATACTGTCGGTGTAAGTGACCTTTCTTTGAATATAGGTCAACTACAATTTCATCCTGATTCCCTCTCGATAGAAATCTGGCGCCGGAAACTGGAATGTCCTCAGGCACCAGTTCTTTTCGCCTGGTCGTCTGGTCAAATGGGTTGTCGTCAACCTTGCAGGTGCCCCACAAGAGGCCGCTAATTTTGCGGTCGAACTTCTGAAAGCATGTCGTGCTCTTGGTAAATAAACTTCATTTCTTGATCCCCGTTCTACTGCCTGTGTCTGATTGCATAATTACTAGGGATGGGTACGTTTTTGCCCACAGTTTTTATATGCTCTTGTTATTGGCATTCTGAAATATACACGTTAGAATGTCAACCCGCCGGTGCCGTCTTAGATGGAAATCCAAGCAATGCTTGGGCAGTATGTGCATGCCTTCCCTAATCTTTGTTCTGTGCTGAGTTTGTATTTTTTGGAATAGACTCTAGAGAGCACAAAGAAGCACCTAGCTGATCCGAACAACCCTAAATCACCTCCGTTGCTTGTCGCTGTTGTCTTGCCTGATAGTGCTGCGGAGCTCCGGCGTCTTGTGAAGTTGTGGGGTGATAGCGCCAATGGTGTTCCTACCCAGTGTGTTGTAAGCGATCTCTTTTCACTCCATTGGCACATTACTCATCTGTTTTACACAACAGAGGAGGATGAAGTTGAGGCCCATCAACAATCAGTACATCAACAATGTTGCATTGAAGTCAGTAGCAAATATATGCATGACTCGTTCGGAGGCTAAGTTCAACACACAGAGTCAATGCGAAACTCGGAGGAGTCAATTCCATAGCACGCGGACCAGTAAGCAACCTGATCAACCAGACCCCAACCATGATCATTGGTTCGTGTTGTATTTCAAGTGAATATCAATTTACATCTCTAACACTCTGAATGCTGCAGGTGCCGATGTCTCGCATCCCGGTGAGTTTCTTCCCTGTAGCAGTATTCGAGATTCCACTACTAAGGATTTTATGCAGGCCCTGGAGTGCAGCGGCCATCCATTGCTAGTGTTGTGGCCTCTTATGACCCCTTCTTGAGCAAGTACTCGACTTTTGTTACACTGCAGATGCCGCGAAGAGAGGTCATTGAGAATCTCAAGAGCATGATCAAGGTAGGTACCGACTGCACTATTATCGCTTCAAACTTCATCTCATTAACCTGATAACTCGACTTAGCGATCATTCGAGGTTTTCGGAAGTCGAACTGGGCGCATGCCTGCTATCGTGTTTTACTATCGGGATGGTGTGTCTGACGGCGAATACGCTGACGTCCTTGGTGTTGAAGGCAAAGCCATTGAAGGTGGGGCCTTTTTACCCATATAACTTGATCAAATCTTACAGGCATATTGTAGAGGCATACACTGAAGTGGCTCAGCAAGCGGGGCAAACGTCCACAATGAAGCTCATCTTCATCACCGTTGGTAAACGGTAAATGTCCTCTCTCTTTACTGGCACTGATAGCACTGACTTTCTTTTGCAGTCATCACTTCCGTTTCTTCCCAACCCAGCACGGGTTCGTGAATCCCATCCTCATCGTCCAAGTACAAGTCTTTCTGACTAAAGGTAATGCACAGATCTAGGGATGGCTCTGGTAATGTGCCGTCAGGACTCGTTGTAGATCAGGACATAGCGCACCCACGTGAAACCGACTTCTACCTTCAATCGCAATGCGGACTGAAAGGCAGTAAGTGGACTTTGTACTTCTCCCTTTGCTATTGGAATATCTTGATTCCTAACTCATGAACCTCGTTAAAAGCCAGTCGCTCGTCCCATTATGTAGTTCTTCGGTGAGTTACAACCTACAACCTCTCATCCTATGTTGAGGCTGAGATATAGTAACTAGGAACGACGCTTCTGTTCCGATGGACGAGTATGTTTTCTCTGTGGATTTTTCGTATCCTGCCGCTCATGTGACGAGGAATACTATCTCTAGTCTCCAGGAGTTGTCGTACATGCTGTGCTATAATTATGCTAGAGCGACAAAGGCGGTATCCATTCCTGCTCCGGTGTACTGTGAGTTCTTTTTGTCATCCACGGGGTTTAATCATAATGCTGACTTCTTTACAGACGCAGATGTAAGTGGCTACATCATCTTGGCTAATATTTTTCACTGATAAAGTTGCGTTCAGCTGGCTTGCGAGCGAGCAGGGTTCTACTTCGACGAAAATCTGAACTTCGCGTCCGAGGCAGGTGATAGCGATGGGTCCACCTTTGATCTCAACATGTGGATCAATGGCTTCAAGGGTATACACCGGGCCATGAACACGAAGCTTTTCTTTGTCTGATCTGTCGAACTTCTGTCCGTCATTGCCATGGCTCATACTGATCTTGCCAAGTTCCCACCGTTATTTTCGATGTACCGTGTGTCCAGAATTTTTGCGTGTTACGTTGTATCGTCCGTGGCTGATTTCGCACTTGTCTAGTCAGTACTATGTCTGTGTTTGTATGTTGCTTGTGTAGTCGTAGTTGGCCGGACACTTGTATCGAAGAGAATCAGAGAAGTTACGAAGAAGTCCCTATGTAGTTTGTACGATTGAGTAGTGACCCCCACGTTTATCATTCGAGTCGAGTACCTTGTATGTGAATCGATGTTTTTCGTGTTGTACCGCAGCAATATCGTGCACGGATAGTGTGGTATGCTCAGACCTTCCAGTCGCTTTGCACGAGTGAGTCGTTCGTGCCACCGCCACCCGGACACAGAGCCGACTTCTCGGTGTACACAATCTGTCAGTGGCGAAGTCGCCTTCAAGACTCCGGCTCAATCCTAAACTTCGAATATCTGCAGCATCTCGCCCGGGCCTGAAAGTAACATCGTCGGTATATTTCACCGTGCAGCGCATGTAAGTGTGCAACTGTCGACATCACCGAGGTCGGTCTGTGCCTCCACTCTTCGAACGTTCACGTTGTCATTCATGCGCCGCACTGGGAACTCACTTTATCGACTGACAGCCTTGTACTTGATCGTTGTGGCAGCTTCAGAACTTGAGGACCATGAATCCAGGCACTCTTACCGGAGCTAAAGCTGCAGAGTTTCTGAGAGCTGAATCTGAGCTCATTATCCAAGAAGTAAAGTTGGATTTTGACACCCACGATATTTCTTCAAGATGTGGCGACGACTTACTAACTACACTCTCCTGCCTTGGGTTCCGTTGTCTGACAGGCTCGAAAACAAAAATCAGAGAGAAACAAGGATGTGGGCGATCCTATCAACCTCCAAGGCGTACCTATAGACATGACGGTCCGAGGCCAGTATGTCTGGGTCGCTGAGAACACGACTGTGGCAAGGAAGATCGATCTCGAGGTTTGCGACAGAATTTGTGGTGCCTCTACTCTCATACTATCCTGCTAACTCAAACCAAAACAGTCGGGGAAAAGTATACGGGTTTTCAGAGGACACTCTGCGCCGGTCTCTTGTCTGACTTTGTGCGATGAAGTTCCGGGGTCGAAAGACGGGAAAATATTGATCACCGGCTCCTGGGATCAGGTACGATTGATCCTCAGTTGGTTCCAGTTTTGAGTCCATGCTGACAACAAGCCGATAGCACATAAAATTATGGGATGCAGAGGTGACTATTTTTCATTGTTTATGGTATATAATGATTCATCATTGACTGGGAGCACAACGAGCAGACTGCCAATGTGATCTCATCAACCAACGCACACACAGACTTCGTCAAAGTACTGCTGGTCATACCGGAGCTAAATATCCTCGTCTCCGGAAGCTCAGATAAGACAGTTCGGATCTGGTACAACTCTTCCCCACACGATCTCGCCATACTATTTCGCACTTACTATTCACTTCTTCATTTCGGATCTATACAGGGATTTATCGTCTCGTTCATCTTCAGAGCCCCTCACCTGTCTAGGCTCTATATCCGCACATACTCGTCCCGTGGAAGCACTCGATGCTTATGTCTCGCCTTCTAATCCATCCACCGCAGTTCTCTTTACAGCAGATACTATGGGTGCGATCAAGGTATGGGAACTAGAAAAAGAGACCGGCAGTGACGGAAAACCTTCAATTCGACCTCGTCCGGCGGGCGATGACCTGGATTATCACCGTACAAGGGTCAACCAACTTGTCTACGGAGACGGGCATGTTTGGACAGGTATGGGCTCACATCGCCACTCTCTGATCTCGTCACTGAGTCAGTCTGCTTTCGAACAGCCTCGACGGACGAAACAGTCCAGATCCACCCCTTCCCCGTCCCCGCTCAAGCCAGCAAAACCTCGTCTGGATCCAGGTCCATCCCACCAATAACCCATTCAGCCGCCTTCAGAGCCGTGCTCCCTCTCCCTCTACACCCTCTCCTGGATGCTTCGACGTTTCCCTATCTCATCGCCGCCTCAGGGGACAACATCCGTACCTACGACATTTCCTCCCTCCGCATCCCATCCTTCCTCTCCGAGGACGAAAAGACAGGCGGAGGTCTCAGCGGAAGCAGAGACCCAGGGTCCGCGGAGTTCATCAGAGAGATCGAGGGGCATTGGCATGATGTGACGGGTTTGGGCGTATGGTTGAAGAAAACCAACCTGAAGGAGGGGAGGGGGAAGGAGGTCTGGATCGTTAGTGCGAGCGTAGACCTGACGATTCGGAGATGGAGGTTGGCTGGTTAGTTTTTCCCCTGGTATTTCTTATCAGGTCGAGTTCATGAATCACCACTATCTTTGCGATTGTAGATCTCGTTGCGCCGGTGAAGTCATTGCAAGAACAGAAGGCAGTTGCTCCTGTGGCTCCACCAGTACCGGAACCAACCAACACTGAGGTTGGTGGCGGTTTGACCGAGGAGGAGGAGCGAGAGCTGGCAGAATTGATGGACGAAGATTGAGTACCCGCCTTTCGCGTGTGTATCGTTGGCCAGTGCTTGGGCTATGAACGGTGGATATTGATCCACAATGATAGTTGCGCAGCTGCCGGCTGTATCCATACACTGGCACGCCTGACTCAAGCCAAGGGGGCGGGCATAGTATGTAAGTACATGTCTAAATACAAGGGTGTCCGGTACAAAGGGAACACGGAAGGACGAAAGGAACCTGAAAGTCTCCTCAGAGCTTCGCTTTAGCGACGACTTGACTGTTCGCAACTGCGAGGCTCTTCGCGGCTGTCATCACTAACTCGTCGACACTGGGTAATGTCATGATGGATGATGTATGAATATCAGAAGAACGGAAGTAAAGTCGAAGCATTGCACTCACATCTCCTTTGCCGGTTTGATGTCCTAGGAAGACAAAAATCTTAATAAACCGATATATATTCCATCGAGTGAGTGTAGAACTCACGTTGATCGATCCAGCGACTCGTCCCATGAGCCCTGGAAATACTTAGACTTAGTCTGAGATGAGATAAACGCGTTGGTGAGCACTCACACATTCGCCCAGAAGGAGATTTCTCTGGATGCTTCGCGAGCTCTTCCTCATGCGGAACCTTACCCTCCGAGGTCAGCTTGATGATCTCCTGGTGTCTATTCTCCTCCCTAGACCATCCAAGACCTGTTAGGTACAATTTCTCCTTGTAGAACTGAGACGAAACACCCACCAGTCCCTCACATAATCCGTCTTCCTCACGCTCATCGGTCTCCCCGAATATATCAAAGTCCTAACTGTGTCATCATGCCCAGCACTCAACACGAATTCCTTATGCATCTTCGGCGCGGCCGCCTCCGTGCTCGCCACGAATCTCGTACCGACCCAGACTCCGGAAGCACCGTAAGAGAGAGCAGCAGCGAGACCTCGACCATCGGCAACGGCGCCTGCTGCGACGACGGTGATTGGTTTCCCGGTGAGTGGTGATTTGTGCGGTTTGCAGAGGTCGACTACGGTGGGGATGAGGATTGAGAAGGGAACGTCGCCCGTGTGGCCTCCGCCTTCGCCTGGGGGTGGGGAGTTTGTATGTGAGTTTGAGTGGGAGAGACATTCGCGGCTGCGAACTTACCGGCCTGAGCACAGATGATATCGACGCCTAAACCGAGTATAAGAAGCTATGGCCACAGGTACTGAGAGGTACTGACCTTGGGCGAGTGCCTTCTTAACATGCTGCAACAGATATATAAGACCATGGGATGATTCAAGAGTCGATTCGAGGTTCTACTTACTTTAGGATGACCAATCATGCTATGAACAACAATCATCAGTCACAATAGCTATCTGGTCGTTGGAAGCGCACTGACTTCATGACGAGGATACCTACTCCATGTAGTTTGTCCACCATTTCCTTCGGTGGAACTCCTGGATGACAAGACATATGTAAGCGTTTCTCCTTGGAAAAACCTGACGAACATACGACGTACCGACGGCGCAAACAAAAAGTGCGGCCTTGCTCTTAATAATCACTTCTGTTAACTCCGGGAGTTGTCCACTCGTATAATCATACTTGAACCGCAGACATTCTCCGGTCAGTCTGACACACAGAAAAGGAGAAGAACAGGGGAAGTTTGAACTGACATTAGTCTTACGCGCGTTTCCACCGATTTGAGGAATGAGCAGGTCTACTCCGAACGGTGCGTTCTTGTCTTCAAGGTGACCCTTTAGCTCGTCAATCACGTTCTGGAGAAACTTTGGGCTCATGCGAACACCGCCGATAACTCCAATGCCACCTAGACATGTTACATGGGCATGAGCCTCCCGGACTGTATTGTCTCGATGGTCCATAACTTACCAGCATTTGTGACTGCCGCTGCCAGCTTAGGTCCAGCAGCCACACTCATGCCTGCATGATACCCGACAAACATGAGCATGAGAAATGCGACGGAACGAGTGAGACGTGAGGTGAACTTCACCGGCGAGCATGACGGGGTGATTTATGTTGAACAACTCGGTTAACGGTGTAGTGAGGACTGGTTCTGAGGAAGGCATCTTGCGTATGGCAGTCAAGAGAGAAGATCCTGGGCGGGAATGCAATACATGGTATTGTTAGTCGACGCATTATAAGTGCGAGAAAGAGTATAGAATCAGGTGGCCCTAAACGTTGCCTAAACACTCGACACGGGTCGCGCGGGTCCAATTGCACGGGTGGCGAAGAAGCCGGTCTGCCGTCTTCAACCGGACATCCTCTTTTGGACGAGCTTCATATCCACCTCGATGTCTGCAGACAAGTGTCCCGTTGACCACTCTTCCCTCTCGGCTTCGGGAAGCAAAGCAGAATCATGTCCAGTTGACCCTCCTACACGGTCAACTTGGTCAAGCATCTTCGGTGGTTCATCCTCATCGCAGCCTCAAACCCACGCTCCCTCACAGGCCGCCACACCTGCACCCACCGGCCCCACCTCTTCACTCTCTACTGCTCGCGAAACATCTACTATTCCGCGCAACGAGTCTGGCGAAAGATGGGTCTACCCTTCTGAAGCCCAATTCTTCGCCGCCATGGCACGCAAGAACCACAACCCGCAAGCACCAGACATGCGCGTCATCGTTCCCATTCACAACGCGGTGAATGAGCGCGCGTGGGGCGAGATTTTGGGTTGGGAAGAGGGAAAAGGAGGAGAGAAGTGTGGTGGTGCGAAGTTGATCAGCTTCAAGGGAAGGCCGCAGGATCTGACACCAAGGGCGAGGTTCAAGGCGTTGATGGGGTGGGTTTTCATGAGCATTTTATGTTCTCCGAGAGTTATTTTACTAAGTAACGAACGAATGATTAGATATACACCACCCTTTGACCGTCACGACTGGGTCATCGACCGCTGTGGGACACGGATTCGCTACGTGATTGACTTCTACACCGGCCGACCCGCGCCTGGCACTTCGAACGTATCGTTTTTCCTTGACGTCCGACCAGCCCTGGATAATTGGGAGGGAGTGAAGATGCGAACAGCCAGGTTTCTTGATAGATGGACAGGCTCTATCACACAATCTTTGTTTGGGCCTTCGCAATCGTCGACACCTCCAAAACAGAGCTCATGAAGCTCGCCACCAGATGTATCTCCTCACGTACTATAGGGCCACACTAATAGAGCACAACCACTGCTTACTCGACGAGATGAAAGGATGCAAGAGAATGGAGATACAAGCATATTGTAATGTGTAAATTTCACCGTTTGCCTTTCAGCTTAGGCTTTTTAGCTGGAGGTGGCCGCCTCTCGGGCTCATCGTCGCTGTCGTCTTCGTCTGAACCTGTGGCGGCCTCATTTTCACTCCCTTCTCCTTCGCTGATCTCTTCCTCGTCGTCCCAATTGTCGTCATCCTCATGACCGTCCTCACGGTCCTCATCTCCCTCCATATCCCCATCCTCTTGCTCTTCCTCCTCGCCCTTGCCCTTACCCTTGTCCGCCAACGCCTTCTTCCTCTGCACATTCTTCTCCTGCTCCTCTCTCCTCTCCCTTCTCAACTTCTCCTTGGCAGCATGTTCTGCCTTTTGTGCCTTGGTCTCGGCCTTGGACTTTTTAACTACAAACCGCAAAAGCAAAATGACAATCAGCAAACCATTTCACTTAATACGAACCCAACCGGAAGGCCAACTCACCAAACTCATGGAAGATAACACTTCCTTCCTTCCCAGGCATCCCCTCCGCGATCTTAACAAGCCTCAACTCCATCCTCGGCCCGATCTCATCCAACCTCACCGCCCTCTTCGTCCCCTTCCTATTATTCCGCCCCACATAATCGCTCGCCAAATCCACCGTCGTCTGTCCCTCCACATCCTCTCCCGCCGCACTCGACGCATCGCTCACCGCGCTCTCATATCCAGTCCCACCACCCTCCGACCCGGGTCCAGGCTCACCCTTCCTTCTCAACAAGAAATCCGCGACATCTTTCTCGTTGCCCAGATCTACTACGTCGTGCGAGGCAGAGACGCCCTCGAGGACACGACGCACGCGCTTGGAGACGCCGTAGGGTTTGACGGTGATGCGGTAGTGTCTGAAGTCGATCGTGCCGCGGTCGGGGTTGTAGGAGATGAGGACGATGCGCCGGGCGGATGAGAGGGAGAGGGAGTTGGGGGAGAGAGGGGGAAAGAGAGATTGGAAGGTTTTTAGGACGAGGGGGAGATGTGGGGGTGTTGTTGGGGACGGTGGTGGGAAGGAGGCGAGGACGAGCTGTTTAAGTAGGATTAAGGATATTAGCACAAGATTTTTGACTGAGTTGAACAAGAAAAATGGAACACTTTTCCAAGGGGGTAGAAAGAAAGAGAAACGCACCAAAGGGGGACTCAGATACTCCACCATACTGACGCTCTTACTCCTCCTCATGGAGTTCTGCACATCCTTCACGAGACTGTACCTCTCGATCCTGAAACTGAGCGTCGGCCCATTCGAGAGCCTGACGATCCTCAGCGACGGAGCGACGTCCGTAAGTGTGAACGCGAGCAGATGCGTCACTTGGAGCGCAGGGGCCATAGTTAAGAAATCTTTCAGCTTGTTTCGGGCCCGTTCCTTCACTTGCGAGAAAAATTGAGACCCAAGTCAGCATGCGCCTCCCTCTCTTCATCTCATGACCACTATCACGGCCACTGTGATTGCTGTAGACTAAGAAAGAAAAGATGCCGACCTTCAAGCGACTCGCCGTATTCGGCTCCATCACTTTCCTCACATCCCTCACGAGCTGCGTGAGCGAAGTGCCGACCTGCCCGTGCTTGATCACGAACGACTTTGGCGCGTTGGACGATTCGGCGCCAGAGGCTGGTCCACCCTTCAAGTGCGTGCGATTTTTACGTTTCCGAGCCATTGCTTCTGAGCCCTGTACTTGTAGAGAAGATAGTAGGCAGCGGGAGAAGGGAAGGAAACGAAGAGGGAAACGGAAGAGGAGATCGTAGACGCTTGGAGAACTTCAAGCCAGTTCGCCAAAATAATTTCAAATTCGAGAACTTTTTACCGATCAACTTTGTTGGTGCCACAGTGGCGGGCTCTTGGTCTAAACTTCCGGTCATATTTTACAAACTTATCTCCCTTTGCTTAGTCGTAAACCCTACGGGCTTCAAATCTCAACGTCCAGCCTCCACTCAACTTGAATTATAATTTTGTGGCCGTTTGATCAACGTTCAATTAAATACGCCAGAAATAAACCGTACTAGCGGAGGCTTTGAGTACCTAAACCACACAAAACAGCAGGTAAGAACATCCTAAGTACGTAGCGATTCGGAACCTCTCTCCTTTATGACTGTCCTACGTACTCTGCTGCGTGCGCGAAAACGGAACGATAAACTCTCCACGAACCCTCAAACCGGCGGATCAATATCCTGTCCCCCACACTCTTGCTTGCCCCTCGGCCCGATTGATGCTTTATCCAATATGTATTCCACAGTGGCACAATAGCTCATTCGTTTGCGCTATCCTGTTCCCTGGCATTTTGACTCTGATTGGGAGGTGGGGGTTTGTAGTATTCGAAACCAATGGACTCCATCGATGTGGCGGCGAGAGTCAGGTGCCCGAAGTCGATCGGGTGTTCTACAGTAATTGGGTCATAGAAGGAAGGTGAGCTATCCAACGCATGGGACAGAATTGTATCAACAATGGGTATGATATTTCTCGACCACATGGTCCGCACAGAAGGACTCTCCCATTTCCATAGTTTGTACTCATCGATATGTTCCATGTCCAACAGTGTTGGACTCGTGTTGTAGTCTGCTATCCCAACGCGAATCGTGCTGCTCACCCAGAGTATGCAGAATGTCAACGCCTCTCGTGTGGATTTATCAGAGGACCATTCAGGATGCTGAGACGTAAATCCTGTAATGATTGACAGTAAGGACCAACAAAATCAGTCTATTTGTCTACCAGTTGATGTTTTCATCTCAATGTTCATGAAAAGGTCATCCTGCTGGACACTGTGCAATGGTTGACGATAGAGTATGGCATATAAAGCAGTGACGACTGAACTTGCAAGCACTGATATTGGCCGAGGATCATGCAGTTGCTCACCCAGGATAAGGAGAAGCTTAAGGTGACTGTCAAGCCCCTGAAATGGTCGTAGTACTATGTTCTCTACCGAGAAGTTGTATCTGACTCTGTTGAGAGAATGTTCATTGAGAGCAACACTCTGGCCCACAGTGTCCCAGTTGATCCCACGCAATATCATCACCACATATCGCACAAAAACCCATAGCTGAGCACTTTCTCGGGCTCTGAACTCTAGGCTTGTTAATAACACTTCATATGCCTCCGATGAGGCACTCTTTACTAGAAAATGCTTTGAATGAGAACTTTGCCCGTCAGAGAATGTGCCAACATACATAGCTTTGAGAGTATGGCATAATGCAGATACATGATGGGAACCTAAGAGGTGCTGGTGCTGATTCAACAGAGATATTGTTTGATCAACAGGCGACTGTTTCGCAGTCACACGGTGGCAATCTTTAATCCAGTAGATTACCGAGTCGGCACCAAAAGATGCTACCTTTGTCAATGCCCTTGACATTCGCTCAAGATGAAGGATCGAAGTGACAATGTGCTCGTCCTCGATAGGATTTGAAACCAGCGCTGAGGTATGTTCAAGGGCTGACAGCCAGTGAAAAACAACATCACGAGACTGATATGAAAGATGACAAGCAATGTATGCAGTCGACTCTTGGTCAAATCCAGAAAATGACTGATATACAACGTCAGTGACCGAAGACTTTGTGGTAGTTTCCGATAACCAGAACATAGCATTGGCGGTGAGACGCAATATCTGGAATGAGTTTGCTTGAACAATGACCCGTTCACGTTGTTTCAAGTTATTCGATGAGAGAACCAGCCGGTATTGAATGCGAAAAGGTGACAGCGACAGGGATCGCTGCATAGTATGGATATGACACCAATAGTAGGCAGCATGATAGAAGGGGCGGGCGGCAGACGTGTAAACACAGATAGCAGTGATCCTCAGGAGCGCTCCCAAAACACGTAGATGGTTGGAAAGAGGGGTGCGATATGGACATGCCAAATATATGATGGGCATGATAGTCGAAAACACGTAGGCTATGTATGTGAGACCAGCGACAATGGCCACCACTGAGCTGATCACCGTGTTTGATGCGACCAGAAAAATGACAAGGCCCGCGAAGAACAGCAGTAACGACGCATGCAGAAAGAAGGGCAAGATTCCGACAATTTCGCGCACGTACCATGTCCCGACACCCTCGAAGCACATCTGTCGAAGGAGAGCACGTTCTTTAAGTGGCCCAGAGATAGCGGATGTGTAGTTCTGTGCCCATTGTTTGACCAAGATGCAAAACAATGCCGTGGAGAGACTTAGGGCCAGACTCATGAACCAGAACCCGTTCACGACACGATCAGATATAGCCGATGTGAAGGTTACGGTGGTGTTCAGTGGAGACACCGGAACATCACTCGCAGGAAGCCCTTGAGCTGCAGCGCGCTGTAACGCGACGAGCTCTGTGAGAAGCGACGCAGACGTCGGCGTGTAGTCGGGCTGTAGGTTTGGGCCACAAAGGTCGTGACGACGGCGGAAAACAGACCGGCCTACACAACCCATTCAGCCGCGCAGTCGTGGTAGTTTGGAGGTAGTCAAAAAGATACATACGAAAACGAGAAGCATATCGACGGTGTCTTTCCACCCCTCGACCATCTCGTGGTCATACGCGTCTGCCTCATCAATGTATCCTCTCCAGACGCGAGCATTGGGACCAGCTTCCTCGCCATAGGGGTCGGGCTCGTATTTCGCCTCGTAGTCGTCGTCGATATATCCTCGCAGAAGAGAAATTGTGAGCACAAACACGTCCAACACCAAACTGATCGAAAAAAGCATACCATAATTTCCTGCATTTTGCGAAGTCCGAAGAACGGTTTTGTAGACTGTCTATGACCGCCTGCCGTGCTGCGGGGCAAAGGTTGAGAGGGCTCATGCTCCATTGGAGAGGATGTCCTTCCTAAATCAAGAGCCGCTTTGTTCGATGCAATCAGCTCACGTGCATCAGTGTCTCGCGCACTGGCATCAGACCCTGAGGCAGCTTCGAGGACGAAGAGGCGCCCATAGGCATATTCACGTCAGTAGCATTGGTCTCAGCGCCGCCATGGACGACAATTTCTTCAAGAACGGGTTCATCTCTCGCGACAGAGCGAACATGATTACCAGATTGGGCAGGCGCGCTGTGCTCGCTCTCGGTAGGGCTCGCAGGTTGTAATGCCTGTAGCTCAATATCGGCGACAGTTATGCCATCCGAAGGACGGTCTAACGGTCCGGAAGGTGCATCCTGTGTCACGTCCATGTTGAGCTGAGGACAGACTGAGTCTGAAGAGTATAAAGCGAACAAGTCGAGAAGATCGTGGAGGTCAAGAGCACAGGTCGCCTGGGCGTCAAAGTGTCCCTGCATCAGAATGTGTACCGGAATGGAAGCCGATTTATCGGTTCCATGTGGCGCAAAGACGATCAAGTTACTGGGCCACAGAGTCATTGCGAGCCAACTCCGAAGAGGCTCGATCGGTCAACATAGTCTTCCATCAAAAATCAGGTCGGACGAAGTCACAATTCGACGACACAATTCAACGTAAGTCAGCAACAGTACTGATTGAACTGAAAAGACAAGAACCACAAAAAATGTTCAGCAGGGGCTCGAAACTTTTACTCGTAAGTACCGTATGTACTTGAGTATATGAACGAAAAAGCCCAGTCTGTCGGAGTAGACAAGCGAGCGAAAGACGCTGGGACAAACGAAAATATCAAGACCGAGAGAGGGTGGAAGTGACCGGGAGAGTCCAAAATCCGAATCAGTACTCAAAAACAAGTGGTATGGACAGGAGCACAGACAAACAGACGACGGCCAGACAGTAGTAAAGAGTGTGTTTGGGATGCATGAAGGACTTGTAACAAGACGGACGGGTTCAGTCGACACAAACAGCGCTAGCAGTAGAGACATTATAAGACAACCAACAAGAACCAGAGAGCCAAAAGGGAGATTCAAATAGATAGATAGGTTAGTCAGACGGACGGATGATCAGATGAGAAGGACAACGGCAACGATCGAAAGAAAGAAACGAGGGAAATCACGGGCGAGAACTGGGCTACACTGGTCGGTATATGGATAATGAGGGGACGCTGGTATGAACTGGAACTAGAACAAGATGATGATGGTGATGTGTGTATATGTATATGTTGCGATCGTTCTGTTAGAAATGACTGGGCAGGAAAAGAGCACAATTGGTTGGTAGATACAGCTCCTTAGGAAACAGGATTCCAAAATACGATGAGTGAAGAAGACAAACGATTAGGGAGGGTGAGCGAACGTGGTCCGAACCAAGGAGATGGGCTATTTGTATAGAGCGAGAACCTAGAAGATGAGAGACGGTAGGAGGGCAGGGTGTGTACGATAGAGCTGGGGAGACGCGAGAAAGAGACCGAATGAGAAGCACAGACAATAGGCAGACAAGCGAGAGTAGATGACGATTATAACTAGTTAGTGAGCGAATGTGCAAAGCAGAGCAATATATGGACCCAATAAATAGAGCCAGAGGGAAAAGCAAAGGAACAACGAGGGATATCAAAATAGCTACAAGAGGGATGCGATGTTGGCGGTCCCGAAAAAAAAATCAGAATTCGCCAAACTGGAAGCCAATCATGTCGAAGCGTTCATGCAACGGTGGATTCCTCTCCTCTCGGAGAAGACCAGGGACGTCTTCGGGTGGTGGGAGGGGTAGACGGGTGAAGTATCGTGTATCGTCCAACGATGTGACTTGGGGGACGATGGGAGCCTGTGAGACGAAGATAAATCAGTCCAAGAGAACGGGATGATATGTTCACTGCGAACGCACTCGGATATCTCGACGCTCCAAGGCATCCCAATCTACCCCACGGAACCACATGTGCTCCAAAACGTCCTGTGGCCCCGCGATCAGATTCCCAAGTCGCTTGCTGCGATCAGGATGTAAAAATCCCTTGATCAGATCTCTTGAAAGTGGGTCCATCTCCTTGGGCCAGTGCACTTTGCCCTTTAGGATCTTCTCGTAGATACCGTACGCGTTCTCATCAAAGAACGGTGGATAGCCAACCATCATCTCGTACGCCAAAATGCCGCATGCCCACCAGTCCGCAGGTTTTCCGTGTCCATCGGACTGGATGATCTCGGGAGCTAGGTATTCGGGGGTGCCACACAACGTCCAAGTACGGTCATCGACGATCTTTGCAAATCCAAAGTCGGTGAGTCGGAGGTAACCGCGCGAGTCGAGGAGGAGGTTCTCTGGCTTGAGGTCGCGATAGATGATGTTGAAGGAATGTAGGTACTTGAGTGCAAGGACAATGGTGGCGAGGTAGAAGCGGGTGACATCCGCTGTGAAGCGACCAGCACGACGGAGATGGGTGAACAGCTCGCCACCAGGAACGTAGGACAGGAGCATGTAGATGTTGAGGCTGTCCTGGAACGTGGCATACAGGTCGACGATGAAGGGATGACGGACGCGGGATAGAATATGTCTCTCCGCCTTCACATGTTCGACCTGGCGGAGACGGATGACTTCTGTTTTGCGAAGAACTTTCATCGCGAAGCAATTTGTGGCGCGAGCGTCACTGGGTGCGGTGCGGAGCCGGACAAGGAGGACGCGACCGAAGGTACCAGTACCTACCAAAAGGGAATGAGATGTGACAAAAGATCGTGTGTGACGGAATGAACGCACCTAGTGTCCCCTTGACCTCGAAGTCGGTCAACTTCAAATAGGGATGTATGTGCTCCTGCTCGTTCTCCAATTTACGAAGGGGAGGTCTCGGAGGGGAGTGAGGGGCCAGATTAGATCCGTCATCGCTCTCCATGTAGGCGTCCGTGCCTTCTGCATCGGATTGGACGGGAATGACGGGGCGCTGGTCTGGCTGACCATCCTCCGACTCGGCTTCATCAGTGGGTATGTCACTAGATGCGGGCGTCATGGGAGGTGTGATGGGCGCATCTCCTGCTACGGCTGTGTTGTCTCTTGGAGAGGAGGGGAAGGAGAGCATCGTGCGTTTTCCGGATGTAGAGTTGGTGGGGAGGGAGGATGAGCGACCGGCAGCAGCGAAGGGAGAAGGGTCCATTGAATATTTATTAGGATGGTCGAAAGACCGGGCCGTAAAAGGAGAACAAAGTGTAGGGGTGAGAATGTCAGGCGCCTAGCGACAGAAGAAACGAGATGTCACTGTCAGTTGAGAAGAGAAGACAAAGCAGGGGCTAAAGGTCGGAGATCGGTGGGCACCTGCTAACTCAAGCGCAAACGGGATCGTCGCTACGAGCCGGGCGCGAGGGCAACTGTCGGGAGGGGCGCAACGGCGACGACGACGGCGACGGGCAGAGCGAGGCTGCGCTGCAGCTGGATGGAGGATGTGGGCGAGAGCAAGGAGACGTCGCGAAGAAGTCTGGTAGAGATCTATTGCTTGTCCGCTTCGTCGGCCTCCCAATTCGCCACGTGCGCCACTACCATCCGCCACCCGTTGAGGTCTTATATTGACATCGACAAAACCAAGTCGACGGTCGTTGCCAACCCGAGTTCAGACGACATATTCCTCGTACTTATATTATACATGCCTAATAGCGACTGTTTATACCCTTGCGAATGCCGCATCTGCCAGCCAACGGAGTCGGAAGAGAGGCAAAGATGCGATTACTGACAGTGACAGCGTCTCGCGAATCGAATGATTCCCATAGGGGGCCACATCAATTGCTCATCCCCCTCGCCATAAGCGCGAACACACGTCCTTTCCGTTCCCCATCCACGGTATCTAATCCGCCGCCATGCCCTCCCCGCGCGAAGAGCGTCGCGAGTCTCAGGCTCCCTACTACCCTGTCTCCAGCGACCCCAACGCGCCAGAGACAGAGCCCCTGACCGGTCCCACATCTGACGCCACAAACGACAACGGTGCGATGGGTAACGAGGAACAAATGTTCGTCAAACCTGAAGCGAGACGAGGAGACCAAACCGCCTTGATTGCTGCTATTGTAAGTTCCTTGCCTAAGGGTCGTTCATCTCGTCACCGCCTTCGATATGTTTACACCGAGTCCTAGGTGTCCGCAGGAGTATGTGTCTGCAAGGATTTCCTTGTATTCTAAGGATTTACCACTCGACTTGCTAGGTGCTCGTTCTCTTTACGTGGGCAATTGTCTTCTACAATGACCCCATCGCACTCGGCTGGTTCAGCTACCACCCCATGCTCCAAACACTTGCGATCTTCGCCTTCACTATAGGTCTGTCAGACTACTCCTCACTTCTCCCGCTAATAAGACGCCACACCTATCATTCATCCCTCCGTTCATCAACTCATTCTTCATGTCCACTCGCAGGCATCCTCTCGCTCCAACCAACATCCCAGCCGCGCACAAAAGCCGCAGGTCTAAAGCGTCACCAACTCGCCATGATCCTCGGCCTAATCTCCATCGTCCTCGGCACCTCCGCCATGTTATACACCAAAGCGTCCCACAACGCTCCCCATTTCACCACCTGGCATGGCGTAAGACTCCTCATCTCTCATCTCGTATTCCTTATTTAGCCCTGGAGGTTCCATTCATCGAGTCTTGACGTTTCTGACGCTCTGACGTGTTCAAATTAGCTCTTTGGCATCATTTCATTCGTCTGGTTGATCGCCCAGTTCAGCATAGGCGCCGCGAGCGTCTGGTTCGATGGCAAGCTTTTCGGTGGCGGGATGCGGGCCAAACTCGTATATAAATACCATAGGCACGTTTTCGCTGATCCATCCCTCACTCTCGCTCGCCACGTCACCTTCTCCCTCGCTCTAGTCCAGATTATCACTAACCGCTCAAACCTGGGATTATATAGGCTTTCGGGATACATCATCATCCCCCTCACGCTCCTCACCGTCAACTTTGCAGGCGCGTACGCGGACTGGGTCATCGGTGGCAGCGCATATATCGTTCGATTAATCGCATACACCATCGCGCCTGTCGTCTTGCTCGTAGCGCTCTACGTGCGCGTGAGACCCTCGAAGATGAAGTTCTTCTGAGAGTGTTTGGGCTGGGTTAGGTTCAAGGACTGTTGCGGAATTTTCTTGGTACTTATAGTACTTATTTCTTGGTAGTATGTCGTGGGGCCCTTGCTTGTATGATTAGCTGTCCTATGGGTTACATGTAGAAGGTGCCATGCACGGTGATTTCTTGGAACAAAACATTATGTTTGTGAGAAGCCTTCGTTCCGATTCAAGAAAGAAAAATTAAGGTACTACTGCGCTGGTATCAAATCACTATTACTACGCTATGACAGTCCGGCCACAACAAACATACTTACGCCACACCGCCACTCCGGCCGACCACTGACGACGTCTCGTTACCCCACCCGCATCCTCAACGCCATGAATTAAATCATATTCGTCTAGCGTGCTCAAGCCGCAACCTCTTGTGGAGGATGTGATCCCTCCACATGCTGATGCTCGCCCGCAGGTTGTGCCACAGGTTCAGGCTCAGGCGTGGGAACAACACTCTCCACCAGTCCCGGCAAGAACCTCTCCATCCTCTCCCTCGTGACCTCCCAAAGCTGTTTCTGCTGCTCGTTCCGCGTGTCTTCCGGTGTCGCAGGCCGAGGGACAAGCATGCCCGCTGCGTTCATGACGAGGACGACGTTCTTGAGGGATTCTTGGACGGCTTCGGACTATTCGTGATGTGGCGTGGCGCGGCATGTTAGCACAACCCAGAACAGGATGAGTGTGCCAGAGAGGGGGTGGGGAGATAAGAAATAGGAAACAAAACGCACCATCTGATCCGTCCTATCCACCCCCATCAACGCGTCCATCCCATCCAACACCCTCGCCCAAAGTCCCCTCACCTCCTCCCCGTCCCTCACACCCACCACATCCCTCACCTCAAACCTCATGAACGCCTTACAAACCACCATCGCCGCCCGCACCCTCGTCTCCGTGCCTTCCGCGCCCGCGCCCATACCGACAGCCGCGGTCGGGGCGACTTTGATGAGGTCGTCGATCATGGGGAATAGGACTTCGTCGAAGAGTTGTGCGATGTTCAGAGGCGAGTCGGATTCTTCTGGACTTAGGTGTGGGTTTGTGGAGAGTTTGGGTTCGGGGACGAGAGGACCGAGGACGGCGCGGGAGAGTTGGGAGAGGGCGGAGTGGCGGATTTCGCGGGATGCGTTCGTGGATTGGGAGGAGAGCGAGGCGAGGATCATGAGGGATTGTTGGTTGAAGCCTTTGCGCACTCGCGTCAGTATTCATGTTTTCAACTGAGGAGCTACATAAGGAACTAGGGGAAATAGAGCGCACGTGGGTCGGATTTGTCCACCGACGTCGCATTGAGAGCCTTCAGTAGCTCGAACATCAAGTCGACAGCCTTCCGTCCACGGTCGATTACCGGTGAACTACACATTCATATCGACAAATCTTATAAGCAACCGACCCTCAAAGATAATCCAAACAAAACAAACACTCACCTAGACACATCCGCCTTGACCTGCCTCCTCGCATGCTGTTGCTGCTGCTCCGCCTCCGCCACATAACTCGCCGCCGTCGCGAAATCGTCCAACACGGCGATCAACCCCGCCGCGTTATCGAGTGACACGGAGCGTTCGGGTCCTTCAACGATGAGGCGTTGAACGAGCTCGAAGGAAGAACGGGCGGCTTCGATGTGTGAGACGGTGGAGCGGACTAGGGCGAGGACGATGTTCCACTCGGTTGGGGAGCTACATCAGCCATCACAAAGTCGTAAGTCACGAGCGAAGTTGATATGAGTATGGCATTTAGAGGGACGATACGGACCTGACGATGTCCCGATGGTTTTGAAGGATAAGCATGAGGCCTGAAATAATCTGTTCGGCGACAGAGTTGGAGATGGTGGGTGGAAGACCTCCGAGAAGGTCAAATGATATATAGATCTGATCTCGTAGAGAAGGCTTGGAACAATACACAAGTCAGTTCATTCACTGCTGGAGATATCGATCCAACGGGAAAATTTAAACCCACCTTCGTCGCCAAGATCAAGCAGACCCGGAGTAGGGAGACCACAGCGCGCTCGATCAGGAGTATGCTGTACCTTGTCGAGGAAGACAACAGAGCAGAGATGTGCTCGAAGACGATGGGCCTGTCCTCCGCATCAGTACGCCGGGAAGAATCGAGGGACCTTAGAAGCTCACCATAATTCCTCGATGTGCTGAGGCGTCTGTCGCACGATGCTAACGATCGTCTCGAGCAAGAACACGGATGCAGGGTCATACGGAAGCGACGTTTGCGAGCCGTTCAACTCTGCAGATGGGGTCTCGAAAGTGATGGCCATATCCTCCGAGTCTTGTTGCAGCCTCGCCACTGTCCGCTCGTGCGCAAGCGCCTCAAGCGACCGGACAGCTGCAATCAACGGGTCGAGATCTAGTTGCCTGCAAGTAGTATAGCCTTGTCAGCATTGAGTACACGTGGCGAGAACAACAAAAGGATATTGCGTACATGATCTGACCATAAAGCTCATCTAACCGACAAGTCGTGATGCAGTCAATAGCACAGAGCGTGTTCTCGATCTCTGAGTCCGTCGCCTCTGGTACTGCGTCCGGGCTAGGCGTGTACGGCGTCATCAAATAGGATGACAACGCGGACAGAAGACCGTCGTTCCTTGGTTGAGGACGAAGGGGTTGTTGACTGCTTCCACGCAGAGGAATCATGGAGACACCGCCAAGGAAATCTTCCATTTGCAGCATGCGAGTGGGTAAGAGGGAGTGTATGAAGAGGTTTTGGAACATCTCGAATATCTATGTACGAGAGTCAGATATCAGTTAAGGAGAAAATTCTAAGACCTTTTGGCGTACCTGGGTCCACCCCTCGCGGACGGCGTTCCCGTTTCCATTGACGATATGGAACAGCACCACAGCTGCCAACTGGCCCTTGAGATTCGCGCCAAACTGAACCGACAACGTCGACACCGTGATCGATTGTCCCTCCACCTCGACAACAGGATAGATAGGTACTTCCGTTGGCAGAGCATCAGAAAGCAGGCTGGTCGCCTGGGACAAGGATACTACGACGTAATCGAAGACATCGGGTAGGCGGAAGTGGCCAGCGAGAGTCGCGCATTGTCGGAAGCCTGCTATGGAACGCTCGATGATGTACTCGTCATCGAAGGTCATGAAGGCGTATGTGATGGCGGAGATGACAGGTTTCCAGACGGAAGTGAACATCTCCTTGTCGAAGAGATCAGAGTTGGCTATCATCAGTTGTCCTAGGAGAGACATTAGATGCTCGTTCGGCATTGAAATAACGAAACGAGCTCTTACCTGACTGCCGTGTGCGAGTGAGCAATTCTTTCCATGCAAACTCGAAGCCCAGCTGTCCTGTGTGTTCTTCAGGCATGACTATCTCGCGCTTTCGAATCGAATCGAACAACGCTTGCTACTTTCCTCGTTAGATCGAGTCTGACTCATTGGAATATAAGAGCAGCTTACAAGGTACTCGGAAGAGAAATCCTCTCCATTGTTGACGCCTCTCAAGTTTCGCTTATAGTCGTCGATTGTCATTCGTTTCTATGTACGGGGTGTGAGTTGTCTGGTATGTGCAAATAGTAAAGCACAAACCCGAATTTGGGGGCTATGTTGATCGGTGTTGAGCATGATGAGGGAATATGCCAATATATACACTGCGTCTTGCGACTTGACCTCCCCTATGAAAGATATCAACAGTCTATCTCGGTACCAGCGTTTCAAAACGACTCACCAGGCGCAGTCTCGAAGTAAAATTCCGCAAAGGTCTCCGTTATGCGTGAGATCTGCTGCGATTCACCGGGGAGTCGGAATGTCTCAAGTAATTCACGCAAAGCGTCTGAGACAGTTTTCTATAGCAATAGAACGTTGAGAACGACTTGATGCATGAATAACGAAAATTAACAACACTGACGCCCTTGAAATCAAACAGTCGCAGAAATTCCTTCAACACCTCGATATTGTCGGGCTTGGAGATGAAGTCACCAAGTAGTTTCTTGTCGAGTCGAGTACACGACTTGAGGAACATTGCGAGACTTTTTGCCCGGGAAATGTCGGGTGGAAGATCGCGATAGATGATGCCGTTCTCTTCCAGGAATACCAGGCCGGTCTTTGGTTTCGCGTTGAAACGCGCGGCGCCCGCAAGGACGATGTTTTTGGTCGATTTGCTTTGCATGAGCTCCTCAGAAGATATATATTCCTGTCATCACATGTATGAGCTGAGGTCGGAGGCAGGAAGGACTAGTAGATGAAAGCTCACAGAAGGCCATGAAACGACAGCCTATGATACCAGTGTCAGTTGCGAAGAAAACGGGAGAAGGAAGAGTTCACAAACACCCTCGGCTCGCGCTGCCATGTGATTGACGAATGTGAGAAGTAGGTCCAAGCACAGGTATTGCGACTGTATTGGGCTCTCTTGCATGGATTCAGGGTAATATTCGGTATATACACCCTATGGGCCACACAATCAGTAAGTCGTTACCTCGAAGACTACGCAGACAACGCTCACCTTGGTCAATAGGTCAATCAGCCGCTCGAAGAGGTTCTCCGAGTTGATATCACAGTCGTAGTTTGTGAACAAATCGACCATGAAGTTCGGATCGCGGGAAATTTGGCTGAGCATTTCGAGTAGAACGTCCCTCGTCTCACCCTTCGCAGGTAGCGCATGCGGTTTATTCGGCAAAGAGCTCCCCTTCTCCAAGTCACTATCAGGTGTAGGTTCTAGTTTCGGTGAGGCCGTGTTCGACAACCGCCCTGACCCCTTACGAGCCGGGACCTTGTAGCGCGCTGCTAGTCTGTCTGGGACTGGTGGCGCCAGTCGGTCGATGGTGAATGAGAGTAGGAGCTCTTGTTGGAGCTTAAGATGCTTTCGCATGGTGTTCATCATCGTCGAGGTGGTACGTAGGGCCATGTTTAGTACAGCAGAGTTCTCCGAGCGAGCGAGCTGGAAGAGATATTTGCAACCGTGGTCGAGAGTCAGACTGCGAAGAGACGGGAATTCGCCCAAACGGGGACCGGAAACCTCAAAAGCGGCGTTGAGAATTCCGAGAGCGAGCAGACGTGTCGTATCTGAGTGAATGCGGTCGTTTGGGTCAAGAATGTTAATAATGACTCGGAGTAACTCTACGAGGGATGGGAGACCGTCTGAAGGAAATGCTTGAGTTTTTCACTAAAGTTTAGAAGATAAGAGTTCATACATTCCGGTCTCGTTGATTCGGCTGGCGGTTCTGGTGCTGCTGGAGGCTCTTCCGCTACAGCCTGAGGGGCGTCGGTCTCTACTGGTGCATCGCTCGTCACGACGAGTTCGGCTGAGGGGTTTGGAATTCCGATCTCAGGGCCTTGGCTTTCTTCAGATGTGAGCAACTTCTTCTCCTCCGCCTCCGGGTCGAGTGAGTGCAACCGCGCAAACACTGTCCTCACAAGGGTATGCATGATCAGCTCGGCAGACCGCCTGAGAGCCTCTGTAGGATATGTTCATCAATATCGACGATTTCTAAATACCGATATAGACACGGACTCACCACTCAACCTCATCTGAACACACGTTGTCAAGACCGTCTCGAGCATCTCGCATACCTCCACGTCCCCGAGCAGCCCGCCGACAGGCCCGCACATACAGTCTTGTATCACGGTAAGAATCTTGAGCAGTACCACCTCGTCCCCTGAGGAGTCGCTAGCTTCAAACTTGCAATGGGAGACTGCAGAGCTCAGCTCTATGAGCGCCGGATCGATGTTGGGGCATTCCGGGGATATGATCCCGCAGAGAAAGAAGTTGTGGAGGGATGAGAGTGCAGCGGAGGTGATGGGTCCGGTAGAAAGCGGTGATCGTATGATGGCGAAGAACGGGGACAGAAGCGTGGTCAATGGTAAGGTGGTGATGTCTAGAGCAAGTAGAACAGGAAGGGTATAAACGCTTCAACTTCTGTAATTTTGATGGACAGAAGAATGAACACGCACCTTGTACATTTCGCAGTTCTCGTTTGAGTTCCTCAAATCCAAGCATGAGATCGTCCTCTGAGCTACCTCTTTGCTCAGAGTTTGACCGTACAGGCCCTGTTCTCCGGAGACCGAGACTGCTGGCCAGAACAGAGTCGCGAGTGTTATACGTTTGGCTAGAGGATGCCCAGCGAGCATTCTTCCTCATAACAGCAGTAACAGAGAGAGCTTCCGAGTAAATGATATGCTTTGGCGAGACTGTGCCATTGGACTCGGAGTATTTAATAGTGGGTGGCCACGCAGAGGGACCTGCGTGGTGATTGGATCCAGCGGGCATGTCGAAGAGAATGATGTGGCCGGACCAAGAAGGTCAGCAGCCTGGTACGAGTTGTAATGTTTTGGAGGATAAAATCGAGTTGGTCGTTGCGACTGGCAAAATGTAGATGGTATGGTAAAGGGTAAAGACACGTCAGAACCGGACGCGACGAGCGCCACACCCCTGACTAGGCTTGACTGTGGCGTGGCGCTACATAGCAAACGAACAAACCCTTTTTTGGCAACCATGCTGAACCATGCTGAGCCTGTACTTAGGCGATGACTGCAGAACATGTACGTGGTCGGGTCTTATTGGTGGTTGGAAAACGAAAGGCGGTACAGCAACAACTACGACAAGGATATGAAATACAAAGTTGTCCAAAAACTCTCAAACTCATTCTGTTGCTTGTGCCCCCATGGACATGGCAGCCTGCCCCGCCGCCGTCTGAGCCAACCTCGACCGCTTCCTCTCCGCCTCTGTTTGTGAAGTGTGTCAGAAAGTCGCGAGACGGAGAAGAATGGCAATCATACGTACCGGCCTCCTTTTCTCGCTCTATGTCCTGCACGATCTCCTCGATCTGAGCGAGCTCGAGGTTCTATATCACAGCTTAATATTGGTATATCTTAAAGGATGTGGCATGCACGTACGGTGACTTTGCCATAGCTCTCCATGACGCTGATTTCGATGTTCTTCGCGCCAGTTTGTACCACTTCGAGTAAACTCTTGATGGTGAGTTTGATGCTTTCCTCTCGCGACATATCATCCTTGTGATTCTTCTCTAAGAACTCCCGGACAGTTTTCGAAGAACGGCCAATAGCATTCGCCTGCATGCACGAAAATATAGCGTCAGTATAGAATTTACATCAACAAGCGGGGACACATACCTTCCAGGCGCTGTAGATACCACTTGGCTCAGTCTGGTACAACCTTGGTCGGGTGTCATGTGGGTCGAAGCCAACAATAAGGGTAGAGATTCCGAATGGGCGAACACCACCAGATTGAGTGTAACGCTGCACGAACGGTAAGAACGGGTACCAAGAACTGTGCGTTGAGATGGACGTACCTGTTGGATGCCTGCAATATGCCTGGTGATATATTCAACCGTCACTGGGTCCTCCACGGTGAGACGATGGCTTTGACATTCCACTCGTGCCCTGTCAATCAAGACTCGTCCGTCGGCAGTCAACCCTATACATCATGGTGTGGCGGTCAGCGCTCGATCAAGACCTCAGAATGTGAGAGCACGCACCAGCGAAGGCAAGGCAGACATGATCATCCAGCATGACAACTTTCCGTACTGTCCGTGCGTCTTGCAGCTGCAGCACTGACTTCTTCTCCACACCTATAACAACGACATCCTTTCCCCGCACGCCAACCTAGAGACTTGCATTAAATATGGGATGTAAGATAGCATTGTAGAGAACGTGACCAACGGCGCATGTTCCCTTGCGTACTGCTTCGAGAGCGTATTCGACCTAGAAAGACGCGTTAGTTGTGAATACCGAGTATTGTATGACGCTGGTGGTTTGACCTGGAACAAGTGGCCATCGGGGGAGAAGACGGTAAGTGCTAGAAGACATAGACTGTGATATGAGTATTGACGGTGGTTAGAGTTATTTTGGCTGTACTTACCGCGATCGTATGACCTAGACATCGTCGAAGGGGGTGGTGGTGGTGAGGATAGGGAGAGTGTATGAGATTCGTATACTCGTACGCGCAAGCTTCAGCACTTCGACGCGTACGCCATGATTATGTCAGCACGGCTATCACCGCGACGCGTTCAAGCGGAAATTCCAAATTGTTTCTGAACATCATCATGGTCCTCCTCCAGTCTCCTACCTTGACTCCTCTGTGGATGCGCTAAGGCTTTAGACGTGCGTTGAGGTAGAGAAATTATATCTCTTTCCGAGCCTCATCATAACCTGCTTGTTTTGTTATCCCCTAGTTTGTTGTCCTTCAGACGAATCATTAGCTGTCTAACTTCGACACGTTCCGCAAGTCCGAACACCTAGCTCTAGAGTCACACAATGGGCATCTCTGGCGGTATCAATGGCTGCTGGAAGAACACATACATCGTACAGACCCGCACAACTGATTGCATTCTCTAATTCAGAAGATGTAGCTTCTGTGAAACCTTGACCGGCCTCAGAGCTCCGTCGCATTCTTCACCTATGATGTGCGGTGTCGGTCTACGTTGGTCTTGTCGACTTCCTTTACTCGAAATGGGCTTGTTCTATCACACCTATCTTTGCACGGTTGTCAGAGTATGGGCACATCGAACGTCGAGAAACTCATCACAGTCTGGACCAGTCCAATCATACACCATCAACTTCAAGATGGTTCCTTAGCTCCTCTGTTAACTTGCTAGGGAATACTCGACCTATGCTCGACTTGAGAGTGTACTGCTCTGCTTCTGATTACTTGTCACTCCGTCCTCTCAGCATCTTTCTGCACATCAGGCTCGATACCCACTCTCAAATCCGACCCGCACTACCCAAAAACAGCCACCATGAACCTTTCGTGGTAGAGCTGTCAAAATTACCTGTTTTCATATCTATACTTCGAGGCATTGGCCAATCTCAGCCACTCAACGCCTCGATAAAGAGTCTATCTGTTATGATTATCTTTAGTAGCCGTCAACCTCCCTCTGTTTGCGTATTGCATTTGCTTATTCGCAAGTCGAGTCTCCCTCGAAGGACGAACCCTGATATCATGGAAGATGGCAGGTCACTCTCAAGCTGCTGACCCCGTCATTACAGAATTCCTCGGTCTCCGGGTTGGCTCACCAGGTCAGGCGTATATACCACCCCCCTCATCTCTATATCTTCTATAACCCACAATCGACACACATCTCCTGGTCTTCATCCAATCCATCGCCCCACAGCTCTGCCACAGCCGACCATGCAGTTCTCCACAAGGCCTATTGTCTTCGTCATCGCCGTCTTTCTTCCCCTCGCCTCCGCTAGTGGCACCCAAGAGCGTCAAGTATGTAAACCCATCGGCGCTCCCTGCTTCGTCGACAGCGAGTGTTGTACTGATTTATGTCTCCTTGGAGTAAGCCATTTAGTTCAACGATCCCGCTCTCTGTTTCTTTTCATCTTTTTGCTCGAGCTTCACTGAGATTCCGTCTTCTGATAGATCTGTGCGTGAGAGGTCAAATACCCGCATGGCCGTACGTCCATCCAATTCCCGTCCATTGTGTGGCATCCTGTTGAGGTCCGCAGTGCTTCCTTCAATGTCCGTCCGACTATACTTTTCGCTGATTTTGAGCGGTGCGGATGGCGATGAATAGTCTTGAAGATCGATAGTCCAAAAACTGCATTCGTCGTGGTAGTATATAAGCTCGAGTTCTGGGGATTGTTCTCAACGATTGGCATTTCTAGAGGTTTGAATGACTGCTGGAAGAATACATATCAAAATATCTTCACAATGGATGGCATCTCCTAATTCAAGGTGTAGCCTCTGAGAAACGTTGTCCTGCTTCCTAGCTCCTCCCATCGCATTCCCGGTCCCTGCATATATGATATGCGGTGTCGACATACACTGGTCTTGTCGACTTTCTTTATTGGAAACGAGCTTGTTCCATCACACCTATGTTTGCACGGCTGTCAGAGTCTGAGTGACACCTCGAACGCGGAGAGACTCATCACTGGCTGGACCAGTCCAATCATACACCGTCACCCACTCGCTCCAAGATGGATCCTTAGCTCTGTCAACTTACTAGGGAATACTTGACCTATTCACAACTTCAGAGTGTACTGATCTGAGTTTGATTGCTTGCCATTCTGTTTTTAGCATCTTCTCCGCATACCAGGCTTCGACAAAGTAGCTCCAACAAACTCTTTGATCTTCACCCCGGCAGGCCCGAGACCGATACCTACTCCAAATTCCTACCCGCATTACCCAGAAGGTCACAGTCGCGATGAGACCTACATGGTAGGGCTGTCAAAATGACCTCCTTACTTTGATGTCTCGAGGTCTTGGCCAATCCCGGTCATCCGACTCCTCGACAAAGAGTCGATTTGTTTTAGTTATCTTCAGTAGCCGTCAGCATGCCACCCATTTACTTCCTTGCAAGTTGATTCTCCATCGCAGGATGACCGCCGATTTCATGGAAGACGTCAGGCCACTCAAGCTGTCACCCTCGCCGCATCACAAAGCTCCTCAGTCTCCGGATTGGCTCATCGTCCAGGTGAGACAAACGTATAAAAACCTCTTCCTAGTCTCTCCACCTCTACAGTCACTAGCAGCGCTCTCATCTCATAAACCTCATACGATCCATTACTCCACCGCTTCCCCACAATTGACGATGCACTTCTCCGTTAAACCAGTCCTCTTCGTCCTCGCCGTCTTTCTTCCTCTCGCCTCCACTAGCGCTATCCGAGAGCGTCAAGAATGTAAAGCCCTCGGCGATTCCTGCTCCGTCGACAGCGAGTGTTGTGGTGATGCTTGCCTCCTTGGTGTAAGCCACTTAGTTCAACGTTTCCTCCTCGAGTTTCTGTTCATATTTTTGCTCGAGCTTCACTGAAATTCTGTCTTCTGATAGCTCTGTGCGTGAGCACGAGAAGCCAAAAAAGGCATGACCACACGTCCATCCAATTTTCGTCCATTGTGTGGTCTCCTGTTGAGGTCTGCAATGCTCCCGTCCGTCCGATTCGACTTTTCACTGATTTTGAGCTTGGTGCAGATGCGGTGATGCTTAAAATTTGATAATCCAAAAACTTGCTTCGTCGTAGTGTGTAGGCTCGAATTCCGAGGGTTGTTGTCAACGATTCTGTTGTAGCCGTGACAATGAATAGCATCATTTCTGCATGAGAATGTGAGTGATATTCTCGTCGAAACAGAAGCTTCCAGTTGAGCGTGAGGGTGAAAGTTATCGAACAAATTATAATTACACGAATATGAGTACAGACGATACATGTATTAGGAAGTATTTAGTCTAAAATCTATGTAGAGGCTGATACCGCATCTGCCCCGCCCACACGCACCTTCTGCGACACAACGGTCGAGTCTGTCAGTGGCGGCACATCCAAACCCGCCACCGCACTCCTCAATGCCCTCTCCCAAGCCTCCTCCACCCGATACCCACCGGCCCTCATGATCCCCTCCCTGTCCTTCCTCACTAACTCACTGACCGGGTCATAATAACTGCTCATCATCGTATACTTATCCTCATACGCGTCCCAATCGTCCTGCAACGGCACATGAGGCACGTCTGGCACCGTCGCACTCTGCGCCGCCCTCGACCTCAACAACATCGCCGCGCTCTGATGCACCGCATGGTTTGCCTCCTTCGTTCTCTCCTTCGCCCGCTTGACAGCCTCCATCCTTGACTTGGCCACGAGCCGATGCGCATCCGCGGTGGAGTTGCGTTCGAGCGAGTCTATGAGCGCATTCTTTTCGGTTTCGACGGCGAGTCGCTCGGCTTCCTCGGCTTGACGGAGCTCGTCTGCGCGGAGTTGGCGTTCGCGCTTTTGGGCCTCGTCGGCCTCGAGGAGGGCTTTGGCGTAGGATTGTTCGCGTTGAATGTTGGCTTCAATTAGCGCTGCATTCTCGCGTCGATAATCGGCGATGCGCTTTTGTGTCGCTTCAACGTCGATGTCATTGATGAGATTGAAGGCTATAACACCCGTGAGATTTGGATGCCAGTAAGAAAGCAGAACTAGAACATACTGAGGTCCTCGACTTCTTCAAGATAGTTGTTATAGGATTTGAGGTCGGGAAAGTCATCTCGCTGTTTGTTGAAGCTGTGGATGCGGTCAGTCAACAGCCGGCATCGAATGAGTGTGAACAACGTGCTCTTTGGCGATTTGTTTGCGAACGACAACTTCCTTCTCTACGACAAGGTCTTCGAAGGTTTGTGGCATGAACGAGAGCTTTCGTAGAATCTTGCCACATTTTGGACATGGTGCAGGTCCAAGACAGAAGATTCGGTCTATGCATCCTTCACACCTGAAAAACAACCCCTAGTCAGCTCTAGCGCAAGGCTATACGCGAAGTTCAGGGGCTTACAATTTATGATAGCACGCGCTGACGAGGAGACGTAGGCTCGGGTTCAGGTATCGGTCGGACTTGCATTGCGGGCACTGGTCGTCCGGGGACTAATACACGGCATGAAGGACCTTAGTCAGTGACAAGATGCTTAGGAATGGTAAACACGACATACGCGATATTCTTGAACTCTGTTCGAAGGGTCCTTCACCCCTCCCCCGAAGATAGTAGTAGAGGTGCTCTGAGGAACTTGCGGGGTCAAGGAACGCGAGCCACTCGGCGTATTGGCGTTTTTGCGGATAGTTGTGCCACGGAGCCAACCACCCACATTTCCTCTGCTTGCGTTCGACATAGTAGAGGTCGCTGCAGGCATGTTGAGAATGACACAATGTGAAAGATGACGGTGAACTCCGATGAGCCTGAGACACAGCACCCACGGCAACAGAGAACAGGTGGCACGGGGCCTGCCCATTCTGTGGCGAGCCTGTATGCTGAGTCATCCATATGACCACGCTTGGGAATCACCTACTGGCGCTTACAGAGAAAACACATAGTCTGTATTACGCCTTGAGCAATGGACATCTGCTCAAATAGTCTCGAGCTCCTGTCAGATCCAACCATTTCGTACGCTCAAAGTCCCCCATAGGGCTTGATTGTAGCCCATCCTGGAATTTCTCGGCCTTCGCTCGCTCTTCATCTACTCGTTCATCGTGCTGTTTGCCGTCCTCGTTCGCGAATCCTCTTTCACCCGTTTCCTGTCTCATACCGCAACGCAGTTGAGATTGCTCACATATAGCTCGACTGCTGCCAACATGCCAGGTCTAACTGTACCAGCCCTTCCAAAGAACCGGGACGAATGGCTCACCGCCCTCGACGCTCTGCCGTCCAATGCATCTTCATCCCGCATCCCGTCATTCTTCTTCGCCCACGGAAGTCCCATGCTCGCGTTCCCCGATGACGAGCCTACCAGGTTTGGTGATAACACACAAGAGCCTGCGCTACATATGGGGCCTCGTGGACCCTTGGCTGCGTTCTTGAAGGATTTCGGACCTGCCCTGTTGAAGAAGTATAACCCCAAGGCTATTGTGGTGTTCAGTGCGCATTGGGAGACGCGAGGGGAAACTCTCGGTGGGTTTTACTTTTACGAAATCCCCATAAATATGAACTGACATGTTTCTCCTTCAGTGACTGACTATGGAGACCGCAATCCTCTGTTTTACGACTACTACGGCTTTCCGAAGAGTCTCTACGAGCTCGCTTTCAATTCCAGAGGAGACAAGGCACTCGCCAATCACATTGTCGATCTCCTTAAACATGTCTGTTTACTTCCCCATCCAACTGAGAGTAGGCTCCATACTGATTTTCCTCCGGTTTGAAAGGCTGGACTCCTCGCCAGACTGACCACCACCCTCGAACCGCGCGGACAGGATGGTCTCGGACGCTCTGCCGCAGGTTTCGACCACGGTATTTTCGTGCCCTTTAGGCTCATGTTCGGCGAGGAACTGCGCGACATTCCAATTGTCCAGATCTCCATAGATGGTTCACTCAGCCCCGAGAAGAACTGGCAGCTCGGTAAGGCCGTCGCCCAACTCCGGTAAGTTGATAGGACTTCCCGGTTCCCTGGGCTTATGAATTGCCGAACAAAACGCGACACCGATTCTGACGATACTTTCAAACTTTAGTGAAGAGGGTGTACTCGTGTTGTCTGGTGGACTCACGATGCACAACCTACGTGACTTCAGCTCCTTCGCCCCATCCACTGCTGGACCCGGCCACAAATCCTTCAGCGATGCCGTGACTTCGGCTATCTCCATCTCTGATGTGCGTATCTCGATTCTCCTCCCCCTATCTTCTTTCGGTTCTGCCTATGATAGCTGTCGCCCTAACTTCGAGGCTCACCATCATCTTGTTCTTATGTGGCGACATCCCCCTATGACGTAATCCTCCTGATGTGGCGTAAACCCCTATCCATGTCGTCCGTCGAACTTCGAACGTCAAAACAGCCCAAAGCTCGCAAGGAGGCCTTGGTCGCGCTCCCCAAGCATCAAGCCTTCCGCGCCGCCCACCCAAGGGAAGAACACTTCGTGCCGATCTACGTCGCCGCTGGCGCAGGTGAAGAAGGCGATGTTAGGGTCCTCTCGGCGGTTTATGGCCAGCATACTGTCGCGTTTGGGCTGTGAGGTTGGAGGTGGAGAGATGGCCGGCTCGCGATGGCGCGGTACCATGGTTCGGACGATATCTGTATCTGTGACAATGCAATCTATGTATTGGTTTTCTAGGTTTTTTTTTTGTCTACGTCTTCGTGCGATTTTTACTCGTGAATGACTATCAGAGCTCTTCTCATTGGTTTCCTCAGCTTAATCCTAACCAACACCACTTCGTTGGACGACACATAAGTTTATCACAAGTCTACAAAGCTTGACGCTTGAAGGAGAGGGGAGAGTAAATTCATTCCATTGCACACAACATCCGATTGAGTTCGAATCAATATTTTCCGCTTCTCATTTCATTTCGCTTCGTCACCGCGTTACTTTGTAAGTACCAAAAAGACAAGGAGAGGGGAAAAGGACAAACAAAAGAGGCGAACAAGCAAGCAAAACAGAACGTTAATACGGGAGCACAAGACCAGAACAGAACGAACCATCCGCTCCTTCCGAGTTTGAGTTGAGATTGGAACATTTGAAAAATAGGAAGAGAAAGAGAGAGCGGAAAAGAGATAAGGGAGTATTGAGCGAAAAGAGAGATGATTAGGATAATAAAGAAGGATATAGGCTAGGAGAAGGGCAGTCGAAACCGAAGGGGGAATAAGAGTGAAAAGGAGTGAAAAAGAGGTGAAGCATGGTATGTATATATAGACGTATGGACGGTGTGGCTCGGTGAGAAGGGATGGGTGGGGATTGTGCATTGGATGAACGAACAGGTGTGGAAGGCACTGAGAGGAGTGGTGCGATTATTACGGGGTAGGTGAAGGGCAGTAAAACAAAAGCAAGAGAAATGAAGAAAAAGAAATAGGAAAAAATGGTGTGTGAGAAGGAAAGTAGCGGGAGCTTGCAGGATAAATCCAAGTACACGAAAAGTAAGAACGGATATGGAAGGATGCCGAACGCGGGTCGTGGTACATTGACAAAAGAAGAGTTGTGGACGGCAACAGCGAAAAGAGTAATTACTAGTGATCGAACAAACCGAACCGGATCGAGGCGCGAGAGGATAGCAGCGGCAACAATTACACCAGACAGAGAGCTTCTACAACAGTAGCGCGATGCGACACGAAACACAGTCCGACGGAACCTGACGAGATCACAAGGCGACCAAGAAACTGACCAAATAGCCTAGTCGAGTTTTGGCCAACTGCCCTCTTCCTTCCACTTGTCCACGATCTCCCGAAGGTTTTCGGCGGTCATGCTAGGCTGTTTGAGCGTGTAGCCGATGATCTTCCTGATTTTGGCATTGGACAAAGCGACGACGTGTTTCGAGAGAGTGAAGGTATCCATGTAAGCGCTGAGGTGAGTGTTCGGACAAGGTGGGTTGGACTTTGTGATCATCTCGGCCCACGCGCCTACGTGCGCCTCATTGATGTCTTCGACTGCCTCCTCAAGACGGAACTGTTGCATGCAAATATGAGGGTGACAAGAGTGAGTGGTGCTCGGCGATGGAAGAAGTCAGGGTAAGATACGTACACGTGCGACAGTGTTCGTCAAGAAATTGTGGTATTCGAAGGTGGTGCCGAACAAGGAGGTCATTGTTTCTCCGGCTTTATGCAGTGTTGTTTGATTGTCGTCGACCTACAGCGAGAGAGCTATAGCGAAATACTGGAGACAGAGGATTGGATCCGGACGAGGGACTTACAATATTGAAGAGAGGAACGACAACTTTCTGGGTTGCTGGTGGCATACCTGTGACTTCTGATACCTTGCTCTTCTCATTGTGGAAATGCACCTCCTCGCCCGCAACTTTATCCGCTTCTGCGCGCCCCAGAGGTGCCATCCATTGAGCACAAGCCCACAATGCACCAGCGACGTCGTCTGAGTGAATAGTGTTCATGGGATTCTTCCCGGGACTCCATCTATGAAGATTGTGAGTACATCCACATGGCCACAACAATGATGCGAGATCTCACAATGACTTCATAGGCTTCTTCATATATCCATAGACAGAGGCGACAGTCAAAACGTTCGTCACTGTTAAAGACCATCAAATCATCCATCAGAATTGGCTACATCGAGTTCCAAAAAAAGAATAAGAACGCACTCAGTCCAGAATCGATATAAGGCCCATAAACAAGTCCCGGCCGAACCACGACCAAGTTCAGCCTTATCAAGATCAAACCATGAATTCCACCAGTGCGAATATTATTTCCTGTTACTTTAGAAGGAAAAAAAGGAAGGAAGGAGCACTTACCCTCCAACAGCGCCCAAAATCCGCAACGACTCATGCCACCAGGTCCCCACTACGCCATTGGGCTTCACATCATCCTTCTCTTCGTGAGATCCTTTCTCTGAGCACTCGTAGAATGGTTGTTGCAATCGTACGAACGCCTTGATGTTCCTCTTTGCAGCCTCGAGGCCGAGTAGTCGCGTCACATTGCATGTGTGGTTGATATAGATCTAGAAGCGGACATACCGGCACACAATCAAGATGAGTGCACAGGGCCCGCGGACAAAGAGGAATGAGAACCTACGGCTTCAGGACGATCGACAACGATGTCTCCAGTTAAATCGAAGACATATGTGTAAGGGGCTTGTCCTTCCGGTGGATCGAACATCCGAGAGACGGTGGCTGAACAGAGTGACGCGTGGTATGAACAAAACGTGCAGAAGGGCAGGAAAAATATATACACCAGCGCGATCTCAGGCGGAAATCCACGCACCTGGTTGGGTCAGGTTGGCCTGGTGATATTCGACATTAGGCTTTTCGAGCACCTTAGGGAACTCCGAGCCGATGTATCTGTGCCGAGGGTTAGGGGACGGAAGTATATGGGGAAAAGGCGCCAAACATACGTCGTAGGTGGATTGACAGAGTATTTGTCGACAATACGAAGGTTCTATACTCCAATGTTCGCCATCAGCTGATCGCGATAGAGGTCGATGTAGGAGAGCAGATGCTCACGGATACCAGGTCTTCACCCGATGGAGGGGCCAAGTACGCCGCCAAGGCCCTCGCACAGGTATTGACACCTCCTAGAAGCCATAGACACGAACGAGAGGCGCATCGGGCAAGAAGCGATTGCGATCCGATTTTTATTAGATTGAGCGGATGAAGGCGGGTGTGACTGAGGAGAGCGGACGCACCAAATATAATCACGTTCGGCTTTTCTGACATAGAAAGGTGCAGACCGGGATCGGGATAGAGGGATTTATTGAAGAAGAAGTCAAGGGAAGCGTTGGGGGACGAGAACGAGGGATCGTCGCGAAAAGGGAAAAGGAGATGGACGGAGGAAGGAGGACGATGGAGGGGGTCTTGTTAGAATCCCGGCGAAAAGCAGTTCTAAGGCAACGGACGTCGGTAGGTCAGCACGTGCGCGCCATGCTCGCCGTTGCAAATGCAAAGAGCCTACCGCCAGCGGCCACAGTCGAGGGTGGGACAAAAGGAATACTGGATCAGAAGCTGGCGAGTACGGGGCGAGCCTCAAGCTAAGTAAAGGTAAGAGAAGAAGGTACGTAAAGAATCTCTGCTCGCTTTGCCCAAGGTCGTCAAGCACCGCTTGTCTGGTGTGACTCGGGCTAATATGGCACATTTACTCCAGCTATTGCAGTGTGCTTTTCTTTTACACCGCTTCCTGACTTCACATCTCCTGATAGGTGGTGCACCCATCTTTCCAGAATTTTATACACCCTTGCGAACGCTCCTCGTATGAATACTATATATACATGCAGCTTCCCCCACCGTCCTCCACACGAGGCTTTGACTATGATTGTGATTCTGATCGTGCCGTCTCCGGCCCTTCCAACTTTCCAAAGCGTACTCCTCGCCCCTCTTCCGCCGCTCTCTCGAGATAGGTATATACAGACGAGAAGTCCTTCCGAATAAGCTCCGGGTATCTCTCCACGGCGTCGACATATATCTTTGTGGCAGCTTCCGCCAATGGCAGCGGGCTTCCGGAAACACTCGACCCATTCGTGGCCAACCCCATATCCTGTGGAATATTCCCTAGTCAGCCACACGGGAATTGTTTTCCAAGATGGAGTTGAAGAAGATTCGCTTGCCTTGATCATCAAGGCCGTGGCAAAACCACCTTGAGCAAGTGACATGAGCTGTGTCCAATAATTGGATAACATTTTCGAAAACTCACCTTCGTATTCTCTCTCGCATGGTGGAGACTTGTCCGGAAGCGCGCCCGCGACTGGATTGTTCACAGAGGATGACCAACATGCGCCCGTAGAGCTGTTGATCACTCCCGCGAGGATGGCTGGATTGAGTCCGAGTCGCTGTCCTAGGAGCATGGCTTCTGAGACCACAATCTGCTCTACTCCGAGGACGAGATTATTGCATATTTTGGCCGCGAGGCCCGAGCCAGAAGGTCCACAGTGGAAGATATTCTTTCCCATGCGGGTGAGGAATGGGTGCGCGAGGTCGAATCCGGTCACCGTCCCCCCGACAAGGAACGAAAGCGTACGCGCTTTTGCCCCTGTCACGCCTACCGTGTAGTTCAGCACCAGCTCCGAAGGACACTATGTTCAGCTTACCGCCGGATACAGGAGCGTCTACCATTTCGGCACCCAGCGAGATGACATCGGAAGCAACTTTGCGCCCGACTTGCACATCCAAAGTGGTGGAATCGATACAAAGCGTATCTTTGACCTCCTCGGGGGGAAGAGTGCGAAGTGTATGGATGATGCCGTTTGCTTCTGCGTACACCGACCGAACTGCCCATGACTACAATATTATCGACCTTCTTTCGAGCGTACGAAGCATAATGAAACCGACCTTGCGGGGATGACGGCAGCATCGTAATAATCGTGCTCGAAGCCATGACGGCGCTGTAAATTGCGAAGCTCAGTCAGCGAACGTGTTCCTGAGAGGACATGACAACTGTATGTAGAGAAGACGTATATACTTGCTCTTGTGGGGTGGTAGCGACCGCGAGTTTCGCCGCGGGGAAATTGTGTATGAGGTTTTGACAAAAGCGTCCTGCAGCCTCGGGAAACGCATCGCAAACAACAAAATCGGCTTCAGGATTTTCTGCGTGAACTGATGCGAAAAGGTTGTAGGCCATTTCACTGCCCATCCGTCCAAGACCAACTGTGCATATCAACATCAGTGACGTCGGATCAGCATGCATGCATGTACATAGAGAGACGACGGGATGATATTGACCGAAGCTGATACTCTTCCTTCGAGTAGCCATGGCTGGATTCAGTTGCTGGAGACATCGAGTGGATAACCTCATCGTTAGACTACTGTCTACTTGTAACAGAAGCAGAACTTGTCTTGTTGTGGGATGAGAAACAGAAAGAGCCTCTGGTAGTCCAACGGAATAGGATGTGGGGAAGCCTCAACTCAAGCTCCGGCGGCGTTGCGGGGAACCGAGTGTGGGGAAGCGCTTGGTGTCTTTGTTGGCCCCCATGACCAGTCGGTATGACCCGAGATCGCCACACACCTGGATTGGCGCCACTTCACTTGATTTTGATTTCTCCGACCATCTCAAGGTCCTTCGTCCACCTGAACAACATCGACGTCGTCCACCCAAAGTCAAAGGTATTGACGTTTGGCTACGACGATTCCATTATTCAAAGACCACTAGTATAACTTATACATATTGCTCGTAATGGCACATATGGCCTCCGAGTCTGGTGTCGGAAGTCTTGCAGCAGCAGTGGTTCACTGCCGTATACTCTACCGATCTCGCGGTATTACTTTGGCACCGCAAACCTATATTCACAGAACCATTATGAAGTATAGATTGGTATTAACCCTCTTATAACGCAGATGTCTCCATTTCGTTTGGTTGTGTTTGCCCTCTTCATTTCTTTTTGAGGTGCTTTCTTGATGTCCGAGCTAAAATAGTCAGGTATTTCCATTCTGGATAGTGCGCTAACGCGCTTTGAAGGCATCGACGTTTATCCTGCAAGTAAAGGTTAGTGCTTTCAAGCGAGGTCGACGGTTAACCGTTTGGCCGTAAAAATTGCCCTGCTTTGGTACGGCTACGCCATTCAGCCTGTGTCGCCTCAGCACTTTGAGACCAGTCTGAGTTTCACACTGTTCATCTCGCTTCTATAGGCCAACTGTCCGATATAAGTTTATCGACAAACGGGGCGTAGCTCCGGTAGGTCTTGTCGATCTTATCCAAGTGTCGTGCTTCCACTGTGTTCCGGATTGATCCTCCTTCCAGTAAGTACCTACGGGAAAGCAGAACCCGATACAGAACACATGAAGGAAACGACCACCGATGCCACGTCTCCGCTTTACATTTGCTCCCATAGATCACCTGCCGCCGGTTGGTGCAGGTGGATGCAGGTTCAACATTCAACGCAAGCGGGTCGCTTGCGGTCGCGCTCGTCCGGCCACGCGAAGTACTTATCCAATCCAGTGAGGAGCCTACGATCCTTTTATGTATGTCTTCAACGTATAGCAATCCACTTACTTTGAGTCTTTTAGAGCGTACTTTCCTTGATGGAGGTCACTTCATGATTCCGTCTTGGTTTTTAGTTGCGACAGGCGCCAGTTATCCCTATGATGGTGGCTAGTACACCCCCGACACTTGAACGGATGAGGAGGCGTGATCGAAAGTCTCCACCCCGTAACAGTAAATGTCGCCTCCAGCGACCTCTTCCACGACGATGTTGCCCGACGGCGCGAAGCCATCAAACATGCGTTCCGCACTTAGCACCCGCACTTACGCACAGCCCTTAGCACACTCCCCGGTGGTCCGCCAACATTACGCTTCCATACGCGGTGCACTTGAAGCTGCATGTTTTTTGGGCGAGAAACCCGGAGAAGGATCAGTGTGGATGGCGGTCATGGCCTTGGCGCTACTGGCGGGTTGCATCTGTCTGATACATCAGCGCACAGCAGGTTCCATCGGGCGCTCTGGCGTGTCGACGGGCTGAACATATTCATCGCCTTTCCCGCATCAAACGGGAAGGTTTGATATTTTCTCAGCATCAGATGTGGATGTGACCTTATATTGACACTCGCATACTCTGGCGCTTGGGATCTTCCTTCCCTCCTCTTAAGCTATTGCTTCCAGGTGCTCGCCTCCTGCTGTCTGCTGTTTCTTCACTGAAGAAGGAGTGCACAAGGTGCGGTTATTCTGGCCACTAGAAAATGGTAAGCTCAGCTCGAATAACTCTCGGTATAGAATCGTGATTAAGTAACAGTGTCCAACAGAATATTTTGATAGGCGTCTACCGCGATGTCAGACCCAAGATTCGTCCAGAGGGTGGGGTCCAGTTCTGGTATAAACGAGTGTCACCATCGCTCACTCTTCGAAAATAGGCTCGACTCAATGGTCTGGTGCTGAAAGTCAACGTGGTGTCCTCGAAGCGAGTTCTGTCGACACTCGTCTCAGGCGATCTGGTCTCGATGAAAAGGCAGGAGGAAATGGTGGCTTTCCGCATGATTCCCATCACCCTGGACATGTCTCCCGTGACGAGTCGACGGACAGCACGCCCTCATCATCATCGACATCTCCTATTTCCGAGTCTACAACGGCGTCTGGGGGTGCTACGCTCACTTCACCCTATGACCCGACGAATACATCTAACACTTCAACGACTATCACTGGCTCTTCAACCGTTTGGAGCAGTACCGCCACCACCACATCCAACGCTCCCTCATCATCGACTTTTGACAGCTCAACTAACGGCGTCTCAACTTCTTCATCATATGATATTTCATCATTACCCTCCACCTTCCTCTCAACCACGCTACCCTCAGGCAATCCTGCTCTCCCCTCCGACTTGCCTTCATCCCCGCAAAGTCGCGTCAGTGCCTCTCACGGCCTCTCTAAGGGAAGTATAATCGGCATCGCCATCGGTTCCTTCGTCTTCCTCCTTATGGTCATCCTCTCTCTTCTCGCTCTACGACAACGCCTACTCTCTCGAAAACGTCTCCGCATGCCTCCCTCCGCCGAATTCATGAACCCTACTGCAAGAGAACAGTTTCGGCCAATGCTGATGACGCACGTCCGAGGAGAGAAGAGTCTATCAGTAGATAGTAATGCAGGGAACATGGGTGCATTGCCGGCAGCAGCAGTGAATGGGCACGGCAGGTGGGGAAGTGTTGGCAGCGTAGGGACGGGCATGGGAGCTCCGCCGCAGGATAGGATGTCAACGGGATACGGACACGAGAACGCCGGCGAGATAGGCCTTGCTATTAGCGGCGACGAGTATCAGGGGAGGTCAAGTCCACTACCTCGTTGGATGCAACCACAGAGGATAAACTCTATGACGCCCATCATGGACCCCTCCGCTCGGTTCCCCGAGAGCGACGCCGAACCACCATCGACGGATTCTTCGGGACACGCTGCGTTCCACGGCTCGCACGGAGAGAGGCAGAGAGTGCAGTCACTTGGGGAGGATAATAGATTGAGGGGGCTTCCGGTGGAGGACAACTGGGCTGGTAGAGGTGCTAGTGGAGGTGTGGGAGGTCGTCCTCGCGATTCTGATTTCTTGAGGATGGACTAAATGCTTTGGTGGTTATTTATTCCATTCTAGTTCTTGTCCTGTGTATGTGTATGTCTTTGGGCTTCTGCTCTTCATTCCTTCACGTTCTTGTACACACTGATCCCCACTTCATAGACATTTTCTCCATGCACATGGTTCTGCCTTGGCTACATGCTCTCTGATGTCGTTGTTGTACTACATTACCTTCTCGACAGCCTAGTACTATATCCCGGCCATCCAGCACAGCTGTGCTGCGAGGAAGATCGTAGCATGCTGAAGTTGGTCACATTATGATACATTACAGCACATAAATAGTATATGTACAAGCAATCATCAAACTCGGATACAATCCCTATTACGACGGCGACTGTCATTGCAGTCTTCAATCGGCGTACCGTATACCCACTCATCCATCCATCGGAACCCATGTTGAGAGATTCAAAGTCATGAGAAAGAAAAGAAGAGCGTCCTGGGGAAAAGGCTGGAACATGTGAAGTGAAACGAGGGGAAACAGACCGCAGAACCCTCTTTGACCGCATCTACCAATCCATCTATCTATCACACTCGAGATCCCAACATACCTCGCGTTCTCGGAAGGTACCCGCACAACGCCAGCTGCTGATGACAGCAGAATACCATTTCACATCGGAACACAAACCAAACCGCACCACAGCACCCCACCATACCATGCATATCGACACTCAAACCACTAAAATCTCTTGGGCGGGCTCAGTCACTCAAAATAGCCTGCACCACGTTCGCTACACGCAACTGTCTCAGGTCCGTGTATGTCTATACAGAGACGACGAATCACCGCCAGATATCAATCAGCATGGGGTGAATATAGACCAAAGACTAGAGATAGGAGTGGGCGTACCTGTCCAGTGCCTACGAAGATGATGGGCTGTCCCGTTACATAGGTCATCGAGAGCGCCGCTCCCACCTACAATCACCAGGCCAGTCCAGACAGGCGCAGTATCAGAGATATCGTCCATCAGGCAGTCGCTCAATCACAAAGACTCCGAAGATATCGAACCAGAATAGAGGCCAAACCGTGAACAAGAACAGGATAGGGGAGCATAGGAACGGCAATATGTAAAGGAATGCAATAGACACGCAGACTGACCTTATCATCCACTGTATCCCACTTGGTGACCAACATGCCATCTATCCCTCTCCCCGAGCCCGCGCCGCCAGAAGCGGAAGAGAAATCTTTCAACGAACGGTCGAATTTGGACAACTGGTCGACAGCTTCATTGCCCACTAGCGCCTCGCCAACAAAGATGACCTTGTCTGGGTTATTGACGGATACGAGTTTGGCCAGGGCACGCATGAGGGGCTATGGGACAACCGTAAGCGATTATTGTTCAGACCGGAGAGGGGAAATGGTGGATGCTGTTGTCACCACTACACTTACCTCATTATCTTGCATGCGACCTGCAGTATCGATAAGGACAACGTCGAAGTCATTGTCTCGACCTATCAATATGGATTGGTACGCCGTCAGTATGATGCATTCCAGCGAAACCGTGCTACGAGAACAGAAAGAGTGGATCAGACTAACCATACGCGATAGCCTCCCTAGCAATCCCGGCCGCATCTTTCCCATATCCTCTCTCATACAACTCCACTCGTCCTTTACTATCTGTTGCACCATTTACGCCCAGCATACTCAAATTCCGAACATGTACTCTCAGCTGCTCAACGGCGCCACTCCTATGACCATCACGATAGTCACAATCAGTTTGTAGAGGATACAGAATAAAAGTGGTATCACACGCACCTGAAAGTATCACAAGCAGCAATAAGAACCCTCAGTCCATTTTGGATGAGCCAGAAGCAGACTTTTGAGAGATTGGTGCTCTTGCCGACACCGTTGACGCCGACGAAGGTGATGCTATATGGCAGACGTTGTTGAGTCGATGCCAAAGGCGATGAAAGCTTGCTTCGGATGGAAAGCAGAAGATCAGTCGAAGTATTTGGCGTCAAAATACGGGTTATGGAGTTCGACAGGGCCTGTCTGACGGCCGCGCTCGTTGCTATACGCCACACGCCACCCAAGTTTAGTATGCCAACGAGATGTGAAAGTGGATGACGATAAACATACTTTGGAACCCTCCCACTTTCTTGCCTACCAAACTTTCACCAACACCCTCGCAGACCTTCTCTGCTATATCCATTGCCACGTTCTTCTTCATCAAATGCTGCTTCATCCCTTCCAACACCGGCTTCAAATCTTCCTCCGTGAGCACCTTCGAGCCCGTCAACCGCGCAAACATCGATCCCAGCGCGCCCAAGCTCCCGCCCGCCACACCCTTCTTCTCAGCAGCGCCACCACCAGAGGAGTTAAGAGCCTGCGAGACGGCCTCGTCGGCCTTACGACCGAACTCCCAGTCTTTGACTTCGTAGAGACCGTCGTTGGTGCGCGTGCCGAGCGAGGCTTGATCGACAAGGGCCTGGACATCGAGTGAGATGTCGAAGTCTACATCGCTTGGTTTGTCGTAGCTGAAATCGAGAGTAGCCATGTCGGATTCTGTAGGCGCTTCGTTGCCCCATTTGCGTTGAACTTTCCCCTTGGGTTTGCGTTTTGAGGTGGTGTCCGAGCTGAATAACAGAAGCACGTTGAGAATGAAGGGCGGGGATGGAGATGAGATGAAACCAACGTACTCGGAATTAGGATAGCTCTCCCGTCCACTACCCGCACCAGAGTCGTTCCGCGCGAGCGCCGAACGACCGCCTCCACCTCCCCCACCCCGTTTACCGCCCCTACCGCGCAGCCTGTTCTTCAAAGCTTGAACGTTCCGAGCAATCTGTTGTTCGTCAACTGCTGCAGAAGGTGCCTGTGATGGTGCTGGTTTTGATAATATGATATGAAAGCCTGTCAGACCTCGTGCGGAACATGAAACAGTGTGGTGAGCATGACGCACCGGTATCTGTATCATCAGAGGGGGGGCTGGGAGGTTCGACGACGGTTACTGGACGGGCGATAGGTCTCATGCGGGACTTTCTCTCCTACAAAATGTCCCGCACACGGATGAATATATTTAGATGGAGCAAACCACGGAACAACGTAGACGTACCGCGGCAGCCTTCTCCTCCAGCCCTCTGAGCAACTTATCAAACACGCTATCCCACCCGTCAAATGCCTTGACAAAATCCCATGAAGTGGCAGTGGAGGCGGCAGTGGAGGCTGCGGATGCGACTCGAGTGTTTATGGAATGCAGGGAAGCGACGAAGTTGGTGAGGAAGGGTTGGAAGAGTTTGACGAAGAGTGTCTTCAGAGCTGCAAGCAGGTCATCGACGTATGTGAGCTGAAGAATGCGTTGATATGCCACCTAAGAAACACAAGGAGAAAACCAATGGGTCAGACGTTTATATCAAACACAGGAATGAAGATGCTGCGTACGACGAATATGAGCTCAAGGTCATTCACGAAAGTCCACCTCACAGCATACCCATCCTTCTCGTACTTATCTCCCGTAGTCCGTCCTTCAATGAGGGCATCGCGTATGAGCGAATTGACCGGCGAAGCTGGAGACGAAGCAAGCTGGGATGCGGCCGGGGTGAACGAACGAGACCAGAGGACAACACCACCTATGAATAATTTATTCGATTATGTTGAGGGTTCAGTTGCAGAAGCTATATACCTTTGTGGGAGATTGAGCAGTGGTCGAGCATCGTGTGTGGTCTTGGTTTGTATTGAGCGGGATAGAGGTCGTGGCAAAAGTTGGAAAGATGATTGGCGAGTCCGGTGATGTTCTGGCCACGGCTTCCCCATCAATTTAGGTTCGTAGTCCGAGGTCTTGGCTCGTGTTCAAAGCGAGGTACAGATATCTATTCATTTCACTCCGTTCCGCGAGCAGAGAAACCCAGATAAAAAGACAAAAATCAATGGGTCATAAATATTACAGGATGGCTGGTTACTTCGAGCCATCCAGCCCATTATCTGCCAGCCATTTCCTAACTTCCTTCTTCCCTACCATACCCACTACTCTCATCTTCTCCGCCTCATTTCTCTCCCTGTACAACCGCATGATATAGCCGCACACGCTCCACACATCCTCCCATTCAGCATCAAACAATTCCCACCAACCATTTGGTAGCGGTAGGTTTAGGTGTCTGGTCGTAAGTAGGATGGCTGCACTGACGATTGTTGGAACCGCATAAAGCGCGTACACCTGCGTTTGTAGCCTGTATTCGCATCTTCTATGAGTTCAAGCAACGATGACAAGGTAGAAGAATAATATTTACGCATCATTCAGGTAGCCCCAAGCTTTTGATACTGCATCCTCTCGCGACGTCAACCCAAGCAGCCTCATGTAGTTCACCAACGTCCCGTAGGGCAACGTCACATGGACGTTGAACCCCAGCCTTTTCAGAATCTGCATCTCTGACACTACAAGAGCGTCCTTCAGGTCGTAGAAAGTGTTTCCGAAGTACGACATGGGCGCGTATTTGAAGTCAGGCAGAGGCGTCGAAGAGGACGCAGCAGAAACGGTGTGGGCTGCCCGTTGTAGTAGGAGGTCATAGACATTGATGAGATCGCGCATCCGGATGGGACATTCTTCCAGTTTTGAGGAGAGATATAGGGCGCCCATCCCGATGTCCTACAGACATAGGCCAGTTCCGTTGTATCTGAGTACTCGAGGGCAATGATGGCAAGGATTAGAAACGCACCCCAATGCCAAACTGCTTCACAGAACTAACATAGAAGAACCTCTGAAAGAGTATTTGTGCGGTAGCAACAGCTACTTGTTTTCTTGTCGTTACAATATAATCTCGGACTTATAACTTGTAAAACGCAATGCGTACTGTTTCAATAGGACGCCTGCCTGGCGGATGAGTTTGCATCCATAAGCTCGCAAGTCTTCTTCCAAATCAGCTGGCACGCCATCCTGCATCGACGGCGTCTTTTCAATCTGTGAGAGTGATGCGAGAGGGTAGAGATGAGCAGACATGATGTGGCTTTACCGGAGTTGCGATGTGAAATTGCAAACACGCGCGGCGTTGAGTCGAAGAGGCTCTTGCCAAACAAGCGCAAACAACGACTTGCACGGTTCAGCTTTTGCTCGAGCGTCTTGTTCTGTGGCCTGTCGACATCGCACGCACGAAATGTCTGGTCTTCCACCCCGACCCGACTTTGTACCGCCTCTTCCTCCTCCACGTCGTGCCGACGATGTCTCACCGCGTCCCGACCGTCTTCATTCCGACCGTGACCGCGAACGGCGAGACCGCGACCGTGATTTCCGCTACCGTGAACCCACTCGAGGGAGACCCGTCCTTGACACTTATATTCCAGGTGGATCGTCCACGGTAGACACCTACATGCCTTCGCCTTCGTCTTCGCGTCGTCCAGCACCATTCTCTGGCTCTTATATTGCGGACACGTACATACCTCCATCAGAACGAGACGCACCACGGTTTCGCGAGAGGAGTCCTCCACCTAGAATCAGCCCCCCTCCGCGGTATAGAGAGAGGAGTCCTCCTCTGAGAGCAAGATATCCTTCGCCTGATAGAGACAGGGATAGACGGCCTCCATACGTAGACAGGATGAGGGGTGGACCGCCTTCCAGGGATGCTTCTCCTGACAGGGAGAGGGATAGACGACCCCCATTCATCGAAAGAATGAGAGGTGGTCCGCCTCCGAGAGATGTAACACCAGACAGAGAGAGGGACAGACGCCTCTCGTATGTTGAGAGGATGAGAGGCGGCCCATCCTATAGGGACGATTGGAGGACGAGAGAGGACAAACTGCTTCCTCGTGCTCGAGGTCCTCCACCGCCTCGTGATAGAAGAGATTATGACAGGAGGGAACGATCTCCGGAGAGACCTGCTCCTTACTATGATAGTCGTGTCAGCAGGAGATCGCGTTCGCCTGCACGCCGTTCACCTCGTATGATTTTCCCTCTAACTTTACTTCCCAGTTTGCTAAACAAAATTTTGTTCCTTCATTATAGCCCGCCGCTCTGCCTCTCCACCTCCACGGTACCGTCCTCGACCCTCTTCACCTGGCCCAAGTGCCCGTTATGTGTCCCGACCAAACTCCCCGGCGAAATCCGACCGAAGATTCGAACCTAGAAGCCCCCCTTCACCTCGTTCGCCAACTTCACCCTCTCCCCCACCTCGCAAAAAGCATTCTCTTCCAAATAGAGATGATCTTCCCAGTCCTCGACCACGAAGTCCTTCTCTTAAGGCTTCTCAGCCGGGACGTCTTTTGTCTTCCCCATCTAATACACAAAGAGATGTAAACGGTCAAAAAGCCACGCTACCTACACCTCTTTCTCCCAGCCCACGCCGCTCACCTTCTTCACCTCCCTCACCTCCCTCAATAAACCGCAGCAACCGCGTCTCACCTGCCCCATCTCACCCCACCACATCCACGGAACGGTCCTCCATTCCAACTCAACCTCGCGATAAAGGCAAGGCCAAACAGGAACCTCAAACCGACGCCGACGGAGACATCAAAATGGCAAACCGTGGGCCTCCTGTACCAGTACAGCCACGCGGCATCCAAGCGCGCTCACCACCAAGACAACCTCGCGACTTCAACCGCGAACGTGAGCGCAGACGCTCTCGCACGCCACCCACCGGTCCTCGCCACCTTCTCCGCAACCCAACAAACCCTGCAAATTATCCTGTTGCACCCCAGACGTCGCAACCTTTCCAGCTCCCTCCAACGAATTGGACGCCTGCCGTACCGGACCAGACCGGTGGCAGGCGCGGTGGAAGGTCGACACCGACGGGTCCTAGATCGGAGATGGCTGCTGGTTCTTTTGGTTCGTCTCAACCTGCTGCACCAGTGGCTCCGACCGCTGGGTACGAGGTCAAGATTGAGCCGAAAGTCGAGCCAAAGGAGGAGAAGCCCGAAATCCCACCACCGATGCCAACGAAGCTTGAAGTTGACTTCTCTGACCTACCGATGCCTGCCATCCCAACGTACAACCCCCGCCCACTGGAGTACCCCAGCGGCAAGTTCGTTCGACAATGGGAGAATGAGGTGCGTTATATTTCGCCACTCACATACTCACAATTTTTTCGATGTATCCGTGTATTGACTTATGCCCTACGTCTTTGTTCGACTTGCTTTCTAGCTGGGTGCCATTCATAATATGCGTCTACGCGCCACCGATGAGTGCATGAAAGAGAGCAAGGCTGCGTTGCGGGCGGCTATGGAGTGCGAGCTTGTCCTTCCGGAATTTACGCTTGCGAGGGAAAGAAGGATTGTGGCGGATGCGCAGATGGAGAGGGCGAGGGAGGGCAAGTTGGGGATTGATGCGATGGCCGTTCCGCCGGTGCAGTGAGCGAATTCGCGAGTACGGCGCGGGGATGTCCACTGCTCAGATCAAGCTGAATTTGAGTGATGATATTTGTGTACATGAATATGCGAATGCTTAGGCAAACAAGGTGGTTCGAGCAAGGAGAGCTATGACTTGGGCAGGGGTGTGCACTCCATATGTGTCCGTGTTGGATCCATTGGTAGCGCGCAAAAAAAGCCTTTTGCCTGGAACAAAGAAGATACCGACATGGTTTCAGTGTCGGTGGTCAGGCTGGGAAAATAGGGTTGGCCATACCGTCATTTTCTCAAATAGCTTCGTGGATTGCATTTGCAGCTGAAGAACAGCGTCGGTCTCGCGCGCCTAACGCGACTGCACATATAAGACAAGTAGAAAAACTCACCCATATACAGTCTGGACCTTCACCGTCCTTTCCAACACGACAAATCTCGGATTTCTCTGCTCCTCGTTCACTGTCGAACGTATACTTTGCTGCCGGTGCTTGCTATGGTTTCGCGTCAGAACTGCAACTCACCTCAGCGCCCCGAAAGGACAGAGAAACGCACCGCAATAAATTTGTCGAGCGTCTCCTGTGGGTTATTTTCCGGCATATTGTCTTTGGGTTTGTTGGAGGAAGAGGATGAATATACGCGACAAAGGAGTTTGTCGGTCAGCGTCGACATGATTCTGTCCGCTTTGCGGAGAAGGCGCGATGACGTCGGTGGTTCGGCAAAGGAGAGCGCCTTTTACGTAATCGACTGATGGGGTCGATTTAAATATTCTCGAAGCCATTTCCATCTCGCCACCAAACTTGAACGGCCACTTCGGATACTTATTTTGCACTGTTCACGACGACATCCGAATGGGAAAAGCACTCCTTTTCCGTGTAGTACCCATTTACCGGTCAACGGCTCGAACGATCTCCTATCCAGCCATCGTCAGAGTAGGAATGACAAACCTGGGCTCCCGACTTCCGTTGGCAGTGCCGCAAACGCCGTACGCCTGCTATTATAGACTGCTTTGCGAGCTGTTCTGGTTTGGAGTGGGTCCGTTCAGGCCCGTTGGAGGCTCACTGACAGGATGTACAATGGGCCGATGTCGATGACGCACAGCCCGCCTGCGGAAGTCGCATCTTGTCCCAACTCAGTCTGTCTTGGAGCGTGTCCTGGAACATATAAATATGTCATAGAACTGCTTGGCGACTTTTCTCACCTGAAACTCTCGCTGCTCCTTGTGGTCTTTGTCTTAACCCTAATACTTGAAACTCTTGGACTACCGCTGCTGCTACGATGACAACCTATAGCGATGAAAAACGCCCAGTTCCTCCTACTCCCGATGCTAAAGACGCCAATGCCCTCTACCACGATACTCGAGCTCCTGCCAATACTTTCGCCGATGAAAAACGACCAGTTCCTGCTATTCCCGATGCCAACGATGCCAATGCCCTCTACCACGACACTCGAGCTCCCGCTAGCTCCCCACCCATGCCTCCCCGGCCACGCGATCACGCCGTGGTAGACAATGCAACTCGTGGTCACAGTCGATCGTCATCCATAGACGCAGACGCTCATCTCCCGACTATCCTCTTCGCCATTCCATTCCCTTCAGTAACGAAGGGCTCATCCCACAAGGATCCCATATCGCCATACCTCATTTACGCACTTCCGAGGGCTCCATATCAGAAACCGGCCGTAGACGATGACGGGAAGAAGTTGGAGAAAGAAGGATTGGTCAAGAAGGCGGAGAGGAAGTGGCAGGAGGAGATCGCAGAGGGCGAGAAGATCCGGAATGGTCAGGATCCAGATGCGGGCAATTGGAAGAAGTTCAAGGGAAAGGCCGTTGGGGCAAGTCGCTATTTTATGTTCGTTTGTTGGGATGTGCCGCTAATTGAAGTTGTTGTCCACTATAGGCAGCTGACAAAATAATTCACTGGCTACCCAATTCTCGTATAGAAGCCCTCGGTCGTGTGCCCCCCAAGCGCAAACTTGGAGAAGTAAGTTTGTGGATTCCTTGGTAGAGCATAGAAATTGCATCTAACCGCCATTAATTGTGCTCTTCGCAGTTGACTGTGCTCTACCCTGATAACGTACCAGGCCCAAATGGGCAGCCAATCACCCCACAAGAAGTTCAGGCTAAGCTCGAGGCGGTTCTCAAGGAGACGCAGAAGAGTGCCACAGTCAATGCGGTCGGGTATGTGCAGCTTACAGTTAACCTGCACTCGACCTTTGCTCACTTGGATTATCTTCCTCGCGTTTCATCTTTCAGGTCTGCTTGTCTCCTTCCCGTCACCTTGACAATGTAAGCATCTCTTAGCAGCCCTACAGTGCACTATTAAAACTGACGTCGTCCCTTCCATTCAGTGACTTCTTCGCCGTCGTTCCCATATTTTTATTCGAAATGAATCTCGTGCGTCTTCCTTCATAACTACCACCCCCAATTCCCTCCCCAGCCTCGATATTAAATACCGATACTTCCTCATTCCCAGGCCTACTTCTCCACACAAGTCTCCGGCCGCTCTAAAGTCTCCGCCATAACCTCCTCCCCATCCGCCTTTATCCCCACCGGCACACCCTACCTCACCCCAGTTTCCATCCTCTTGCACGAAACCTGCCACGATGCCTCTCCCAAACATTTCAGCTACCCGAGTGGTGCACCCATGGGCAAGGGAGTGTCTCAGCAGACGTTGTTAAATGCGGCTGATGTACTTATCGGCTCGTTTTTGGAGCATTCGACGGAGCAGGTGCAGGAGAGACATATTCTGGATAGGGAGAAGGTGGCGGAGGATTTGAAGAGATGTTGTGTGAAAGCGTCGAAGGAGTATGTGAAGAGGGTGGCGTGAGCCTGGATGGTAAGTTTTCGGTGTTTCTCATGCTTCATTTTTTGCTTCTGGGATCTCCTTCCGACTTGCTACTTATTCGCCTGTATTTTTTCTTCTCTGTTTTTGTTCCTTGGATATAATACGCCTCTTGACCGCCGTCCATCCCATAATTATGTATTCACTTGTCCGCCTGTAGTATGACCCCCATCCATCGCACGTTATGTATAAAATTTATAACACGGCAGTGTTGAAACCGACCGACTTCCTGTACATGTCCATAAGACTGTGATGTGCGTATGATACAGTTTGTGTACATGAGATTATAACCCTTGTAGCCCTTTCCTTTGAAAATACTACAACGCTAAGTTTGTTTTGTGTAACCCTTGCCACTGCCTCACCCGTCTGGCCCTATAAAACCAGAGAGGATCTCGAAAGGAGCCCGAGCCCGCGTTGATAGCTGGAGAGGCGGTGGGTAATATACAGGGGTGTTTACCAGCCGCGTTGAGCCATGCGGCCGCCCTTGATGTCGTCAGAACTGTAGTTGAGGGAGGAAGACCGTCAGCATCAGGTACGAGTAAACATAACCATAGAACGGCAACAATACACCGCAGGGGAGAACGGAAAGGGAGAAAGAGACACAGGTCGATCACGATGAAAATACTTACATAGTCAGGCCGACCATTGCCTCTCCAAGGTTTTCTGATATCTGTTGGGAGAAAGGGACGATGAACGATTGGGAATATGCGGCGTTAATGAGGGTATAGTAGGATCAAGGAACATACATCCGCCAGGATCTTGGGGTTGTTGTGGTGGGTGACCTAAAGTTAGTGGAAATCGTTAGTTATCCGGTGGAACAAGGGACAGCAGGCTAGGAGTGCTCACAGCCTGGACGATTGCGCGAGCGCGCTTTGCGGGGTCACCAGACTTTTGGAAGAGCAAGTGTAAGTATGTAGTTGGCGTTCAATGAACAGGACGATGGGTAAATGTTGAGCACTTAGGAACAAAGGGGAGTTAACACGTACGTGGAAAATACCAGATCCGACGAACACTGAGGAAGACGAGAACGGTCAGGGACAGGGACAGGGAACCAATACTCCTTCGTATATTAACGGAAGTACTCACCTCCGTCACAACCCAACTGCATCATCAAAGCGGCATCGGCTGAAAGAAACAGAGAGTTAACAATGTGACCTTTTGAACAACCTGGTGCCACTCACCAGGTGTGGCAATCCCACCCGCCGCAAAGTTGACCACGGGCAGCCTTTTCAGCCTCGCCGTCTCCTTCAACAGATGGAACGGCGCCTGGATGTCTTTTGCGTACGTGTAGAGCTCCTCCTCGCTCATGACGCTGCACTTCCTGATCTCGCTCGCGATAGCACGCTGGTGGCGAACGGCCTCAACGACATTGCCAGTGCCGGCTTCACCTTTTGAGCGAATCATGGCCGCGCCCTCGGAGATGCGGCGGAGAGCCTCTCCGAGGTTTCTGGATCCACAGACGAAGGGCAACTTAAAATTGTGTTTCGAGATGTGGTGCTCGTCATCTGCGGGTGTGAGGACTTCAGATTCGTCAATGTAATCGACGCCGATGCTTTGGAGAATCTGTGATACACGGAAGCAAACGTTGAGGAGTAAACCGAGACACGCGCATGGCCGTACGGAACCCTTACCTGCGCCTCAACGAAGTGGCCAATCCGAACTTTGGCCATGACGGGGATGGTGACGGCCTCCATAATTTGCTTGATCATGTGTGGGTCACTCTGAAGCGAGGCAAGAGATGAGCAATCCCCTCCTAGAGGATAAACGTCTAATAGCGCACCATACGTGCTACGCCTCCCTGGGCACGAATGTCGGCAGGTACTCGCTCGAGAGCCATAACGGCGCATGCGCCAGCCTCCTCCGCGATACGAGCCTGAATAGCACATGAGCTCCAAGCCAATTGGCACCATGAGAGGCAGGAAATACCTGTTCTACGTTGATGACATCCATGATCACACCACCCTTGAAAGAGCGATGTCAATATAGAGCCCCTAGTCACTCGGGAAGCAGTTTACCTTGAGCATCTGTGCCAGACCGGACTTGACCTGTGATATTCCGAGGCACATCAGGTTAGAATGGTAAACGGCTCGCGACACTGAGCATGGGCAGACATACGCCAAACGTCCCCAAGTTACTGCTCCCTCCATCTTTCTTTGGTACACCGACCGTAGAGCCAGATGCATTTCCCGCACCAATGGGAGTCTGCGCAGGTGTGGTCATAGTGATTAACTTAAGAAGTAGTGGGCTCTAGAGAAGACTTGTGGTGGAGATAGACAAGATAGCACAAGAACCGTCGAGGGTCTGGATAAAGATGGAGATGACTCGACCGTCGCGCTTTGAATTCGACAAAATATCGAGGAGGCCATCGGGTCGATCGCTGCTGCTTTGCGGAACGGCATATCGGCGCTCCTTGCGGTGTCGGCTGTAGCCGGCGGTCCCATCGCGTGGCTGAGAAGGGCTGAAAGTGACGGCGTTCCTGCCTTCGCCACCGCCACACTCCTGTCTTGAACCGCATCTCAAGTGCTTGCGAAATTGTTGTTCTGAACTCTGGCCTCAGGTCTCATGAAGACCCACGAATCTTGACTTTAATTGCAACTGCGATGTTAATCGACAGGAACCTAGGCACCCGATCTCACAATGGACCTCATCTCAGGCTTCAGCTCGCGGTCACTCCGGACGGATCGATGCTCCCGTTAAACTTACAGTAACATCTTGGGCTCCGACCCTGTCCACTACAAACCACAACGTGAAAGTGTCACTCACAAAGAGTGCGCGATAGCCATGCTCCGTTGCTCCTTCGGTTTTCTTGTGCATCGAGCCATCTATCCTTCCATCGATCTCTGTGGCGATATATGGAACCTCAGGCCTCAGGCTACACACTGTCCATTGTAAAGTCCTATATATCACAATAGAATTACCTCCCATTGGCTTGCGCCACAAGTGCATCTACGTACGACTCACACGAGGCGCACAACCGCCCGATGGTACGGGATCGTACGGCACGAATTCTCCACTCTCTGTCGTGTTGACATACTTCCTACGGTCTCCTCCGCCCCAAAAGAGCCTCCTTCCCAGCCTGACACATAACACGGAGGCGATGCGCTTTCTGCGGCCCTGTCATTTCTGCAACTGTCGAGCGATACTTAGCTACTGAGATACAGCATGTAAGACCTACAGCTGTAGTATGGACGTTTAAGCTTCGACGTTTGGGGGTGCATCCATTTCACAGGCGCTATAAAAACACGCATGTTGTGATCTTGCAACTTCCGAACCGAGGCGCTACCTACCCTATGATGGTTTGAGTTTCTCAAAAAGTGTTCTGTCTGGAATACTGGGACGTCTGAATCTTGCTCGCTAAACATGCTTGGGGGTATCATGGACCATGTTCGTGAACCTTCCCGGTACCATGTGAGTTCTTGTGTTCATGCCCACCACCCGTCATAAGTTAATCATACGCGCCGTCGTGTTTTTATAGATAGTTGCAAGGATGGATGAACTATGCGCGTACAAAGATCAAGTGGGCCCTCTTCCAGCTTACTGCGTACGAACACCGAAGTAATGAAGGCTCACCGGCATCCGGCACCCACACTCAGCTCTCGAGCTGTGTGAACGGGCTGTACCCTCTCGTCGTCCTCGTCGGCGAAATTCCTCCTCCCCGTGTGCACGGCCAAGCGTAGCTGTAAACACCTCGGGAAATACGCGAAGGGATTCGGCGCATTGATGCATCATGGTATTGTCCTGGTGATATCAACCCAAACCCACCGAACCCGTCCGTCGACTGCAACTCGGAATGCCTGAGATGATGACTGAGCTTCTGCCTGCAGCTGCCAACGCTACCGTAGCACGCACTGCGTCATACTGAGCTCTCCCTCATACATGTAGGTAGATATAGTGAGCGAGAATCCTGTGTCTGCGCTGAGGGATGCATCGCACCCACGGAGGCCATTTATGGAAATTCGCCCGTAGATTAAACGCAATTTACATGTACATCTTCTTCATGTAACAGGCGGAAACGTGGAAGCCAAGCGTCCCGGTACCCCTACAGCTGTAACACCCGTGTTTATACTAGAAAGAGCATCATTAGGGGAGGGGAGATCTGCACCGTGGTCCGTGTCATGAGTCTCGCCCGTCAAGAGTCTCGTCTCGTCCCGGTCATTCATTTCCTTGATGTGGCGCTCGTCCCGTCTTCGAGCGGGGCGGTGTCTATATATCAATAAGTGAACAATGGAATGGAACATGAGGCATGTAACAGGACTGGGTTCTTCGGAGAAGGGCCATCGCGAAGCATACACGATGCGTGCGGTTTGATTGTCCTGCGATCCTGCGATGAATGTCGATGGGCAGACAAAGGTTCCTCCAAGGGATGATACGATGATACAGCACGACATGTTTGTTTCATCTCTTCACGTCCTCTTATCCGATCTCGCCAGGACAGCCTGAAGAGAAAGGAGAGCCGGTGGGCATCACGAAGGACAAAAGAACCGAAAGGAGTGCTGCATACAACAGGAACTCTGCACCGCAAGGCAGTGGCGCTGCGTACGGCGTACCTACCTGCTACGGTGGTTGGAATCCCGTACCGCGCAAGGAGACTCAGGAGGTTGATATGTCGACAACACGTCGAAGACATGTGGACTGGTGGTGGTACGCAGTTGAACTAGCACCGAGAGAAGAAGGCTTCTGTCATACAGCAGTAAGGTTCTTCGCAACTACTACTTAGCGACACCGTTCTTGCGTTCGCAGCTGACTGTTGGAATCCGAACAGATCAGCTCGTCCTGAAATATGATCATGGATCATGATCCAGCGGGCCTTTCAATCAACAGAATTTGGGGATCGCGGGCTTTGGTTCGTCAAGTAACCTCGAGACTAGGAAGGGGGAATGACATAATCGCGAGAACTGTATTCGCCACAGCCGGCTGTAGGAGCATCATGATAATTAATGGGGTTCCAACTATCCACAAGCTCACGATGCGACGCGAACCAAGAAACGTGAAACGGAAAAGGGACATACGTGTTCGGTGTGGTGCCGGCCTAAGTAACAGGTGGACAAAGATACGAGTCAACCGAATTCATGACATGACAAGAAGGGAAGCACAAGATAGCTGCGCTATACAGTACTGCACGGTGCTTAGGGGCGCTGGCACCATTCCATGACACTACGGTCACCGATACGGAACGCGATGCTATGGAGCGTGAAGAACGAGGACACAGGAGACGATCATATGGCTTTCTCGGTGACCCTGCGGGCGGGTATCATTATGTGGCGACCAAGTCTCAGTGTCAACCGGTAGTGCGTGAGGAGTGCGTCGGATGATGCGAAGAGCATGAGACGGCCCTATGTGTGGGGTAGGCGCTGTACGAATGTGCTGCCATCAGTTTCTGGTTGATGTGCTCGTCTATGTTAAGGGAGCGGCGAGATAGGGTCATGTCCCAAGGAGCAGCTGCGTTGGCCAAGATATATCATCCACGAGAGCTCGATCACGCAGAATTGAGTGGAGTGCCTAGTTGAGCGGACACTGAGAAGATATGGCCGTCGTGTGGTCAGCGGGTCTTGGCCGAACAAGGAACTGATACTGTTTCGGCAGGGGAAGGGGCGGACGCGAACAGAACACAACATACGGGAGCGGAGAGCAACAGGCGCGTGAGAGTCAAATGCGGGAATATATAGATGTGAGTGAAGACGACAGGATTAGAAGCCTTTGCGTTTGAGCCAGTCCATAACGTCCATTTTCCATCTGCCACCAGAAAGGACGAGATGCTTTGATCTCACGATCTGTATCTTGAGACGCTCTGCCTCCGGAGAGGCAGGAGGGAACAGAGAGGAAGCGAGATCATCCGCGAGAGCCTGGGTGTATGTGAGATATATGGAGTAAGATCAGAGCGGATACCAGGGGTGGAGAAAAATGGTTCGGAATACGAACCCGGATGTTGCCCTCGACGTTGCGGATTAGAACGGTGTGCTTTGCGCCCTGAGCACGAATCTCGGTGTAAACGGGGAGTGAGCCTCGCGAGTTTCGGTCGAGAAAGTAGGGGTGTTGAACAGGTTTCACCCTCGGGAGGAGCAGTTGCTGGGTGGCGGTGGTTGGGAGGGCAGCCTGTTGCGAAAGCGGCCTGGCGTAGAATGCAGGCTTCGCGAGGAGAGAGCGTGCAGAGGGGACGAGCATGGAAGGGAAGGCTGCTGGAAGAGAGTTAGCGTGAGTTGGAATATACTTTCAGCTGAAAGGGCCTACCTCGCGCGAAAGGAGATCAGTGGGAGATCGAAGAAGAGATGAAGGAAATTGATTTGAAAGAAGCTGCGTCGGCTCGTCCACATTTGTCCGTTCTATCGGCTATCCCATCCCATTCTGTCACTCCACTGCCACCACTCCCGCCCAGACTGCTACCGTCATCGACACATATAAAAGAGCCATGCAATCTCCCACCCGAACGCCCCAAACCAGCCCCAGCCATGGCCCATCCCCTCATGCTCGACGACCTCGCCCTTACTCTCCCCTTCGACCCGTCTTGGCCACAGCGCGGCCAGTACCCGTCCCTTAACCTCGCCCCAATATTCGTAGACCCATGGCAACAGCACCAGCAGCGCCAACAGCAGCAATACTACAACCAGTACGCAATGCAGCAGATGCACTGGCGGCATCCTCAGCAGCGACCAATAGCTGGGCCCTCCTCGCTCAAGCCACACCGTCATCCCCATCCTGCGCCACACGCAGGCTTCACCGCGAATATTAATGTGCCGCTTATGCCTACTCGCCTCAACATTCCCGAACTCTGTACGTTGTCTTTCATCGACTACTCTTCCAGTCGAACATGTCACTCATGCACCCGATTTAGCACCCCCTTCTCCCTCTCAATCGGTTTCACCTACTTCCACCCTTGCGCCACCCACACCAGAACCCACACCGGTCTTGGCTGTGTGCAACGCGCCTCTTATCCAACCGAAACCACTGCCATATCGTCCTCCGGCATTCCTTTCCCAGTTCGAACTTCCTGATCCTGACGAGGATCTCTCCTACCCTCCATACACCACTTCTCGTGGCAAGCGAAAGCGCTCACGAGACGACTCAGACGAACGCAACGAAGACCCTGGGCGTGTGTACGGGAAGCGACGAGCCACCGAAGCTGCCATCCGTCCACTTCCCCCGCCCTCTTCTTACACTTCGCATCTAAACTCGCATCGCCGTTCTCTGAGTTGAGCCTCCCGGCGAGCGTATTCTCGGCTCTTCCCTTATCCCGGCCACACTTTACACTCTGTTCCACCTTCCGGGCCTCGCGGCCTCTGGCTCCTTGGGGCAAGGCATTCTTTCATTCATCAGACAGTAGTCAGACGCCATTGTACATCATTCGTAAGTTCGTTTCGGTCTTCTCGATATGACTTCGCTTCAACCCTCTTCTGACTGTACCTTTGTCGTTCCCAGATCGCATATTTGTCATTGCACATACAGTAGTTCTCTCATCTTGCATCGCCCACCCACATACCTTTTTTGCAGGTTGGCTACGGACAACGTAATACATCTTGTGCCTCAGCTATACGATCCCACCGCATGTACAGCTGTGACCACTGTATGAATCCCAGGCGCGGCGCCACTGAGCCCACGCAGCGCACTAAGTATGACCGTTCTGAGCTGCCATTTTCCCGTCATCGAACCGGACGAGTCTCGCCGTTTGTCTGTCCGCAACTCCACCCACTGTCATCCGGTGCCTTCGTTTCCCGCGGAGCGCATGCTCTCATTTTACACCCTCCTCGCTGACACGTATCCGCGCAGCAACTTGCCTGCAAATAGCACAGGAATAGTACACTGGTGAATAACGAACTCTTGTGAATTTCTCTCACCGTTCTCTGGTCAGCGACTCAGCGGCGGCTTTTGCAGATTTTGGTACGATTATGACAGCTACTCCCTTTCATCATCTGATCTCCCTAATCCTCCTCACCTCGCGAACCCTGACCCGCGTAATCCGAACAGATAGATCCACAGCACGACTCCTGTCCAGGAGCCTCAATTGAGTATCCTCTTGTGTCGTCTTGTGCTCCGTGTTCTCAGGATCCGAAGGGGCCAAGACTCGAGACTCAAGACCTTCCGATAACCGAAAAATCTTGAAACACTGAAGGTTGAAGGTAATAAAAAGGGTCTCACGCGGATTCAGTCAGAAGCGCAATCCGAACGAGCTCTGTGTGAGCGGCGTAGACGCGTTCCACCCACCTCCTGTCACAATCGATATGCATATCCCATATCCATTCTCCTTCCGAAGCTCAGGACTCAGGGCCAGGTCGAACATGTAAGTACATACGACATCCGCATCTGTCGATCCGATTGGAACTGTAACTCTCCGGCGGACATGCCACATCAGTTACATGATACGGACAAAGGTAAGGTACGATGATACGTTGGGGTCGGTGGTTCAGCTGTGCCTTTTCGCTCAGCCAGCAGCGATCGGTCTCGCAGCTGGACTGGACACGACGACGGTCAGTGTGATGCGCAGGGCCTTTCGTCTCCGTTCGCCGTAGACGAGCACGCAACTTCAATTTTTTTTTCTTAGGAGCGCCCTGACCGTTTCGTACGTTCGGAACATATCAGTGAATATGTGTCCATGAATAGATCATCCGCACCCATTGTGCCTCGGATATCCGCTCACTTTTTTTCAATGTCCTCCCAGAAGACAGGCTTGGAGGCCCCGATCAGGCTGAGACAGTACTAGTACTAGTACTAGTCATCTGGCATCCCATCTCGCCACAAAGCATCCGCCTTGCGTTTCTGTCTTGTTTTTTGTATTTCACCAGGGTTAGTGTTCCCCGCTCTTGACACCTCCCTATCATCGTTGATCGCGGAAAGGCACAGCCCCTGCCTTGACTCAATTTACTTCACAATTCACTCAGCAGGAACGGCGGACGCGGATTATGGATCACGAGTTCCACTTTGTCCTTTGACATCTATGGATATGGTGCCGTCGCCGGTGCCTTGCTTTGCCTTGACTTGCTGGGGTTTGTCTGTCAGTTAGGATAACCCCGATGGTATATTGTTATCGGACAAACTCGGAGTACGGGGAATTTACCGCGTTGAAGTCGTTGTCAGTCGGAGAGAAAAAATGTTAGCGGTGTCATTCATCATACCATCGTCGCAGCTTGTACTACGAACATATGAACAGAATGTAAGTTCATGCTGCTACATACATACCAAAGCGCAAACGTTACATCCAACCGCAGCGATCATTTTGCAGTGTACTACATCGCGTTCGGTAAGACAGAACGGCGAAAGTTTTAGGACCTCGATCTCGGTCGGCGAAGCTGTCTGCCGAACATACTTCATTATGAATCGCATTAAGAGCCCTGTTGCAAGGACACGGTACGCATAGCAGCGGTAAATAAAGTATGAACGAATTGCTGTGGTCGCCGGTCGGTGTCGAAAGGAACCTAGCCGTTTCTTACGTAATCAAGTTGGTACCGATGTGGCGGTGGCACGCAATTACCGGCGAAGGTGAACAAATCGAATGCTGTCCTTGGTCGATCTGCTTGAAAGTCAGGAATCAGATGGATATTATGCAGCGTATTGATGCAATAAGAAAAAGAGAAAGAGCGCACTGGGGACATGTCAGTGTACACACTCGTACACACTGCTCATACTTACTTTCCAGATGCGCTCAGGGCGGACGCTGAAGTTCCTCGTGCATGCTGCGAAATTCGATCGAGAAAAAAATTGAACCTCTAACGGAGAATGAGAGGCTGAAGTCTTTGCGCCATAAGGTGGAATACAAGCACCCTCAAACGGCACATGCAAAGACTCTATCGAGCACACTTGGTACTGGGAAGTTCCTAAGAGCTGTGCGGAACGCAGACGTCAAACTATCGGAATTCCGTCAGCATCCATCTCTCCAAGTGGGACTCATCATCACAGTAATCACTGAAGACGCGAAATACGAGCTTACCTCGACTCCATGTGGTCGTCAACACCGACACCGTCGGGAGCCGTCAGTTTGAATCTCCTCCTTCTTGCCCGAGTCTTTCGCAGCTGCTATTTCTTGGACGACAGAGCGCTGATACTGTATCAGTATCAGTCGTATGTATGTGTCGCGGCGAGAGCGCATCTTGCGAGGTGCGGCCTGAGAGGGTTCCATGATTACTACGGCCTCCGACGCTGGCAGCCTGAGATTGATGCAGAGTCTTGATGGGTCGATCGTATTCGACAGTGAAACGACCATCGCTTTGAAACATGCAGCTTAGCGTTGATGGATACGATGATGCGGCAGGGTATGTGACACATCGCTCGTAGGATAGGTAGGATTGTCTTGTAATGTTTTATCGCGAGAACAAAACCTAAGGTGTTATCGTGTGGAAAAACGGACAGGAGGGTGTGATCTGTGTGGCAGTAGATGGAGATACGCGAGACCTGAGGATTTCCATCGTTACCTATGGTTACAAACAAAATGAAGGGTCTTACAGCTAGATCAAGCAGTACGGTTGTTACTTCGGTGTGGACAAAGGTCTGAAACAAAAGCTCACCAGCGATGATTACGATTACGATGCATCGAGCAATTCAAGTCAAAACTGACGCGAGTGATGCAGCGGAAAGCTTGACTGACAGAGAGTGATGGCACGAGTGAGCACTCCACCAATGCATGGCTTCATGCTAGTCTGTTATCTGTCGCAGATTCTCTTGGAGAAGAGAAGGAGCTTTCTCGGTTATCACGACGAGTTAGTATGTTATGCGGATAGCTAAGTCAGCCGAGCAAAGCGCATGGGATGAAGCATCCTGCTCTCGTGGCCGGCTATGTTGGTTCTTCGCAGGGTCGAATGATAGGAGGAAGGGCCGCAAAAGATTGTCTCTGTAACAGAGACTGTCTTTGAGATGCCATCAGCTACCTAGCCTAAGCAAGTATGTCGGCCGCATGAACATAATTTGTACGACCTGTGCCAGGTACGATCTATCCGTTAAAGTATATTAGACTCGAAGGGTGTGTTGCAATGTATTAGTACAAGAGGACTCACCCGCTCAAGGACTGTGAGCCATGTCGTATTCTTCCAGGGGAGACGACTGTTGTCTTACAGATATTCAAAGTTGTGAAGGGCGAATTGTTGGCGGATCGAAGGGTGGTGACTTCAAGCCTGTATGTCGAAAACATCTGATGACTAGTCAATATGACGAACACTGGAAGAAACCGGAGGGTGTTCAATGAACGTACTGGCTGATCCCAGCGAATAACGCGAATGGAAGGAAAGCGAGTAGTAACGAAATAAGAAACGCGCGAAAAGTGGATTGCATGAATCGTATCAAAATAAACACGGACTATAGGTCTCGTAGAAATACATGTGAAGGCCACAATAAGCTAGAAACACAGGGCGACACAACAAGGAGACATGAGTGCACATTCTAGGGGGCTGAAGCATGCACGATAAACAGTCAGAAGAGAGTATAGAGCCAGGAAACACAACAAGAAAACGAGGACGGCGCGGACGAAGTACGCGGGCAATAACAGTTGAGAGAACGACAGACACACACAGAGAAATCAAGGCGTGTTCAATCGTCTGCAACATACCTTCAATCCAGTCTAAACCAGAATGGTATCATCTTCCACATCCTCTCCCTCTCTCTTGCTGCCCACACCTCGAGGCTTCTGGCACAACTCCTACACTCGCCTCCCCATGCACCCTCTCCCTTGGCCACCCCAAGATACTCTCCCATCATTTCCGTGCTTTTCAAGCCTCCGAGTTCTTCGGCCACATACAACGGATCCATAACGCCCGTCTGCCGATCGCAGATGTAATGTTGTGTCGCTAGACCCATCAGTTCGGCGAAGTCTTTGCGGCAAGCACCAGGTGATGTACAGGAGCCCCAGCCGCTTGAGCTCGCAGTCGGGGGTGGTGAAGAGGAGGTGCCGTGGACGAGCACAGCGGAAGGTGGGGAAAGCGGTCGATAAGCAGAGGGGCGGCGAGAATGTATGTGAGGACCACGACCCATGGATTGGACAAGTGCACTGACGCAGGCAGCTGCTGCCTCTTTGCCTAAAGCCAGTTTCTGAAGATCGCTGGACGAAAGGCTCGGTTGACAGACGGCGGACAGTGGCGGGGGTGAAGAATTGGAAGGGTTGCCTTGGGGCGGAGGCGATGGTGGTGGGGTGAGATATCGGAAACGGGATGAAGAGGCATGATCATCCAGAGGAGAAGGTTCAAATATCTGAGCGAATGTGTACCGGGACAAGTCATAAAACGCCGATGGACTATTGCGAGGAAGGTTCAGTCGCGGTTTCAGGAATTGAGAGGGTAAGATTTCGAGGGCGATGTATTAAGATGTGGACATACAGTAATTCGGGAGCATTTGCTTCACGAGCGAGGTTGATGACGGCCTAGCGGTTTGGGAACGGTAATTGAGGTCACGATATCTTTCTCTGGGGAATATGAACTCACGATAGGCGACGGATATAGGTGCTCTCTATTCGCCACAGATGAGTGAGAGTTCTCATATTCAAAGGTTCGTACAGCCTCTTCGCGAGCATCCCATCCCTTGAGGGTGGCGGGCCACGCAATACTGAGATGAGCCAGTGCGCGAGAACGTAAGCTCTCGATCAAGTATTTCGAAGACAGCCGCAGAATTCCCGAGACGATACGAAAATCTGCCGGATCATTGTTCCCGAATGTCCTGTGAGGGCAGATATATGAGTACTGGGAAGCACGGAAGCAGAGGTAAGTACGAACGGTCCGTCATAGAGGGCCGTGAGCAAGTTGGCTACATCCTCTGCGGCATCGTGCATTATGACTAAGGGATGACCTTCGAACATCGGGGAACCTCTTGCGACTTTGTCATCACGCGAACGCGGAGCTGGTGGTTGAGGAAGAGAGAACATGTCGCGAAAGATGAGGGAATGTCTTGCAAGTTGTGTTTGGTGAACGAGGAACACAGTCTTGTCAGCCTGCAGCACGACAGAGCCATCGATGAACCAAAGGTCCGAATGTTTCTCGACCGTATTTGGGCCAGAACGCGGACAAGTCGCCACGAGGGGTAAGGGAGACAGTTGAGAGGCCATGAGGGACTGGAATGCGCCGGGGGTCATGAAAGTTATGGTGATACAAAGAGTACAAAATTATACAGCAAGGAAGATCTGTCAAACTAGTTTCATGCACGGGTGTTGTCGTTGTCGTTGTCGATGTTGGTGAAGCGGACCGACATCATAATTCGTCCGTGTCGACCACGTCGTGTCTTTGGTGATCGGCACCCTAGCCGATGATAAACGGAACAACGGAATTTTCCGGAGGCTTTAGCTTTCAATAAGGACAAACAACGCCTTCCCGTGCCTCGCCACGGATCGCCACGCGCCAATTCGAATATCCAACTTTCAGAAGAGCCATGGCGTCTCTCCGCCTCGCCTCTCGACGTCTTCCTAACTTGTCGTCTGCGTCGTCGCGAACGTACGCAACACGCGTGTCTCCGCCCTCGTCCGGTTTGCGTACCGCTACCTATGCCACTCTCTTCACCGTATCCGCCGGACTATTCGCTGTCTATTACTTTGACTCACGCGCCGCTATTCATCGCTACTTCCTGACACCTGCACTTCGTAACGCTCTCGATGCAGAGACAGGCCACCGACTCGCTGTTCGCTGTATAGGAGCCGGTCTTAGTCCGAAGGATAAGCATGAGGATGGCTCGCTACTGAAGACAGAGGTATGCACCAGTCATTCATGTCAAGGGTAGCTTAGTGTTGATTTGAACAGCTATGGGGAATAGAACTATCAAACCCGATAGGTCTTGCCGCCGGCTTTGACAAGGACGGAGAAGCGATTGATGGTTAGTTCTTTGAACTTCAGCGGTTTGCTGTACTCATAACATGGGCGAAGGCTTGTTCGACCTTGGCTTCAGCTGGGTTGAGATAGGAAGCGTAACTCCAAAACCACAAGTGAGTAGATTACTTTCAATTGACACTAACTTTGTCCTTGTTTCCCTCGTACACTTTTGGGCCACATTATGTCCTGTCCCGCATGCCACACTGCCACTTAATCCCCACGTCGCTTTTGGGGTGTTTCGCTCTTTCTGTGGGTTGTGGATGTAATCTCTATCTGACTATCAACCTTTTCGTACATCAGCCTGGCAATCCATCCCCTCGTGTTTTCCGCCTGCCGGAGGATTCAGGGTTGATCAATCGTTACGGTTTCCCTTCACTCGGTCATACCGCCCTCCTCAGCCGTCTCCGTGCTCGACTCCCTACATTCACCAGCCCAGACTCTGACGCATCAAATACACCCGCATCACTGTATCCGCATAAATTCCTTGCTATTAACCTTGGGAAAAACAAGACTAGTCCCCTCGAGTCCCCAGAAGACTTCGTCACCGGTGTCAAAGCGTTTGCTCCATACGCTGATGCTCTGGTAGTCAACGTCTCGAGCCCGAACACCCCTGGCCTACGGTGAGTCTCACTTTCCTTTAACTTGGTGTGTTCTGTGTCAGCTTACCAGAAACGGTCGCAACTAGAGGCATGCAGCAAAAAGAAGTGCTCGAAAATCTGCTGTCCAGTGTCACGAAGGCGCGAGATGAAGTCTCCACTACTCTGACCAAGGCGCAGAAGCCGAAACTGCTCTTGAAGATAGCGCCTGACCTCACCGCACAGCAGATTCAGGATATTGCCGATGCGGTCATAAACGCTGGTGGTATTGACGGTGTCATTGTCAGTAACACGACAATCGCCCGGCCAGCATCGCTTCGCAGCAGTGAGTCTACCGAATTGATCTTACTACGAAGTCCAGGTGCTGACGGTGCCTGATAAGGCAATAAATCCGAGATGGGTGGCCTGTCTGGTGCCCCTCTGCTCCCTCTGTCACTCTCTGCTGTCCGGTCTCTTCGCCCGCTCTTACCTGCGTCTATTCCTATAATCGGTTGTGGCGGAATTTCCTCGGGAAGCGATGCCCTTGCGTTTGCTCGTGCAGGAGCCTCTTTTGTCCAGGTCTATACTTCGTTCGGCTACGACGGTGCTGGTGCATGTCGAAGAATCAAGGACGAGCTGGACGAGGTATTGAGGAAGGAAGAAGGGGGAAAGAGTTGGGCGGAGGTAGTGAAGAAGGCTGTGAACGAGCTGGGTCTGAAGGAGGGTGAGACGGTCAAGGGTAAAGGAAAGGAAATCGAGGGGGTGGGGATGTTGATCGAGCAAGCGAAGGAATTGAAAGGGTTGCTGGATAGCCTGGGCGAGAGGATGGACAAGGAAGATCAGGAGGCTGTGAGGCTAACTGAAGTTGGAGCAGCTGCTGTGTCTGTGATTTAGGAGAAATCCATGGTATGAAGGCAGTAACCCTTCACTCACTTGCAAAGGTGCATAATGTACCCCATATTCTCACTCGAGGTCCTACCAATTCGTCAGGAGTAAACTGAGTAAATGGTGGAATAAACGATGTCTGAGTTTCTGTGTCTGTTGACGTGGAGGAGACTGGGGCCTACAATAGCTGCGAAAATCATGATCTCCTTTGCTGACTACTTTTGGGTGTAGCCTTGTGAAAGATAGCTGGATTTTTGAGGTGGTAAGAGCTCGAAGCGTCAAACCGAATGAGCCATATTCTCGGAACACTGAGATAAACCGCGCAATGGCGAACGTCATTTCATATCCACAAGCCATATATCACCATGCCTCGGAGAGCCGGTTCCTATAATTCTCACCTCACCAACGACGACCACGACGAGTTCACCGATGGATAGCTACGAAGTCAAAGACTTCCAAGCGGGCGAGCACCCCCAGTCTTTGACTACGAAACCAAGGTCGCAATCTCGCATTCGCACACTCTTCAAGCTGACTGCATTTGTCGGGCTCCTGTATCTCCTCTACCCTTCTTTTCGCTCTCTCGCACCCAAGCATCTTTTCTCTGGACATGGGTGCCACCGCGGTATCTCGTCTCTGAACCCGAGTGGCCTTCCGACGCACTACACGTTGCCCTCTGGTGACAAGATTCCCTCCGTCCAGCTTGGTTCGCGCATTCATATTACCAGCGAAAATATTGGACCACTGACACGACTCGACGAGCATAGGTGTCTGGAAGTCTGCTCCGAATGAGGTCGGAACCGCTATCAAGGCATGTTTAGTTCTCTTTACAGAAGCATAGCAACCGAGGTCACTCATCTTCCGTCGACTGGTTTGTTCAGGCTGCCCTCGAAAGTGGATATGAGGGTATCGATGATGCATGGATCTACCGAGTGGGTGCATGCATATCTCGGTTTATGTGTCAGTATGTCTCACATCATTCCTCCATAGAACGAGAACGAAGTCGGCGATGCGCTCAAGGAGAATGAAGTCGCTCGTTCCGATATCTGGATTACTTCCAAGCTCTGGAATGCTTTTCATGCACCGGAAGACGTCGAATCTGCTGTAGACCTTACTCTTGCAGCTCTTCAGACCGATTATGTCGACCTTTACTTGATGCACTGGCCAGTCGCGTTCAAGAAGGACCAGACGGGCCCTGATGGCAAGCCTGTCATCGACTATGAGCTTACGGCAGACCCCTATCCGACTTGGAAGGCCATGGAAGCTCTGGTGGATAAAGGCAAGGCTAAAAACATTGGTGTCAGCAAGTATGTAATTGCGTTCCGAGCTGTGTTTCTCTCGTGACTATTCGCGCCAACAGTTGGTTGACAAATGTCTCGTATGCTTGTAGTTTCAACATGCATCGCTTGGAAAACCTCACTGCGAATCCGCTTAAGTACCAACCTGCTGTCAATCAAGTCGAAATAAACTTTTGGAACCCGCAACCCGACCTCCTGAAGGTAGGGCCGAGATCCTGCATTCGTACACATTATCATTTAGCACCCTGTACTGAATTGAGTCGCGACCTCTCAGTGGTCCCAGGAACGCAATCTCCTCCTCGAAGCCTACTCTCCTCTTGGCAGTGATCAGCAAGTTAAGCAATCCTTGTCCGTTCCCGAAGTCAAGAAGGCTGCAGAAGAATTGGGCTTGACCCCGGCTCAGATCATCATTTCGTGGATCGTTCAGCGCGGAGTACGGACTGTTCTTTTCGTTACCACCCTTGTTCTTAAACCTGATGTCCACATTTCTTTCAAGATTGTCGTCCTTCCTAAGAGTGTTCATGCCAACCGCGTCGCTGAGAACATTGGAGGTACGAATCACTGCTCTCTTGTCTGTGGTATTCCGTGCCCTAATTGATCGTTTGTCTGATTTTACAGTCAAGAAACTCCCGCAAGAGACGTTTGACGCTATCGAGGCCGCCGCGGCTGCTCACGAACCTCTGCGCGTTGTTAACCCATCCAAGGGATGGGGATTGAAGTTCGACGTCTTCGACGAGACTGTATGAAGGTAGCGTGTTGAAGATGAAACGAGAGACCAAACCAGAAGGAATGACAGTATGCCGTGGTCTTTGTGTATCAGAAACGGTCAAATTTCCTTGTATCGAGACGAAGTCAAATCTAACTACAAGAAACCCTATTCGTTGGGCATTCAAATGGCTGAACTTCAGCATCACCGAGGCTGGACATGACACCATTGGAGCGAGCAGGGCTATCGACAATGTCGATTTTCTCGAGGGCGATGATCAACGTTGTACAGGGTGCGGGCTATACTGGAAGTATCTACACTGATCGCTACAAGTGCTCTGTAGTTCGCTGATTCGGAGATTCCGAGACTGGGAGGAGCGCTAATGTCGTCGACAGACATCATAAACAAAGCTTACTTCGCCGTATACTAAGCTTGTATACCCCTTCCACCGCTACAAACTTAAGATTGGGCATAACGACTCTTATAAAGGTGGACTCAGATACCACTTGATACACAGAAACTATATATTGGGACAAATCACAGCTTATGCGTAACGATCTACCACACTCGACACAAACCACACCCACTGTTTGTGAGTTATGGTAATTTTTGTAGAAACTGTCGAGTATCAAGATCAAGGTCCGGAAAGAAATGTATCCTTTCCAAAAGACAAAACTTGGACAAAACACGAACCTGGACGCGATATACAATAAAGGAGTTGAGCAAACGAATGTGTATGAAGACGTTAAACGTCTCAGAGACAAATCTAGAGAAGATAAGGTCTCGGTCAGACTAAAACAAAATAACGGAGGGCTGGGAGGGGCGGGTTTTCATAGCATACCCCACCAGTACAGAGGGAACCACAACAGTCGTCGTCGACGCTGCAGCTTGAGAAGAGAGAGCACCCTTCACGTTCTTGTAGCGCAGCAGCGGAAGCGAGGGGAAGGAAGACGGCGAGAGCAAAGAAGACAGACTTGGTGTGGAATTGCATGGTTGAGAGTTGAGGTGGAGTAGGGAGCCTGGAAGAGGTTTGCGAGACGATGGGGGTTGGAACGAGGGGGCGAGAGAGGCTCCAGTCCGGAGGGGATGGCTTTTATACTCATTTCTCCCACTGGCCTCACGACGTTCACTGACTTACCGTGTCGTTCGGATCATGATGGGACTCTTGAGGATTGGCTACTGGGAAGTTGTGGCGCTTCGAGTGACCAATCGTCTTCCTTTTTGCTGTTAGCTGCTGTATTGTTATGGAGAATCAACTGACAGAGAAGCGAGTGGTGAATAAATGGAGAGCAGTATTAGGCAAATGCCAGGACGAGGATCATACGCCGCTATAATTTACATGGCATCAGAGTCGCACTAGCAGACCTTTTTGGGGTATACTCCACTTATTGTGCGACTGTCAAACAAGTAAGAGAAGACAACGAACAGAGGACGGACACGATGAACATACGATTTCCCAAGGCCGAACTGAGTCACATTAATAGGCCCAAGGCAGGAGGGCAAATTTGAAGATGCACTTCGATAACACTTGACACACAGAAACGATATATTGGCACAGATTGCAACCCATTCGCGACGAACCACCGCATTCTACACAAACGACATCCACTGTTTTTGGGTTATGGTATATATATATTTTGGAGATACTGTCGAGAATCAAGGTCAGCATTTAGAAAGGGATGTCTGATTTGCAACAGACAAAACACGAACCGCGACGCAATACACAATAAAAGAGAGTTGGGCGAACAAATGGGTACGAAGACGGTCGACGTCTCAAACACAAAGCTAGAGAGGATAAGATATCGGTCAGACTTACACAAAATAACGGACAGCGAGGAGGGGCGGGGGATCATGACGTACCCCAATAACACAGAGGTAACCACAGCAGTCGCTGTTGCGGCTGCAACTGTCGGCGGCAGCCCTGCATTCCTGACGCTCTTGGAGTGCAGCAGCCGAAGCGAGAGGAAGGAAGACGGCGAGAGCAAATAAGACAGACTTGGTGGAGAACTGCATGATGTAGTAGGGAGCCTGGAAGAGCTTTGCGAGACGATAGCGATTGGAACGAGGGGATGAAGAGAGGCTTCAGTCCGGAGGGGATGGCTTTTATACTCATTTCTCCCAGCCTCATGACGTTGACTGGAGGGATGGAACTCTTGTTGATTGGCTAATAGGAAGTTTTGGCCCTTCAAGTGGCCTATCATCTTCCTTTTTGCCACTGACTGCTGTCTTGCAATGGAGAATCAAAGCAAGTGGTATGATAAACAGAGAGCAATTGTACACAAATACCAGAACGAGGATTAGAACAGACCAAGAAGAACGATCAATTTCGTTGTCTGTCGAAAATGACACATCGGAGGCGAACAGTCGTACGAACCTATTTCGAAGCATCCTTATGCCTGGTCCGCGGGAGTTTAGACTCTGACGGCGTTATGACTTGAGTTTGAACGCGCTCGAGACCATATTTGTGTCGAGTATAGGGCGGTAATACAGCGTCTCCATTTACACCGATACGAAAGCTGTCCATCAGATATCTTGAGGAAGTGGAACTTGAAAAACACATCCTGGTGGATCGCAATGTCAGTTTTTAATTGTCACCAACTGATCAACAATCTCCTCGGTAAAACGGATGTCATACGACACTATGTACATCGAATCGGAGTCGCACCAGCGGACGTTTTTGGGGCATACTGCACTTATTTGGGCGGCTGTCACATGAGTAAAAGAAGAAAATGAACAGAGGAAGGAGACCGTGAACGTACGAGCTTTCAAAGCCGAATTGAGTTACATCAAAATAGAGAGAACAACAGGTGCTCGAACTAAACGGAAACAGCATTTGGGGCCCTTCTTTCCTCATTTGTGACCGCCTGAGGTCAAACTGAGGCATATTGAGGGTGATGTTATCAGGCATTCCCTGGAAGTGCGACCTGTTTATACCTGGTCCCTTAGGAGCAGGTTTACCTGGTCCGTTTAGGAGCAGGTTGTGGACGTGGACGAAATCGCTACTCGCCTTCCAAAACGGGGTAATTTGCATCTCCCACGCTGCCCGTTCCAGAGCTCGGCAAACAGTAGTGGCGCGGTTCCCGACGTCATACCCATCTCTTGCTCGTGTCTCAGACTCTCACTGCAAAGACGACTCCTTCACTAAACCTTTTTTGAAGTTCATCGACGCTGCGTACCACGACTTTCTTTGGAAGTTCATCGACGCT